TGTGGGGAAGATAGTGAGGTTTTCTTAGAAATTGTGAAATTTTAAATTAAAAGTTGGGGTGAACTTAGAACATGAGGTGAACTAAGAGAAGTGTGAGGTTTAAATAGAAAATCTATACTATTTTTATTATTGAAAAACTCGCGTATAGCCGTCCGGCTTTACTATTTATTAAAATAAAAGGACCCGCCTGGCTCCCATTTCGCCACGTTTCAAAACTAGTATAGTCGTGCGGCTATAATATTTATAAAAAATTTATTTAAAAAAGGACCCGCCTGGCTAGTAGCGCCCTTTCGCCACGTGTCAAAAATCGTATAGCCGCACAGCAATGCGATTTTTAAATAATACAAACCGTAGTATAGTCGGTCGGTTATACTATTTTATTATAAAAATATCCGCGTATAGCCGCTCGGTTATACTATTTATAAAACTTTAAAAATAGTGGACCCGCCTGGCGGCTAGCGTCCATTTCGCCATGTGTTGGTTGTACTACTTTTCTTATTATAGTTGCACGAATTTTTTTTGTTAATAAAATTCTCTCTTCTTTTTATTTTTTTTTCTTTCCTTCTTTTTCTTCTTAATCGGTGTTACTATTTGGATTTTTTTTATTTAATTTTTTTTTTTAAGTGGAAGAGAGAGTTGCAAAAATATGTCCTTATGTTAGGCCATATTGGCACTCAAAAAAATTTGTGCCCTGTTTTTGGATAATTATTTGTTTTCATTTTCAAAAAAACTAATTTGCATTTAGTGGTAAAAGTAAAATGGATTCAAAGTTTTAGTTATAATTTTGAAAAAAATCAATTTGATATTTTCACAATTTTCACCAATTTCAACATATCCAAAAACAATAGTTCGTTTCCACAACTTAGCCTCCACCTAATCAACCTCCCCACCATCAAATTATTGTCACTACAAATCCCAAAAGACCACCATCATACAAGCGAGTCACTGGCGGATACAAGAATGTTTTAAGAGAGAGGCTCAATGCTGGATATTGAAAACCACAGTTTAACCAAACCAAACCGTTGGTATTTACACATACTAAATAAAATATTATTATACTGTTTTTTATATATAAAAAATCGTGGTATAGCGCCCGGCTATACTTAATTAAAAGTAGATTATAGATATTAATTAAAAATCATGGCATACCCTCCTAGTTGCATCAGTTTGTACCATATAGATATTAATTTGCAACATATCCAAAGTAGATATTAATCTTCCACTATATGATATTTTAATATAATTTTTATAACATATGTTATTCTTATTCAATAATATGTGAAAATTATTTGTATAATACGTGAATTTTGTGTGTCTTACTGAAAATTTTGTACAAAATATGTGTATAAAACATTAGAAATACATACGTACATGTACAATACAAGCATTGTATGTTTGCTTTTTAAAGAAAATGTGACACCTGTATAGAACACGAATGTATTGCTGAAAAATACGTAACAACATATATATATATGCATATATATGTAAAAGACTATAGCCGCTCGTCTATATTATTTATTAAGGACAATTTAAATAAAAACAGCCAGTAACACTTCCCTGAAAAAATTAGGAAAAAAAAATCTTGTATAGCCGCACGGCTATATTATTTGCTGAACAAAAAACAGAGCAGCCCACTGTGAAAATCGTATGGCCGGAAGGCTATATTTTTTCAAAAACTCTAAAAAACTGAGTATCGCCGTGCGGCTATACTATTTTTTAATATAAAAAAGGACCCCCCAACCTTTACGCGCCACGTGTCAACACATTTCTTTTAAAAAATTAAAAACATGGAGTATAGCGGTATGGATGTACTCCTTTTTAAAAATAAAAAATAAAGAAAAACATTTATCGATTAAAGCCACGTGTCAAAAAAAAAGTATAGCCGCCCGGCTATACATTTTATAATAAAAAATCCTGGTATAGCCACCCGGGTATACTATTTAATTAAAAAATTAATAATAAAAAAGGACCCTCCTAGTTGCATTTGTTTGTACCTTATAGATATTAATTTGCAACATATCCAAAGTAAATATTAATCTTCCACTATATGATATTTTAATATAATTTTTATAACATATTATATTCTTATTCAATAATATGTGAGAATTATTTGTATAATACGTGAATTTTGTGTGTCTTGCTGAAACTTTTATACAAATTACTTGTAGAAAACATTAGAAATACATATGTACATGTACAATACGACTATTGTATATTTGCTTTTTAAAGAAAACGTGAGACATGTATAGAACACGAATGTATTGTTGAAAAATATGTACCAACATACATATACATACATATTGAAAAGACTATAACTGCTCTTCTATACTATTTATTGAAGACAATTTCTATATATAAAAAAACCAATAACGCTTCCCTACTATTCTATTTTTTTTAAAAAAATTAGAAAATAATCAATTATAGCCGTCCGGCTATACTATTTTCTAAAGAAAAAACAGAGCAGCCCACTGTGTGAAAATCGTATAGCCGAACGGCTATACTGTTTTTAAAAAATTTTAAAACTGACTATAGCCGCACGGCTGTACTGTTTTTAATATAAAAAAAGGACCCCCAACCATTACGTGCCACGTGTCAATGTCTTTTTAAAAAAAATTAACACATGGTGTATAGCCGTGCGGCTAGACGTTGTTTTTTAATAAAATAAAGAAGAACCTTTATCTATTAAAACCACGTGTCAAAAACTTGTATAGCCGCCCGGCTATACCGTTTTTAATAAAAAATCTTGGTGTAGCCGCATGGATATACTATTTAATTAACAAAAATTAATAATAAAAAAGGACCCTTCTAGTTGCATTTGTTTGTACCTTACAGATATTAATTTGCATCATATCCAAAGTAGAAATTAATCTTCAACTATATGATATTTTAATATAATTTTTGTAACATATGTTATTCTTATTCAATAATATGTGAGAATTATTTGTATAATACGTGAATTTTGTGTGTCTTATTAAAAATTTTGTACAAAATACTTGTATAAAACATTAGAAATACATACATACATGTACAATACGACTATTGTATGTTTTCTTTTTAAAGAACACGTGAGACGTGTATAGAACACGAATGTATTGTTAAAAATACGTACCAACATATATATACATACATATTGAAAAGACTATAGCCGCTCGTCTATACTATTTATTAAAGACAATTTATAAATAAATAAAAAACCAATAACACTTCCCTGCTATTCTATTTTATTTTATTTTTTTAAAAAGAAAAAAATCACGTATAGCCATACGGCTATACGATTTTCTAAAGAAAAAACAGAGCAGCCCACTGTGAAAATAGTATGGCCGGTCTGAGTATAGCCGTTCGGCTATACTAGGTTTAAATGACTCCCACCCATTAGGCTCCACGTGACAACACATGTCTCTTTTAAAAAAAATTTAACGCATGGAGTATAGCCGTGCGGCTGTACGCCTTGTTTTTTCTTTTCCCTAACAAGATAACGAAGTACCTCTATCCCTCAAGTATCCAAAAAGATAAGAGCTCTTTGATAGACCAAGAGTACAAGACTAGTTTTTTTGGGTAAAAGAGTGCAAGGCTAGTAATAGCAAGCTTCTGTCTTAAGGGCATTGGCCTCCCATGAAACACCAAAAAGAAAAAAGTTCCTAAAATGTGAGAACAAAACAATCCCACCCTTCGCGTTAAATTTAAAATCGCGGATAAATTGTGTTTAAAAAAAAAAGAAAAAAAACAGAGTAGATTCTTCTTTATCTGCGCTTCTCTTCCACTCACTTTTCGTAGGAAACCATTTTCAGTCAATTCTCGAGATCGAAACGAATCAAACAGCAAAAGCAAGCAATTCTGGTTGAATATCTATAATTCCCTGGTCAAAATTATCACGTGATATGCGTGTCAAGCTACTGTTAGAATTTCAATTAACTTTACAAAAACAAATCAAAGCAAAATTTAAGAAATCTAATTTCAAAACCCACATGGTTATTCCAGTCGCTAGGATGGGGGAAGATCAATGGTATTCTATATTGGATATGAACTCCAACCATGCAAAGATAGAACCTGATTCATGCTCCAATGATCAACGAAAAAGTGCTTGAGAAGAATTCAACCACTCATACCATTGCAATCTAGCCAACAGAGGGGAAATTCACAATCAAACAGCAACTCACTCACTCTTACCCAAAAATACATTCAGTATTTAACAGTCACCCCGCTGTCTTTAGCGAATAGACTGTCAAAAAGCAGGCATATCTGGAACTCCCCCCAGGACTATGAAGCCCGAAGGCAACGCATATCTCTGAACATCATCATTGTGACTCCTGTTACCCGATTCTACATGTAGAACCGGTCGGTTGTTTAGTCCACACAATTTCTCTAAACACATAATGTCAGGATCGATGCCAAATAAACATGGAAACTATCATTTTCTGGGGCAGGATATTAGAGAAAGCTACCATAAAATAGCCGGAAATCTAACCAGCTAAATCAACTGCACCAAACACAAAGGACAAAACTTAAATAGTTAACAAGACTTCAATGCCAAGGAAAACAGAGATATCTACCTCATGTGAAGTACGCCACTTTACATGCAGTAGAACCAAACACATTGCAGCAGTGTGGGATTTCTTTAAGGCTCAATCCTTTCACACCTTGCAGCCAGTTGTCTTTGCGTGTGGAGAAACAGAGAGATAAGCTTCCCAATTCCATACCCCAACTTGTTGAATGTATAAAAAGGGATTGAAGAAGCTAACGGTCCAAAAGTGGGAGTTCAGTTAAAGCACTGAAACTGTCCATTAACCCACATATTTCATACCCATGTTCAAATAAACATAATAAGATCCCAAACTCCATAAGCAAGATTCTATAAGTTCTTTCTACGCTTAATTTCTCTCTCTAGAAAGTAGGACTTCGATAGAAATACACAAAATAGATGAGGTTGTCAAATCACCAAGCCCCCTAATGGGCCAAAGAAGGTGTAATAAAGCCAACACTAAAACACAACTGCTTGCGTTTTACTCTTGCATTGCTTCTGCATGGTACTTCTCCAGCTCGGCATCAAGATCTTCAGCAGATACCTTTTCACCACCACGGCCTCTTCCACCTCCATTACCACTTCCACGTCCACGGCCCCCCCTTCTAGGACCACGGCCACCCCCGCCACGTATACGTCCAAATGCACCACCCCTACTCTGTCCACTGCTTAACAACCACAAAAAATACAAAATTTAGGACTCTGATTAATTAATATGTAGCACAGATTAGATAATGAGTATGCCACATCCAACAACAATACAGGTTCAGTCTTCCTGACTGCTACATCTCATGCCTCATACACATGTATGAGGCACAACAAAACATCAGCTATGTTTGCAGCAGTAACTGAGTTATGAAGCAACACCAGTTTCAGCCTCATACATGTACAAGTATCAACAAGTAAATGTAAGCCTGCATAGAGTTATGTAAAGAGCACAGATAACCTTCCATGACTTTCAGCCCCCTCGATAATAATAATATTAAAATCTTATTGATTCTAGCTTTATCCACTATAATAAGAGACTACAAGCGAAAAGATAATCAAGACTGCAAATCTAGGTTTTCCCATTACAATAAAAGCATAGAAACTCTAAGGTTGCTTCAGTATAGACCATAAAATAGCTCCTAATAGACCCAACCCAATCATGCAAGGTCCCAATAGGCCCAACATCATCCAGCATATGCCAAATCAATGCTTGGGCCTTAGTACTCTCGTATCCCTGTCAATTCTTGGCTAGAAAGATTAGTTATTACCAAAGGAAAAAAACCATTGTTGAAGCCAAGATGTAGAAAGTAAGCTGTTACGGAATCTTAAGATCAGAAACAGGACTTGTCATTGTAAAAACCAAAGATATAATGCCTCAAATCAGAGGCATTCATCTCTGGATACAAGAGCTTCTCGTAGCAATCAAAATTTAAAGAACCCCTTAATCCATTCAGGCATTTAATAGAAAATTCCTTGTCAGGTCACAGGTTATTTGACAACTACCATCCACGATATCATTATATAAATATATGTCTATATATATATATATATGAATTCTTCTAGAGACATTATTTCGAGCTCTAGAAAACATAGTAAAGTAGTCCACATAATGATTTGCAGACACAGAAGACTTGTGACATTGTCACAACATTCCGCATAAAAAACACATAACTCATAGAAATTCACAAGAAAGGGAAACATGGATAAGCACACAGACCATGGAAAGAAAATTCTAAACCAAAAAGTAGGGTACAAAGACATACCCCCTAGGAACTCCATTCGAATTTCCAAAGTTGCCATTAGCAGCAGGGGGCAAAGTAGGAGGTCCGCCAGGTGTCGAAATGTTCGTTCCTACAATCTCTATCTTCATTGGTTTCCCATCAAGCTGAACATTGTTGTATCTTTTAACCGCGGCAACAGCATCTGGTCGTCGTGAGAAGACTACTTCTGCCGTTCCCTAAGAAAAATAATTTTTGTTCTAAACTACAGCAGAACACAAAGAATTCTCCATAAGGACCAATTTATGCGAAACTTGACAAGATACCTTCGATCTCCCACTTCGGTCATAATGTACTCCATATCGCTTCAGGTCACCAACCTCTGAAAACAGTTCCTGCACATAGTGAGTTGACTTTAGAAAATTCAAAATTGTAAAATGCAATATTTCTGAACTGCTCATATGTCCCAAAAAGTCCAGGGCCAATAAAAAAAAATTACTCATACTCCAATTGAATCAATTAACTTTGTAAACAAAAACCCAATCAAATTACAACATAAGATTAAATCAAAACATCTCAATACAACAGAACAAAAAGGAACTAATGTAATAGTGAAAAAAAAAAATCACTTTGGATATATGTATTCAAAGGAAAGATTTGGGTTTGACTTCTTAGTTCAAATTGTTTGCCTCAAATGTTGAACGAAGGCATAAAAAGGGAGTTTCAAGATTGTTGCAAGTATTTGATTTGGTTAGCATAAAAGATTTAATGTTTATAAAGTCTGATGAAAAATTTAGAACAAGAATCCAAATCCAAACCCTTAGTTTCAAAAGCAATCCACAGTCTACGAAAAAAAGAAACCCAATTATGCTAAATCACAAATCATCGAAAGAAATCACCTTGTTAGAAAACAGATCCAGCTATAAATTAGAATTGTGAGATAGCTAAATTACAGAAGCTTAAAAAGTACAAAGCTTTAAGTTATTTCAATATAGAAAAGAGAAAATTACCTTAATGTCCTCGTTGGAAACGCCATAATCGAGATTGGAGATGTAGAGCTTGGTTCCAGTTTCAATGGCCGAGGCTCTTCCAGCTTGAGCCGGGAACGCCGCCGCCCCCTGATCCGCATACAGGTCGTGTTGCCACGCGGTCTCCGGCGCCTAAATCCCCAAAATTTATTATTAGTTTAATTCAACTTCAACTTGAGAAGATAGATCAGAGCCAAAGCCAGAGAGATTTGCTTCTACCTTGGCCGCCGCATACGGCGTCGTACGATTGGCGGCGCGATTGGGCAACCGGCGGGCGGGTCCGGGTCCCGAGGCCCGGCCACGGCCTCGAGCGTTGCCCGATCCGGATTTCTTGCTGGTCTTGATGAGGTCGTCGAGGGACATGTTTAGAGGGTCCTGCATCTTGTTTGACTAGAGAGAGAAACGAAACCCTAGGAGAGAGAAAGAGGGTTAGGGTTTTCAAGCGGAGGTGGATAGAAATGTTGAAAGTATAGAAGTTTCAAAGGGTAGGGTACGCGAGTGAGAGAGAGATCAAAGGCGATGAGAGAGAAGTAAGAGAGAGAAAACAGTGTTTGGAGGCTGTGCGGTTTATATTGTGGGTGTTTAAAATTAAATAGTTTATTAATTAAAACGCACAATTAGGGCATCCAGGTGTCGTGGTGTAGTTGGTTATCACGTCAGTCTAACACACTGAAGGTCTCCGGTTCGAGTCCGGGCGACGCCATCTGTTTTTAAGTTTTCTTTTTCTTTTCTCAAATTTTCCACTATTCATCTGTGTTAAAGTTTTTTAGGCACCTCAACTACTTGCTTGGTTTTGTCTTCTTCACTTTTGGCTTTTAGGTTACAATTGTTTTCCAAAATGAATAAAAATAGAGTGGTGATTTCCCCACTCCAATTTTATCCACTTACATTTCATTTTATAACTAAAAAAGGAGTGTAAGTAGATAAAATTGGAGTAGGAAATCATTACCCTACAAATATATTCCAAAAAACTGCATTAGAAATTGAATATAGATCTCCTCTTCCAATATCGCTTATATATTTTATAAAAAATTGAATATAAATTTGGTTTGACAAAAAAATATAAAAGCACTTTCAAATAACCAAAAACATTTATAACTTCGTTCTTCAATAGAAAAATTTATAAGTTATGTTAAAGTATTCCCGAACCACAATTAGTTTAGAGTTAGACATGAGAAAACTTTTCATCCAACCTTTATATACATTTTATTAGAACAAGTTAAAATTTTAAGCCACAGATTCCTTTTGGCCTATAAGCATTAAAATAGTAATAAATAAAAAATTAACGTTGAGATTAATCATCAATTTCATGAGAAGCACATCACTTCACTCCACGCCCTGAAGCTTTTCTCCTTTCTTCTCTCTCTTTCCCCTTTCGTTTTTCTCCTTGCCCTCTATATCTAAAGACCATGAAACTCTAAGACGACAAAAACTCTTCCGAAGTAGGTTGTGTGTTGTATTTTTGGCCCACACAGAGAAAAAAATTATTGATCTGCTATTGCTCTCACTTAATCTTTTATACATCGTGTTCATGTGCTCAATGGCACCATACATTTACTTGGTTGAGATTGACTATTATAACAAAATACGGTATTTTGGGACTCTGTTTTTTTTTGGGTTGTTCAAATAGTATAATGTCATTTAACTATCCAATGGAACAAACGTTGCCTTATCAAAATTTTATCTAAGAAAACCTAGTGAGAAAAACCTTAGACAAAAGAAAAAAAGTATCGCACGCGCCATAAAAGGCTACTAACTAAAAACTAAAAACAAAACCAAAATATCAGCATGAACTTGAAGAGACACTTTGTTATTTTAGGACATTTTGTTAAGACTAGCACTCTTCTTTCCATATATACCAAAGTGGACAATCAGTCTCAAAAAGAGCAAAACAAGACAAAGTCAATTTTTCTTGTGTTTCTTAAAAGGTCGGATGTCACTTGACTTGGACTTCAGAGCCTTCAGTGAGATACACCTCATCTTTCCTCTTGCTTCTTTGTGGACTGCATTTGCATTCGCCATCTCCACGTCCACTTCCAGGGTGGTGGTGTCTTTGGTAACAGACTCACTGTTGGTGGTGTAAGAAACGACAACTAGTGAGGGAGTAGGGGGAGTAGGACTAGTCGTGGTATGAGAAACAGCAGCTAGCGGGGGAGTCACGGCAACCACTAGAAGGTTGCCACTGCTGGTGGTGGGAGAACTGCCATCAATGTCGGGGAAGGACACGCAATACCCAAGTGAATTGAGTTCCTTGATCACGCTCCCAAAATCATTTTTGACAGTCTTATACGTTCGTAGTGTATCTGCAGCATTTGGATAGCCACCAACCTCAGCCTTCTTCAACACACTCCTCCGGGTCCATTTTGAGGTCGAACAATTCACGAGCTTCATTCATGAGTTGTTTTCCCTTGTCGTTCATGATGTGTACATGTGTCAAATGAAGTCAAACGACCAAAAATTGAAAACAGAACATACACACACACAGATATATTAAAACTACTATTCTTATACCCCTAGTTCATTAGGCGCAGATAAGTGGAGTTTAATTAATTCCCATCACAATAATAAGTCTATAATCTCAAGCTAAGGTTAATCTATTTATCTCTACAATTAAGGTTGAAGCATAAATCATCCTTAATAGATAACACTTATAGACTCACAGAAAATAAACTCTCATATGCCAACAACCATATGAGAGTTTGGATCATGAGATACAAATCAAATTCAATTCTTATTTTAGGTCATGAAAATGAATGCATGCATACATTATTTTGGAGAAAATTTTTCTTGAATATATAAATAATTTTTTTTATTGGAGGGAAACGATATATTGAAAAGGTGGATAAGGCATCCATAACCAAACAGACAAAACACAGAAACAGCTCTAAAAAGGCCAAAAGAAAGAAAAAGAAAAGAAGGGAAAATAGGCGATGTGAAGGAGGGACACAACCTCAGTTCACAGCCACCACCAAATCCAGCCTAATGACATAAGGGGAATAATCCTTAACAACTAAAGTAACTGAAGCCCAAAATCTAGCCACACAAATAACAACAACAAAAAATCCTCCAAACAAACTAAATTTAAAGCAAAATCATCAACTAGTCTAATCAAAGGCTAAGATAATCCTACAATACCTTAGTTCTCAGCGTCGATTTCACATCTATGGTTGAAAGCAGGTCTTCTGAGCGTCTGAATTTGCAAAGGCCGATAGAGGATTGAGATTTTGGAATGCAAAGACTAGGAAAAGGAGGAGGTGGGATGCTTTTTATTCAACCATGCAAAATCGATGAGATGAAGACCAAAGGAATGGTTGCATGGTTGAATACCACAGGAGTGGTTGGATTCGCAGCGTGCTGCCCCAAACGCAAATCAACGATGAACGAAGATCTCTCATTGTTTCCCCCAACTAGCCCAACTATGCTGGTTCGAAATGGACGACCTCTCTGAGCGAACTAAACAGTCGCATTGTCAAGATCCAAAGGGGAAAGGGCAAAAAGGGAAAGAAGGAAAAGTTTTAAAGCAGGGCAACTGGGTCATTCCACTGTGCTGCAGGGGAGAAAAGAGGGGACCAAGAGCAGTAAAACGAGGGCAAGTTCGTCACTTTACTGTGCTTAGGAACAATGTCTTATTGGATTGAGCTCTAGTATATATAAATTTTAATCTTGTTAATTTCCTCCAATATTTTATCTATAAAATTCGAGCAAACGTGCATTGCATTCTTAATGAAATGCCTTAAATATATACTCATAATACTGATGGACTATGGTTTACTAAGAAATTGTTTGTGATTTCTTTTTAAAATGTGAATTTTCTTTTTTAGTAAAGAAATGTTTGAAATGTGTTTAGATAACCAAAATATGCTTCTTGACATCAATACACCCCAAAAAAAAAAAAAAAAAAAAATTTGTAAAAGTCATACTAAGGCCCCGTTTGGGATTTCTTTTTTTCACCAAAAACCTGCTTCACTTTAAAGTTAAGCAGTTTAAGGTGTTTGGTAAAAATAAAATATCCCGATTATTTTAAAACTAGTGGTTTTTTGACAACAGCTTTTAAAAGCATGCTCTTGGTTGCTTTTCAAAGCTGTTTTCAAAAGAAGCAGAGGTGAACTTTTAGTGAATTTTTTTAATTCCCAAAATACCATCATTCATTTTTAAAAATGACACCACCACCACTTCCACATCCAACTCTACCACTTGCACCACCACATTCACTACCACCACCACCACCACCTCCTCCACCACCACCATCACCACCACCACCACCTCCTCCTCCAAAACCTCCACATCCACAACCAACACCACAACAACCACCATGCTGCCACTATCACCACTACCACCACCACCACCTCCATAATCGTCATCCCCACTACCACTACCACCACTACCACAACCACCAACTCCACCTTCATCACCGCCACTACCTCCACTCCATCACTATCACTACCTCCACATGATTAGTACATAACACTTACATCATGTCTATTTTAGTCATTATTCACAGTTACAACAATTTTATATTAAAATTTACTAAACGGTTTTGACACTGTTTTTTATACTAACAGCACTTTAAAAATATTGTTTACCAAACATTGAGTTGCTTTACTTTACAGCTAATTATTTTTAAAGCACAACATAATCAACTTTTTTTTTTAAATGACAGTAATTCCAAACTGGGCCTAAAGTATTCCAATAGTTTGGAATTAGACATGGTGATAATTTTTCATCCGACTTTTATATAGTTGATTGGCATAAGATATTCCTTTATATAGTTGATTGGCATAAGATATTCCTTTATCAGATAAATATAATCATTAGGTAGACTGTATTTCACAAGATAAGTATTGGCTGCACATTTTATGTGACATAAGTCCATCATTCACAAAATAACTCATCCTGCAAGTGCATTTCTGATGCTTGGCAAATAGTTGAAATATAAATATATCAGAAATAAAATAAAAGGAATTCACTTGTTTATGTTTTATTCAACAAATCCACTTCTCATTAATAAGTGAAATGATTTTATCCGAGGACATGTGTCATGTCCATGAGAAAGCTGATTGAGTTGATATGACATAGAAAAAGATTGGAACAAAAACAAGAAATCATCCATTGTTAAAAATAATACAAATATATAAGGGCCCAACCGGGTTCGAACCGGTGACCTCTTGATCTGCAGTCAAATGCTCTACCACTGAGCTATGGACCCATTTGCTGTTAAGTTTCCTCGTGTCACATATTTATTTGAGATTTCTTTTCTTTTTTGGGCGTATATAGCCCTTTAATTGGGCCTGAATAGTTTTACTTATTATTAGGCCTACCCATAGTGACACAGAAAAATAAACGTATCCTGTTTTGGTTGGTTGGCATTTTTTATTATTTAAATTTACTGATTCTTAAATTCCTGTTTTTAGTTTTTTTTTGTTTTTTGTCATTCACTAGGGAGGGAGATGAGAGTATTATATTGAGTTGCCTTAAGATTGTCTCCTACGTGAATCAAACCTGGGTGCACTTGCAAGGGGAGGGGTAGAGTTTGACCCACTTTTCCAATGTGGTGCCAACCCATGTGCATTTTTAAATTCCAGTTAATCATGGTTGGATTCTAAAATATGCATTTAGAAACTGATGATGTTTCCATTGTTTGCATAATGTTGCATGACATGGTCTTTCAACCTTACCAAAAACTGCGGATTAATTAGCTAGTGAGAGCTACCAGTGGCCAAATCTTAGGAAGCTACCAGAAACATTCAAACATTCAACACAGCCAAAACAAATCAAAATAAAGAAGGGATGCCTAATATTCTACTAAAATTCGCCATAAACTTAACAAGTTAACCTTAGATATAATCTGAAATGCAATCCAAGAAAATAAAGAAGTAGAACCATTGAGCTATTGAAGCATCTAAAAAAGAATTACATGAAACTTTATATTAGTTTCTAGAGAACAACATCAAGCCATCATCAACCTCTCTGCGTCTCTCTGTCCCCTCCCACAAGGCCAAGGACCGCACCACAAAAGCCGAACCCGCCACAATCAAAGCAGCAAACACCGTAGGCACAAAGAAATCCAAGTTGGACCTCCGAACCATGTTAGCCGGGAAGCACATTGCCTCTCTTGGATAATCCAAGGGTATTCTAACAAACCCCTCTCCAGCACAAGACTTGGAGAAGGGCGAGGAGGGAGATATGGCCGTGACAAACGCAATCTCAGGAGAGAAAGAAGCCACGGCCACTGTCACCGTCAGAAAAAGAGTCCAGGTGGCCGCATAGAGAAAAACTGGCCACCTGGACGTGAGGGCTCGGAGAAGTGAGTGGAAGAACGGGAGAGACATGTCACGAAGTTGTGGGGGTTTGTGGAGGAAGGTGGGTTTAGGTTGTTAACAACATTTATGGGACGGAAGATAAGGGGGTGGAAGCACGTTGAGTGTTGCTGATCATTTTCAATTTTTCATGGTTTTTTATTGTTATTACAAAATTGTCCCTTGGTTGTTGGTTCAGTTGCATCGTTCGCGCCTTAGAGGCTCTCACGATTTTCTTCTGTAATAATTAATTAAACTTTTATCCACCACCAAAAAGGTCAATTAATGAATATTCAAATTTATTAGATGAACCAGTCCAAGTTCCACTATCAAGTCTAGGATGGAGAAACTCAGGTAGTGTAGGAGGTTGAAGATGAATTCTGAAAACCAAATCATGGAATGTGGCTGTAGTTGGCAATCCAATGGATCTCCAAAGGTAATTATTTGTAGAGAGAAGTTCATCTTTTTGAGACCAAGAAATAGTGGAAAACCAAAAGGCATGTAAAGCGAAGCTGAGGCACGCAAATTGGTCTCTTAGCAAGAAATATTGGAAAACAATCGACCACTATTTTCAGTTGTTGGTTACAAACCAAGATTCCAAATAAGCTTGGTTATAGCCTACGAACAATTACATACCACTTTCAACTTGCCAGGCCTATAACTGCTGCATCAGGAAGGTTACCCCTGGGAACTTCTGGGACCGTGCATATATCATATCGCTGCTCAGGATGTGATGCCATTACCATCAAACCCATGTTGCAGCAATGGAAGTGAACTCAGATGCAGCCAGGAAGATGTCCTTGCAGTTATGTGAACTATAAATTGGTCATCTGTGGAATGTCCAAGCTCACCGTTCTTGGCAAGTAGCAACTTGCATGATCACATGTAACAAGACACCAGAATGGCCGTCTGTACCCTCCTGCAAACTGTCCACAATTATTAAGTAGATCTCCTTCTCTAGTCTCCAGACCATTTTATTTTTCTCAGTTTGTGAAAATCTGACTCAAATGAATATAAGAGGTGAAGAATGAGGGAGCATTCAACATGGCCACTTTAGCTTCACACTCCACTGTTGTGCATGTTAAACACCTCAACCTTGACTCAATGGGAAATATTTCATTTAAAACTTTAGAAACCAGTAGAAAAGGACATGTTTATCCTTTCTGATATCAGACAAGGTTACCATGAACAAATTTCAAGACTTTGAATCCCAAGTTTTCCACCAAGTTTGAATGAGAGAGAGAGAGAGAGAGAGAGAGAGAGAGAGAGAGAGAGAGAGAAAGAGAGAGGTTTGTACAAAACTTATGATTACACGTGAAGGGAAGGATGAATTTACCTTAACAAGGCAAACTCCATGAGTAGTCCTTGTACTCATCATGGACTTAATATGATCATTACCCTGAAAAAATATTTGTATTCCTTCATCACAGTCAATACCAACACCGTCCACGAGCAAATCAGAGGTTCAGCCATCCATTTTAGCACATTCGCAAGTTTTGACCAGCATATTTGTAGATTCAACAATTAACAAATCCTGCATGATTCCAACTTTATTTACTCCAATAAGCATTGCAGTGCCAAAATCCAAGTTAAGTCAGCAAGCCTAATTCTCCCATCTTGAAATACCTTCACTTTGCACATGTAAAGCTGGGGAGCTTTTTGTTTTTCGTTACTGGGACCAATGTGCGCCATTTGTTGTAATGACCTTAATAATAAGGGTGCCAATCCTTCTGAGGATGAGCAGGTTTACCCAAGTCAAATGATCTGAAGAGAATTCCCTAACAAAGTGCCGATCCTCCTGTTATAATGTAAAGCCTCATCAATATTTGTCACTCAGGTTTATTTAGTCAATGGGCAAAGTTAAAAATTACAAAATAAGAAGCAAAAACCAATAGCAATGAGAATGTCAGATAAAGAGGACCAATATATGCAGATTACCATGCATGATCATAATGAATCTCCTTAAATTGAAGATTGATAAAAACAACTAAATGATTCTGTGACAGAAAATGGAAATAGCTAAGTAGGTTTAAGGGACTTCACCCTGCAATTTCAGTAGTTCTAGTATTTGAGGACCAACCAGACTGAGCAGTAGGGCTTCCAGTGAAAGAGTTCAAAGTCATTACAGACCAGATTATAAATCTTGGGAACAAGTCTAACTGTTTTGGCGTTGAATGCCAACAAAAAATACCACAAAGAAACTTTCAAGAACAGAGACAACTTGAAGTTCCAAGACATGTACCGGGCAGAAAGTTAGTTATACTGTCCCTGGATTTTTTCTTTTTGGCAATGGGTGGCATCCTTCCCCCTCTCATATAATGCCCCTCCCTGTCGCAGTCCATACTCAAATGGAATGCATACCACAAGATAAACAGACCATTAGGCTATTTTCTACAACTATAACATACATAACTAAGTTGGAAACTTAACAAAACAACAGTGCCAGGATGAAATACTTTACCAAATTGCTCAGTCAACAGCTTGAAATACGGGAATTTGAGTTAGAGAACAGTAAGATGTGAGGTTTCCTTCTATTTTTCCCACCATCAGCTTGTAGGTCCATTGACACCATCCTCTTCATTCCAACAATGTGCCCAAATATTAAAGAGAAGGGATAACTTAGTCTTTTACTCTGAGGCTTCAGCCAAAGAACATGACAGAGGCAAATGAAAAAACACCATACAAGAAACCAAATAACGGTAGTGAATACACAGGAGATGACCATTTCTGCCATCGTTCCAGTAATCAGGGCCAGAATAACAATAATGGCATGCTTATACTGAAGGTCCTGATGCTATTAGGTAGCATAAACTAATAATACACTACCAAACAACGCTGCTTCTCAAAATTATTCATGAGGTGTTGCAGCATTGAAAGAGAGACCCTATAAGAGTTTCCCAACTCTTAGCTAAACCCTATAAGTTAATATGTGAACAGACAAGGATAAAAGTACTTTTGGAACAATTTTGATGAACCAAACTCTCCACATTCAGCTATAAGAGCATTGTCAGGAAAACTATGAACATGAAAGTGATATTTGCACAACACTTTCCACAGGCAGGCTCAGCAACCAACAAAACATGCACTCCCTGCAAAAGGACATACTCTTCTGGTAAATTACACTCACAAATAAAAGAAGTGAATCATGTTACGACATGAAGGGAATCGCTTTGGATCTCAGTATCCCATTGCAAAAATTGAAGTGTTTTTGCAGTTATGTCATTGCAAAAATATGCACACTAGCATGCGTTGGACACATAAAACCATTAACTACAGCAACCTATATCAAGCAAACAAAAAACCCAGACTTAAACAAGCAAAAGGACCAAACCCCAACATCAGAATCATAGAAAACAAAAACAGGTATGAATTTGGGCAAAATTCATAGTGAATACAAATATTACAGTCCCATATCACACATACAAACATTCACATCAGAGTACGGCACAATTTAATGTGCATTTTCACATTATGAATACAAATTAAATAAGAATACTCGTAAATTTAAATAAAGATAGGCAATTGGGAAAAACGAACTTCCATTAGAAATTTAGACTACGACAGAACAATCAGTACTTACTTACATGAAAAGCATCAAAACCCACAAACCCTAACCCTAATTTCTTCACACCCCCATCCCTAAACCCAAAACACATAAACAATCCAACTCTTCAAGAGCTAGTAAACTTGGTAACAGCCTTGGTCCCCTCAGAAACAGCGTGCTTGGCGAGCTCACCAGGAAGCACAAGTCTCACAGCTGTCTGGATCTCCCGAGAAGTAATCGTGGGCTTCTTGTTGTACCTTGCAAGCCTGGAAGACTCCTGAGCGAGCTTCTCGAAGATATCATTGATGAAGCTGTTCATGATGCCCATGGCCTTGCTGGAGATCCCGATATCAGGGTGGACCTGCTTCAGCACCTTGAAGATGTAGATCTTGTAGGTCTCCACGCTCTTCTTCGATCTCTTCTTCTTCTTATCTCCGGCGGCAGCTCCGGCTTCCTTCGGGAGCTTCTTGCCGGCCTTGGGCTTCTTCTCGGCTGGGGCTTTCTCAGCCACCGTCGACTTCTTCTCCTCAGCTGGCTTTTTCTCGGCGGGCTTCTTCTCAGCTTTGGGCGCCATCGGAAATTTTCTCTTTTTCTCGGGGAAAGAAATGAAAACTTTGACAAGAGGAAATTGAGAGGACTTAAATTGTGAGATGAGGAGGAGGAAGGGGTTAGGGCCTGATATTTATATTAGGTCGTTTCTTCGTCTTTTTGTTGGAAAGGTGCGGATCGGTGACGTGGTGAGCAACGGCCGTTGGATTTTGTGGAGTAAAATTGGAGATCGACGGCTTCAATCGATGCATAAAGTACCGGTTTGCTTGTTTATTGGGGTGTGTACGTGGTGTGTTTTGCTTGGTCCAAATGAGAAGGTGCGGATCGATGAGCTGGAGGGAAATGTTCGTATTGTTCGCCTGGGAAAATCGTTTTATGTGATAATGTTTTCATACATATATATTTCAATTACCATTATGTGCATCCACAAATGACCCAAGAATAATAATAATAAGTTACAAACAAAAATAGAAATCCAAATTACAAGGCCTGTTTTAACAAATCGTACATAGTTTAATAAGGGAAACAAATTATGAGCGGAATTACCGATAAGACTACACTGAACAACTTTTTAAATCTATTGTAGCCTATGCTTTTTTTGAAGGAAAACAAAATTAAACCTATATAGCCCATCAACTTGCCGTTTTCACTTGTGGTTCGGGCCCTTGTTTTATGGTCTTCTTGGCAGTTTCCCCATTATTTCTATAAAGGCATCTTTTCATATAAAAATGAAGAAATTACAACACATTAATAGGGAAATATTATTCTTCCAAAGTCTGTTTTGTGATTTTTTTGGTGGTTTCCAAATTGTTCTTATGTTAACCTTTTTGTTGCATTTAATCTGTATTTGTTTTATGCTAAATTTATTGGAAATTAGTTTATAGGGCTACGAACTAGCGTGATTTATATGATTTAACGTATACTTTTATTTCTAGAAAACATATAGAAGTTGTAAGTTAAAAAATATCATTAGATTTTCATGCAAGGTCGTTTGGTGAATAGGGTTATGTAGTTAGATAAGATTTATAATCCTAATAATATGTTTGGTTGCCTAAAAACAATGATATATAATCCTACTAGGCCAAATGTGTAGGATCCAATATATTGGGATTGGATTGGATTATATATAATCCTACTAAGTTCATAATAACACATTTTAATTAATTCAACCCCTTAATGATGTGTGTACTATCAAACACATCATTAAATTAGCGTTATCATTTCCAATCCAACGTAATCCAATTCTTTTTCATAATCTAATATCATTCACCAAAACATGACCTCAATCTCTTGTTTTTGTGAATTGAGCATTTTGTCGTAGTTAAGACAAAGGTTTTCCATCGCATGCTCCTAACTTATAATCATCAGAAATAAAGTTGCCGGTGTTTGTTTGTTAATTTATTTTATTTCTCTTGATAAGGTAGGCTTCATTTGATTTACAAGGGAAATGTTCCTATATTTTTTTACCGGGGGAAAAAATAACCATTCAAGTATTGTTGGCCACAAAATCGGTTGTGCCATTTTCAAACCGAGTAGACTCCAATTTGACACTTGTTTTTATGTTTACATTAAAAAAGTGTAATCCAAGGTTACAAAATGAGAATACTCATGTATATGTGTATGAGTCTTTAAGTACCGAGATAGTCTTTGTGCACTACATATGTGGCTCACTCTCTCCCTTTCAATTGGAATCTTGTACAATCAAAGATTCTATCACGCATTGCAATCAATTAGAATGGTAGATGTAATGTTGGCTTGTACATGTGCTTGAAATCATTGAGGTTGTTAAGTTAATGATTTTCGCTTCATAAGATTATAAGTAACAAATATTTGATACCTTGTCTTTTTTTTTCAAATTTCAAGTATACAATTGATGTGTTTAACTTCACATGAATATTAGATTTGAAAATGTGTATAAGTTTTGGAAAAAGGAAAGACAAAAAAAAAATTTGATTGCAATGCGTGATAGAATTGACTAGCTTGTTACATTCAATAAGGAATTGTTATGTTAAACAATCGATATGTAAATTCCTTTTTGTTACATTCAGTAAGTAATTGTAAAATGATTATTAAATGAGTTAATGTACATGTTACAATATAAAAAAAAAAAAAAAAAAAAAAAAAAAAAAAAAAAAAAATAATATGTGTGCTAAATGAGTTGGTATTACAAAAGCTAGGCATTAAGTTAAAAATAGTAACTAAATAAGTTAAGAAATAAATAAAGTTTTATATCTTTTTGATTATTTTGACTTTGCACACTTAGTTGGAATGCCTATGACAGAGTTTATCGTTAGTGGAGGCGCATCAGATTGTCTTAGTTTTGATGTTAGACCACTTCATTATTGTAATGGCCTTTTGTGGCTAGTTTGTATTGACCATTTGTGGCTTGTTGATAAGGAGTCTCTCATGTAATATCGGGGTCCTAACTTGGGTCAAGACCAAGACGTGCCCTGGATTGTAAGGTTGGGTTGATCTTTCAAGCTAACATGCACACTTCAAGCAACTATAAAAAGAGGGGTAAACTGGCTGGATACTAGTCGAACCCGCTCTAATGACTGAGTTATAAGTGGGTTTATAGTAAAAAGATGGATAGAGAGTTTCTGGATGAAAATATTTATTACCTTTGTCTCAATGCAGATGAAGAGTATTTATAGAGAGAGAATGAGAGATCATATCTCATTAAATCTTGCCAAAAATGAGATCTTCAGCCATTTCCAATGATGGGGCTGGAGAGTGGTTATGAGCACCAGTCACTGTGCTGATTATCGAGGATCAAGTAGCAAGGCGACATCTGGCTTGGATGTGAAGCGGATTAAATGATCCATTTCAATCACCATGTTGGTATTAGGTGTGTGAAGTGACATGACCTGACAAGGATCTGGTTGTATTATAATATTAGCGCTTCTGCCCTTCTAGTCACAAGACATCACAGTGGACTCGGGGAGATCAATTTGGTCGAGTTGGTACACCGTCACCAAAACTTTGGACCACACGATGTTTCCTAATAATAAGCCCAGCTGAAAGACCTACTAGCAGTACACGGGGTGGTCAACTTGGTCGGGTCGATATATGAATGACCTAGCCTTTCTTAGCCACCTGGTACTTTCTGATAGGCTTGGCTATATGACCCATTAACATGGGTAGGGGCTTTTTGACTGACTGAATGCTAAATTTCTCAACAAAAAAAAAAAAAAAAAAAAAAAAAAAAAAAAAAAAAAAAAAAAACCAATTGTTTGTGGTTTTAAAAAAAAAATTCCAATACATTCCTTGGTAAAAATTAATTAATTCCCTCTTCTCTCTCTCTTCCTCCATAATCCAGCAGCATCCATAATCCAACGAGTATAGTATACACAATCCACAGCCACCTTCACTCTCGACATCGATAAAAACCGACCAATTACCCAGTCCCAATCCCCAACAAAATTCAAACCAATCCAATGAATTTTGTTGTTGCTAAGAACAACCCAACAAATCAAACAAAAGCTACTCAGAGCCCAATTGACTGACGACTGTGTTTGAGTACATCTTCAACCTCAGATGGCTCAAATCTAAACCCAAAAGTAAACACTTTCATTTCAAACCCAAAATGAAGATCACTCGCCCTCATCGTCCTCTCACAAACTCTCTCATTCACTCAAAACCCAGAAATATCTGCTCCTCTTCCAAACCCACTTCCCAAGATAATGACGAAAATGACGACTCCCACTTCGTTTCGGGCCTAACCGACGTCGTTCGAGGAAAGCAGAGCTGGAAAGTCGCCTTCAACGACCCCTTCATTTCAATCGCATTGAAGTCCCATCACGTTGAGAAGGTTCTGATCCAGAATGTAAGGAATCCCAGGTTAGCCTTGCGGTTTTTCAATTTCTTGGGCTTGCACAAAAGCTTCAATCACTCTACGGCGTCGTTTTGCATTTTGATTCATGCCCTGGTTCAGTCCAATCTCTTTTGGCCTGCCTCCTCGCTTTTACAGACCCTCTTGCTACGTGGGTTGAACCCAAATGAGGTTTTTCAGTCTTTGTTGAATTGTTATAGGAAACTTAACTGCTCGTCGAGTTTGGGTTTTGATTTGTTGGTTCAAAATTATGTGCAAAATAAAAGAGTGTTGGATGGTGTTGCGGTTGTGAGGCTCATGAGGGAGTGTGAAATTTTGGCTGAGGTTAGAACCTTGAATGCCCTCTTAAATGGGTTGGTGAGAATTAGGCATTTCAATATGGTTCTGCAACTTTTTGATGAGTTTGTCAATGTAGGTCTTCGGCCTGATGCTTATATGTACACGGCTGTGGTTAGGAGCTTGTGTGAATTGAAAGATGTACACAAGGCTAAGGAAGTGATTCAGTACGCAGAATCGAATAAGTGTGAGTTGAGTGTTGTTACATATAATGTGTTGATTCATGGACTCTGCAAGTGCCAGAGGGCTAGGGAGGCTGTAGAGATCAAGAATTTATTGGGGCAAAAGGGATTGAAAGCAGACATGGTGACGTATTGTACATTGGTGCTTGGGTTGTGCAAAGTGCAAGAATTTGAGGTTGGTGTGGAGCTAATGAATGAAATGATTGAGCTGGGGTTTGTTCCGAGTGAAGCGGCTCTTTCAGGTCTCATGGAGGGACTGAGGAGGAAAGGGAAGATTGAAGATGCTTTTGATTTAGTGAATAGAATGGGAGAAGTTGGGGTGGTGCCTAATTTGTTTGCTTATAATTCGTTGATCAATTCTTTGTGTAAGGATGGGAAACTGGAGGAAGCAGAATTACTCTTTGATAACATGGGCAAGAAGGGTATGTTTCCCAATGATGTAACATATTCTATTTTGATTGATTCGTTCTGCCGAAGGGGAATGTTGGATGTTGCACTTTGTTATTTTGGTAAAATGACCAATGCTGGGATTAGAGTAACTGTGTATCCCTACAATTCTTTGATAAGCGGGCAATGCAAGTTTGGAAAATTGAGTGTGGCAGAAAACCTCTTCAGTGAGATGATGAATAAAGGAGTGGCTCCAACCGTTGTAACCTATACATCATTGATAAGTGGATACTGCAAAGAAGGAGAAATGCACAAGGCATTTAGGCTGTATCATGAAATGATGGCAAAAGGCATCACACCAAACACTTATACCTTCAATGTAATAATTTCAGGTCTTTGTCGTGCAAATATGATGGGTGAAGCAACTAAGTTCTTTGATGAAATGGTGGAAAGGGGCATTTTGCCAAATGAGGTCACTTATAATCTTATGATTGATGGTCACTGCCGAGAAGGCAACACAGTTAGAGCCTTTGAATTGTTTGATGAAATGGTCAAAAAGGGGCTTGTACCAGACACATATACATATAGACCTCTAATAAGTGGTCTTTGTTCAACAGGTAGAGTGTCTGAAGCCAAAAAGTTTGTAGGTGACCTTCACAAAGAGAATTCTAAGTTAAATGAGATGTGCTATAGTGCACTACTACATGGTTATTGCAAGGAAGGAAGATTGCATGATGCATTAGGTGCTTGTCGTGAGATGATTGAAAGAGGAGTAGACATGGATCTTGTGTGTTATGCGGTAATTATTTGTGGAGCTTTAAAGCAACAGGATACTGGAAGATTATTTGGTCTCTTTAATGAGATGCATAATCAGGGACTGAGGCCTGATAATGTAATATATACAAGTATGATTGATGTATATGGGAAAACTGGAAAACTTGACAAGGCATTTGGAGTTTGGGATATAATGGTTAGTGAAGGATGCTTACCTAATGTTGTGACATACACTGCCTTGGTATATGGGTTATGTAAGGCAGGTTATATGGATAAAGCGGAGCTTCTTTGTAAGGATATGCTCTTCGGTGATACCCTTCCTAATCATGTTACATATGGTTGTTTCTTAGATCACCTTAGCAAAGAAGGAAGCATGGAAAAAGCTATACAGCTGCATAATGCCATGCTTGCTGGGTTGTCGGCAAACACTGTCACATACAATATACTTATCAGGGGTTTTTGCAAAATGCGCAAGTTTCAGGAAGCTTCAGACCTCCTTGTTGAGATGACAGCCAATGGTGTTTACCCAGATTGTATCACCTATTCAACATTTATCTTTGAGCATTGTAGGAGCGGCAATTTGCTAGAAGCTATTAAATTGTGGGATGTCATGCTAGATAGGGGTTTGAAGCCTGATATTCTAGCATATAACTTTTTGATATATGGTTGTTGTGTCACTGGAGAACTAGCCAAGGCTTTTGAGTTGCGTGATGACATGATGAAAAGGGGGTTGAAGCCAGATCGAGTTACATATAACACACTCATCCATGGAACTTGCCTGACAGGTTGAGTTCTGTCCATCAGCTGCTAGAAATGCTGGAAGAGTCTTCCGTGTGTCCCATATGGAACCAGGCATGCGTTCTGTTACCTTCAAAAACTGACATTTTTTTAGCTTAGGTATACTTCTAACATTGACAAGATGACCTGGAATTCTTTAATGTACATTATTCCAACCCTATATGTTAAGGTAGAAGATGTAAGAGAGAGACAATGTAATGTATCAACAAGCGGATGAGCAACATAGAGCTGAGAGAAACTTTGAATTGATTGTTTGTCAGCAACATGAAATAAATCCATAAAACTTGGGTCTTCCCTTTGGGATGAAAGTTATTGTTGTCATTCTTTATACAGAAAGAAACCTCCAACAAGTTTCGTTGCTTAGGCAGTCGAGAAAAGGTGAATCAAGTCTAACTCAGTTGCACATATTTTTCCTCATGCCTTGTGAGTTTATGATCTTTTATTTTGTTGTACAATGACGAGAAGCTCAGAAACAAAACAATTGCACTGAATGGATCTGGCCTTTCCCAAACTAAAGGTATCAGCAGCCACCTGAGAGTTTATAACCTGATGGACAGTATAAATGTATTCGGTGTTTTTCTTTTCTGTTTGCGTATAAACAAGAGTGTGGTGAGCGTTCTTCTTTAGCAACATTATTTTTCCAGCACTTTGGGCCGTGACTTTCATCTCAGAGGTTAGACTCAAATTGATGTTTTTTAGGTTGAGTTTGAAATTTGATAGTCACAAAGTAGAAGCCACAAAATTCTAAATGGTGCATTCGCCATTGGCACCAATTATGGTTACAAAATAATGCATTGCAAGGCAACTAAACAATGCTTTGTTTGGGCTTTGCAGGGCATGTTCCATTAATCCTGTCGCCATGAATGACAAAGACCGAATTGGCGCTACAGGCACACAAGAATGAGCAAGAACCAGTTTCAGAACCAATTATAACAGCATACAGCTGTTTTCTGCATGGTTAAAATTAGTAAAACACTTTTCTGCAGTCGAAAAAACAAATCCGGTGTTTCTACCTTCAGGAGATGATATAACTTAGCATCTAGATATAACTATTAGGAGAAACTCAGACACTCATTGCATATGTTCCTGCCATCTTCCTATATAAACTGAGATCACAGAATTTGTTCTAGACGAAGGTAAGACTGTAAGGTAAAACTTGAACAACAAACCAAGTATTATAATTCAGTCAGGTTCACAGCACCACAAACTATTAACATTTCACTTAAAAGTAAAACAGAGGTTGAGAAAAATCGCCATAAATAAACGCCAGACTTCTTAGCTGGCACGACTTTTGATAACATCAAGACCAATCTCAGTCGGATCAGTAGCCTGCAGCTCTACTTGTATACCATCCAGTTCTCTCTTGAACCTGTCCTTGGAGCTTGCATAAATCATCTTGCTTCTCACCCTTGATGTATCAGGAGACCTATGAACGGTAACGAACATAAGCAAAAATGACGAGAAAAAGTGAGGTTTTTTCAGCTTATAATATTACCATGCAATGAAGAAAATCCTGCTTTTCTGACAATTCTCCTCAGTCACAAAGTCAAAATCATAGACAGCATATCTGCATTCATCAGCGGGAAGGCTTGCAGTAAAGTTTTCATAGCTTTCAGCTGGCTCGCCAAGTTTCTCCACAATCACCTGCTTTTGCTCCTCCTCAATCTTGAATACTATGAAGCGGTACGTTCTTTTAGCCTTCAATTCCAGAAACTTCAGCTTGCAGTCATCATCCACAGCAAATCCCGACGCTGCATTAGCCTGATCAGAGAACGAAACACAAAATAGATGTTATTCTCATGCATCCACCCAAAGAATAATACCATGCAACTAGGGAAGCCAACTTCTTTCCCAAAACCAAGACACTTTCATTTCTAAACACTAAACATATATTAATTCTCCAGCTCATCCAAAACAGAATCATAGAAATTGCCAAGAAAACAATTAACAATATCTTACAATGTTAAACCAAAGTTATCAAGTCATGACACCAGATATTACAATGTCAAGGTGTCATTCCCCAAAATTTAAATCCCACAAAGTTTTCTACTCGCAACAGGAAAACAGCTAGTATGCAGTGATCATTATAAAATCATTGATGCAGATCCTAAAAAGACTATTCCAGAGATTTGATTCCTTTTGGGTTTGGTCTGCCCATTAGACATACTGGACTTGAAAATAATTTTAAAGTCTGTAGCCTCCTTCCTCTCTTTCTCTCCCTCGACCGTTTCTCTCGAGTAGTGACTAATGATACAGGGCTCATCTTGAAGCCCTTGACTCTGAGCCTGCATGAGGCAGGATAGCCTAGAGCTCAGGCATCTAAACTACACAGGAATATACCAGAAATGTGAAACTGAGACCTAAGCACGACCCAAGTTTCATCACGAGCAATGAACAAAAAAGGAATAAGGTTACTTGAGGCAGGTTTCCTCTTTGGTTTAGCTTCAACCCAGGATTACAGACTCTCCATGACGCACCCAAGTTTTACACTGTCCTGCACCAGGGTGCACAGATATAACAAGCTTTGCTGCCCCAATCCCAATTTCTAGACCAGGGCAAAGTAAGCGCACTTGTGCTATGCTAGCAATATTAAGATCCAACCACAATTCAGAATTGCAACATGCATACGGGATCAAATTGGTTTGCTCAAACGAAAGCGTCGATGAGTGCTGCCAGATGAGCAACCTAGAATTTAGTTCTGATCAGCTAGTTGACATAATTGCAAAAGTGAGCAATTGAACCCCAACTACAGGTCAAATAAAAGAATACAGAAAGCGAGTAATTAGAACTAAAGTATGTGTCTTGACATTCAGATAAGCTAACTCCATTCTAATCAGTTATAAATGTCAGTCAAACAATGTATCTAAGAATTGACACCAACAGCTTTTTCAGACTAATGGTGCAATGCAACTATGCACATACTTCACAATCAACATGACAACGTTGAACTCAAACACACGTGCGCCACCAAAATCAACACTTTCAGAACCGACATCAAAATGCCAAATATAAAAGAAACCCAGAATCCCACCAAAATGAACATAAAACATATACCCACAAATCAAAAATAAAAGATTAGTGCAACACTTCGGTTCTAAGCAAATATCATCATCTAATGGCAAACTAAATTATATAAAAATTAAAACAAAACCAAAATTCAGATCCATAACAACTCGATTTTCAGAAGTGCATATAAAACCCATCACAGATCAGAGACAAGAGATCAGAGATCATAACCCAAATTACTTTAACCAGCCAAAAAGATAAGAGAAACGAGAAAAAATTAAAAAATTAAAACCAATGTGTAGGGAAAGGGAAATGGGAGAGACCGAGGGAGAAACTGACCATGGAGGTTGCAGAAAATCTAGGCCAAAACGAAAAATGAGCTGAAAATCTGTGACTCTCAGAGACAATGAAGGACTCCCTGCTCCTTTTCTACGTTGCTCTGTGCTTTGAGCTTTTGCTATGGATACGGTGGCTGTGGCTTCTTCACCCACCTCCACTCCTCTAAATATCATCATGGAGGTCATGTCATGCGTGACAACGGGGAGAAGAGAAAGTAGGTCTCTCCAACCATGGCGCGACGCGTGGAGGATATTTTGAAAAGACGATTATGCCCTGCGCGTCACGTTGCGGGTCGCGACTTGCCACCCATCCGGGAGTCGGTAATCGAGCCAATGACCCGCCCGTGATATTTAAATTGGAAAATCCAGCCCCATTTGTTTTTGCCGGACCCAAAAAGAAGTTTATTGAATAATACTTACCTTTTTTGGGGGTAATTATTCGAACCAGCAAAGAAATTATTCTAAATTGATAATAATCTTTTCTTTTAAAAGTAACGATAAAATTATTCTTCTAAATAATGCACAAGCACATGTAGGTGTCTCCTCTCCATGGCCATAAGTAATGCAAATGTTAGAACATGATCAACGACAAGTTTTTCGGACCTAATGTTAGGGTGTCAATTTTTGACACAACAAACTATGTTACTAACTCGATTTTGCCATGATAAGCATATTCAATTAATATTTTATGAAGGATATAATTCTTTTTTTTATTGGAAAAAAAATACTAGTAAATCAAGAGCTAATTGATTTCATTTTCTTTTTTTTTCTTTCTAATAATATGTATGGAATGAGTAATTTATAATATACTTTCTTTTTATGATTTTGTAAATATTTATAATTTACAGAATTTTTATTATCTACATATAAAGTAAAAGGTGGTAAAACATTCAAAATATCAAAAAATGCCATTAGTTAATGCAAACATTAATAATTGAAATTATTAATTACATGAGGATAATATGGTAAATTCACTCTTTTTCATATTTAAAAAAATTAAAATTAAAAGAAAAATCAGAGAATGGATCAAGTGCTGCTATTTCCACACACCTGTCTTATTTTCCCACCCACCTTATCTTCAAAATTTTATATACAAATTTACCCCTTTGCAAAATGACTTTTAAGAACTTAAGGAAAAAACCTCAACCCTAAAATAAAAACTCAATTTCATAATAATTAAAAAGGGAAAAAACTCCTTAATTAAACAAAGAGAAGCCAAATAATGAAAGAGAGAGGGAATTAATTTACGTTTTAAGGAAAATATATTTGTATGTTTTAATTATGAGAAAAACCAAAGCAAAGGATTCGGATCCGTAATGGATTAGCAAAGAGAATTTTCTCGAATTAATAATTAAATGGTCTTTTAGGAATAATGATGGGTGGAAAGATAGGATTTTATTTTTTTCAAATTTACATGGTGAGTGGGAATATAAGGTGGATGAGGAAATAGGACAGGGATGGCGGAAATAGCAGCACTCTATTTTTATGAAACACAACTACCCATTATCTTTTTTAATTATAAAATAATTTTAAATTTTAAAATAAAAAGCCTTTCGCAGCGCATAAGCACATGCGAATAGGCTAGTATACATAATGTATAAGTAAGTTGATTTGTTTGAGAATAAAGTAAATTTAGTGTTAACTTTTTGATCTATTGACACGTGGATTAACCCGAACACAATATGATTATAAATTAGTAGAGTTTTGATTGACTAATTTTCAAAGTGAAAACAAATGACATGACACCAACACAACCACAAACCATAATTGGCACCAACCTAGATCAACATTTTTAAAATGGGCCTTGTATATATTCATGAAAATAAAAATTCAGATTATTTGTGATTTCTTAAAGTTTTCTTTTCCTTGTTTGTGTGTGCTTTAAGTTCAAAGCGCTTTTTGTTGAGTTTGTGCAAATGATTCAAACAATGATATTTTCTATGTAAACTGATGAACCGAAATACTTAAAGGAGGTTGGCGAAGATGTTAATCGACCAACCGTTTCATGTCATGAGCACTTTCTTGTTTTGTTTCCTCTATGAATTTGATTCCTATTTGGATTATAACTCTGCCCATATAACTAGAAGTCTTACGTATTATAAATAGGACTTTTAGGGGGAGCCTTATTCATGATCATTTGTGAATCCTAATTACATGTGAGCATGAAGTAAACACTCGTGTGCTTGTAATTGTTTATCATTCTTCTTATGACATGTTTACTTATCATGAATGAGTATTGGATTAATTCCAATTCATGTTTGTCTTGTGTTTACTAACACATGAGTATTAAAATGATTCTAATTCATGACTTCCTTTATATTTACTAACACATAAAGCACAAAACAATTATGTGAGTTCCATGTTAATTTTTTTTAATCAAATACACACTCAAAATCACGAATATAATCAACTATGGGGGAGTAGTTGATCTATTTCACAATTCTTGATTTCTCTATCTAAGTTCCCAATTCATGACTTCCCCAATCTTGATAAATAGTGGACGTAACTCATATTGAATAAACCTTGTAAATTATTGTGTCGTGTGTGTGGTTGGTTTTGTTTTGTGTTTATTGATCTCGTTTATATCACTTTCATAGGATATCAATGCTCAATTTCCTAACATTTTGTCCATATAAAATTATTCGGTTTTTGGGTGACATGGTATGTTTGAAAATTGGTGGGTTGGAAACTTTGTTGGCATTAGATAATACTTATTTTCTTTATCTTAAATTATTTTAAATGGAACTTTGTTTTCTTTTCATGTTAAATAATAGGGAAGTTGAAGCGGTTGCCTCATTGGACTCATTTTAGGGCTAACGCTCATTTTGAATTCTAATCCAAACCTCATTAAAATTTAAACTATAATTGTCACATATTTCAAGGAAAATTTAAACTTAAGGCTATCATCTCACTGGACTCACTTAAAAGTCTAACAGTTTAAATTGTGTTTCAAGGTAAGAAATGTTAAATAATAATTTGTAAATTTTGGTCTTGTGGCATGCAAAACATACCCTGAAAGGATTAACTATTTATAGGATTAACTTTTAATTTATTGATTTTAAAAGTTTCTTTGATCATGTGAACTGTTACAATCATAATTAGTTATATCTATATCGAAAACGTTAAGAGTTAATGGTTGAAGATAATTGTCATCATTCTTTATTATCGAATTATTGATGCATGTTATGTTGTCAAATACATTACTGTTTCATAACCTCTAAAACAAATTTCACCTCCCAAAAATTTGAAAGTACTATATAGAAACTTCAGCGGGAAATTGGAAAAAAGAAAAAGAAATTGGCGGTGATGCTTAATATGTGTTACCTTTCAATCAAAAAAACCAAAAACGGAAAAAATGAAAAGACAAAATGCGAACCCTCTCCCATTGGTCAATTATTCACTACACGGATCGCAGTCAAATGTGTCTCAACCGTCGATAAGACGGCCATCGTACGGCCACCGTGCACTCACAAGCTCCCCAAGCCTTCCCTGAACAATATGATCCACAATACATCTCACCCTATAAAACCAATTCTCTAACAGGTTCCTAAATCCACTGTCCGAAAATTTTCAATTCTCTCTTTGCCATTTCTGATTGGGTTTTTGAGCCAAAAGGGTGTCAGTGGTTTTAGTGGGTCTAGGGTTCGGGAATTTTCAGAGCTGAGAGATGGAGACTGGTGGTAAGGTGAAGAAAGGTGCCGGTGGAAGGAAAGGTGGGGGTCCCAAGAAGAAGCCGGTGACCCGGTCCGTCAAGGCCGGTCTGCAGTTTCCGGTCGGTCGTATTGGACGGTACTTGAAGAAGGGAAGGTATGCTCAGAGAGTTGGGTCTGGAGCTCCGGTTTACTTGGCCGCGGTTCTTGAGTACCTCGCAGCTGAAGTAAGTTTCCCTTTCGATTTGTGGGTTTGTTTTTGTTTTGATAGTTAGGGTTTCAGCTTTTGGTTTCTGGGTTGTGCTCAATTTGGAGTGTAATTGTTTATGTTAGGTAGTTTTTTTAAATTTTTTGCTGAAATTTTGACCTAAATTAATGGTTGGTTGCTGAGAAAATTTCTGATGTGGGTTTTCCTTCAGGTGCTTGAATTAGCTGGAAATGCAGCTCGGGACAACAAGAAGAACAGAATTATCCCAAGGCATCTGTTATTGGCTGTGAGGAACGATGAAGAGCTTGGAAAATTGCTCGCCGGTGTGACCATTGCTCATGGTGGTGTGCTTCCAAACATCAACCCAGTCCTCTTGCCCAAGAAATCAGAGAAGGCCGCCGCCAAAGAGCCTAAATCTCCATCCAAGGCCACCAAGTCTCCCAAGAAGGCTTAAGCTTCCCCCAATGAATCCCCCACCCCATGTTTAGTTTTAAGAACCCCCACATGTTTAGTTTTAGGTTGGGCTCCTCTCCATTTGTATGTAATCTGTGTTCAGATCTTTGTTTTTGTTGGTTGGTAGTCTAAAATGCTTAATGAATTTGAAAGCATTTGTAACCTCTCAAATCTATGTGATCATGACCAAGTTTTAGGAACTTTCTTTTTCTTGGAATTCATTAATGAAACCTCTTGTTTCTGTTATTGTCTTAATGGGTATTGTCTTGATGGGCTGCTTTATGAATGCTTTGAAGAAAGGAATATCTTTTGTGTGTGTTCTTCTCAAGCATAAGTTCCACTCTTTATCCCATGCCCCTTTTGCCTTTTATAGCACCTTTCTTTACTATAATGCTTCGTATAATGACTAGGGTTATTTGGCATGAATGCTCATTATTGAATTGGCATTTGATTAGTGGATCTTGTGGATGCAAGTGTTCTTGAATCTTTGATGGTTAAAGAAAAAAGAAAAGAAGAAAGCTTGGGTGAGTGGTGAGTGGTGAGTGGTTGAGAGCTTGCAATTTTTTTTTCTTCTGAAACATGTAAACCTTGCGTGTTCATTTTTGTTGTTGTTATGTATTGTTGCGAGTTGGATTTGACACTTGCATGACAAAATCTCTTAATTACATAAAGGTCCAATATTGTTGATGATGAGAAAGATTGGATTGTTGTTTTTATTATGCGTACTTGGTACATTTTCAGATTGTGAGGGTCCTGTTTGCTTTTTGATCGTTGAAGAGTTGAGCGGTTGAGAGCTTGCACTTTTTACAGTGTGTGATTGATTTGGGTTTGCCCCATAACAAACTTCCATGACAAATTAAAGTCCCTTAATTCCAGGGGGTCCTTTCCTATTTTTTATGATGATGAAAGCTTGGATGAGTCTATTAAGATGATTTTGTTGTTCGTGTTCTGTATTTTAGGATACAAACTTACCTACACCGGAGTGTATATCATGTTCTTTCTATCTCTCTTCCTGCATTATTTGGATAGATTGCATTAGGGTAGAAGGGAGAGTATGCAAATTTGGGTTTGCCGCATGACAAACTTGCATGACAAAAGTCATGAATAGGATTATAGTCTTGATTGTGTTTTGTCACTTTGCCTACTATGACAAAACAGAGAGAAGAGCTTGGATGATTTAAGAAAAGTGGGGCTCGTTTGGCAGTAGTCCTTTGCTGAAGCTCCTTTTTCTGATAGCCTTTTGGTCAATGCAAGAAGGTTCTTGCACAGAAAAGAATCATTAACGTTTTTGGGTCTTCTGTTGATCATGAGATTTGGGCCTGGATGCTAAGTTTGCAAAGTTACTGCAGCATTTTATTCCTCAAAATGCCAAGGATTATACTGACTCTTGCTGTTAGTTGTAGGAAGTACAGGGAAATGAACATGTGATATGATGCAAACATCCTGACCCTCATCTCCTGTTGAAAATTAATTGATGCAAGACTTGTTGTGAGACTCGCGTCTATAGTTGAGTTCATAGCTCCTTTTTTAGTAACATCATAACAAACTTTACGTAATCGATAAGGAAATGAAAATACAATAGAATGTAAAACTTATCTTATCTTCATGAGATGACATTTTTATCATGCTTTTAAGTGTGCGTGGATGATTCTTAACCATTAATTAATGTAAGGGTTGAAAGTTATCGACTTTACATTTGATTCTACAATAAATTCAAAACCCCCCATTTTTTCTACTAACATTATAACAACTTTACTTACTCATAAAAAATAAGTGACGAAGTTTTAAGTTAGTTGCTATGGTTTTCTTCTCGACATTTTAACCACTAATTTATGAATCTTCTTTACTTAGCATTTATATAATTTCACCTTTTTTTTCACCCAAATGTTGTCTCTATACATCTTTTTTTCTTGGGGTCAACTTTGTCCCTATACATTCAATCCCCAATTTTTTGGTCCAAATTTCAGGTTACCCATGTAATTAAAAAAATAAAAAAAGAAGAAAAAGAAAAAAACAATTAGCTAGGCCCAACTTGGCTTGGGCACCCAAAGTTGTTTCTTCTCCACTTTCCAACTAAGCAAACCCAACTATAAAGACATTTTACTAGGGGTGGGCATTATAACCGAAAACCCGACCGAACCGCCCGAACCGGATCGCTTTTGCTGGTTTGGTTCGATTTTTATAATAAAAAATCCATGAATCGGTAAAAAACCTGACCGAACTGGCCATGAATTGTTAAGAACCGGTTTAATTTTTGAAAAACCAATGAAAACCGGATCGGACTGAACATTTTAAATTATATTATTTAAAAATAAATTTTAACATGTGGCAGCGGCTGATTCGTCCATTTTAAGCCCAGGTCTACGCCTTGCCACACTCAATCGCTCGCTCACGAAACCCTAACATTTCATTTCAGCTGCTCCAAATTTTTTTTCACTTCTCTCTCGATCAGATCTGCCTCTCTCGAGTTTTTATCAAAAATAGCCAAAATTTAACCTCCAAATTCATAAATGTCCGTTTTTAAAAATACTTTCAATTATAATAAAAAACTCACTTAAATTGACCCAAATGCCCTCTAAATTATAACTCAATTACACCTAAAAGCTAAAATCCAAAATTACAGGAGCACAAAAACAAGATTGGCTTCGTCAACTTAATCATGCCTATGAATCCTATTATAAAAATGACAATGTAATTACCAAAAAGAAGAAGAAAAGTAACATCCGATGTTTTCATAAATCCAAGCAATAAAAATAATCTATGCGACTATGGCTTGATTCGTGGGTTTGGGAGTTTTTTACAATAAAAAAAGTTAAAGTCAATTTCTTGACATAATAATTTTTAATTGAGGAAAAAAGTTGAATTTTCTCGCAAAATTTGTATCATAAATACTGCTAGTCTGCATATGATATGGGGGTTAAACTTTCTTGCAAACCATCATATGTGCTGCTGCCTTCCCTCAACACAAGAGGTCTAGAAAAATTGCAAGGCCCTCGCTGTTCATAGACTATCTTCCCACAACACAAACTTGCCTATATTAACTTTGCTTTCCATTAAGGGTGATTGGCGAGGGGCAGTGTCCTTGTGTTTGAGGGTAGGCTGGGTGGAGAGTGAGGCTTGTGCTCGATAGCTTATGGCTTGGAAGAGCATGCTTTTTGGTTAGGTTTTAATTTAGATGGCATTTGGGTCAATTTAAGTGAGTTTTTGATTATATTTGAAAGTATTTTAAAAAACTGACATGTATGAATTTGAGGGTTAATTTTGGCTATTTTTGATAAAAACTCGCCTCTCTCACTCAACCTCCTCTCCCCAAACCAAATCCGTCGACTTCTTCTTTCAAGCTCTCTGTCACTGTCGTTCTCTCTCTCTCTCGGTGACTCTCGCAGCGTGGCTCTCTCTCTGTCACTGTCGTTTTCTCCCGGTCAATCTCGCTATCTCTTTCTCAGCCATTCTCTCTGTCACTCTTGCTCTCTCTCACGGTCACTCTCGCTCTCTCTCACGGTCACTCTTGCTCTCTCTCAGCCATTCTCTCTCAGTTTTCCTCACTCGATTTTTCTGTCAATTTGAGCCGCAAATTCTCATGAACGAGTTAGGGCTTTAAGGTACTAATATCTGTAATTTTTTTTCTCTCTTAGTTCTCATGAACGAGTCTGACTATGTTGTGATTTTTTTATTTTATATTTATATTTATTTTAGGTTTGGAAATTTATATTTATTTTGGGCATGATTTGTAGGTATTCGTATAAATTCCTTAGTTTATATTTGTATTACCCCAGGTCTGAAGGAAGACAGACTTCTTCTCTGTAAGTCCTCTTTATTTCTTGCGTTTTTATGGATCTTGTTAATAATGACTTAGTTGCTTGGCTAAACGCTTATGTTTGTTATTTCAGCACATAAATTTTACTTACACCACAACCGCTGTACGGTCAGTCAACTTATGACGACGCCGTTTCGCGTCCATCTTCTTCCTTGTAGACCGGCGCACGATAAGGGGAAATGAGAGGCTCAAATGGCGGATTTGGGATTCTGCGCACGTCTGCCTTGGGCAGGAGTTTCTGGGCACGCCATTCTTCATCCAATTTGTTCGTTGGAGGTTTTTTAAACTTCATCGGTTTTCTTTTTTTCAGTTCATATTATATTAAGTTAATTTCGTGGTTAAGATCTTGTTTCTATGTATCAAATAGCCAAATTTATCATTATCAGGGGTTTCATTAGAATTGTTCATAAAAGATATAACAATGAAATTGTTGATAAAAGATAGAACAGAAGTGGTTGCTGTTAAAGTAGTAAAAACTCTGGAAAATATTTCTTTTTCATGGTATATTGCTTTGGATATGATTTTGTTATAACCTAAGTTGGATGCAATATACAGGGCTTTCCTATGATACAAATGAACCTGTTCTTAAGGAAGCTTTTGGGAAACATGGTGAAATAATTGAAGGTAATGTTACTGTGATTGAGGCTGTTATTAACTTTTTAGGTTTTTTTTTTGGTTCTTTGTTCTTTGAAGATCATTTACTTACTTGAGGGGATAATGTTGTCCTATTTAACAGTTAAAGTTATATGTGATCATGTGAGTGGGAAATCGAAAGGGTATGGATTTGTGAAGTTTACTTCTGGAATTGAAGCCAGCACTGCTCTCAAAGAAATGGATGGTCAGGTAGTTTTTATTGTTCATGATTAATTTCTTTGTAATTTATATGTGTTGAAATCACCCTGTTAAGTACCTACCTGCCTCCTCTGGAATGCAAAGAAAGATCGTTGGTTAATGTTTGTGATTCTTTTCAGTTGCTTGATGGCAGACAAATCCGCTTGGAATTTGCACACAAGGGGTAATGACATTGATCTCAGGTAAAATTTAGTTTGTAACTAAAAGCTTTGCTATTGTTTTTTTTTCCTCTCTCTTTGAGATCAAGCAAATAGCATTAGGATTGAGTTCTAACTTAAGTGCTTGGTGAATCTACTCTATGCTTTGGCCAACATTTCTTTGCGTGGAGCTCCTTAATGAAGCTCTCTCTATACCATCTAATCTTTGTTGGTTGGAATTCCTTTTATGTGTCAGAGGCTGTGTATTCGTTTTTTTCCTATCATCAGCTTGTTATGCCTTATGTAAAGTTATAAACGTTATCCAATTTTTCATGTATGAAAAGTTGCCCTTTTTGTGTTGCGGAAACCAGGGCAATTCAACAGTTCGGTGAGGGTTTTCATTTAGAAAAAAAAAAACGTTTTGTCCATATCAGAAGATTGCTTTAGTTTGACTATTTAGTTGCTGCTGTTAGAATGACGACTTATAGGAGGATAGTTCATAATCGTCTCATGTCTGTAGATATATATATCCTATAAATTGCATAATTTGACCATACATGTTCTATGGGTGTGTATGGATGGTGGTTGGGAGCATAGCACAAACTTTCTTCCATTTGCTCCCATGACATATTTGTCTTGAACGTATAGGTACCCACTATCTCAAGTCTTGTTGCTTTCTTTGGCAGGTACAGTGGATTGGAGGGGGCATGTTGTGGTAGGTGATATTAACCAGCAAGTCCAGATCTGAGTTGCACACTGATTTTATTTTATTTTATTTTCGCCTTCTTGTGGCAATTTTGTAAAATTTGTGATATAAATTTTCTTCTTGTCTTCAATGAAATCAATATGTTTGAAGAGATTTGATCAACTTTATTATGACAAATCTGTCTCCCCAGTGCATCAAGGGTCATTCTTCCCCAAATTTATATTCCCGTCATGACTTTGCTAATTTTCTCATGGTGGGTTGGGCAATTTGGGAAGCAATCCATGGAATGCTAAGAAGATTAGGCCTGAACAAGTCAGCTTGAATGCATCTCTGAGGCTACAGGAATTTCTGCGGGTAAATGAATGCTTGGGGTCTCACAGTGGGCAGGGTCAAACAAAAGAAAAGTGGCAGACACCACATGCTAACACTCTCAAAATAAATGTGGATGGTGCTTGGAAGCCGGGGACCACATAGGGTGGCGTCGACGTGGTTGTGAGAAACTCCACCGGGAAATTCGTGGTGGATTGTACAGTTAAATTGGTTAATGTATTCTCTGCACAACAAGTGGAGGCTTTGGCTGCAAGAACAGGTACAGTATTGGCAATGGAAAGGGGTTTTCAAAATGTTGTCTTTGAAGGGGATGCTCTCTAGATCGTTACAACACTTTGAAGTGACTCCATAGATAGGTACGTCATTGGACCAGTGGTGGAGGATACCAAGAGCTTGCTAACACAAGTCACTGGGGAAGGTTTTACCCATATTCGTCGTACTGCCAATGGTGTGGCTTATCGTATAGCGCATTTTGCACCAGTAAGCTCCTGATTTTATTTCTGATATACTGTATGAGGATTGTAATTCGTCATCAAGGAATTTCCTTTGCCTTTGATACGAGTTCAGACTTCTTATATTAGCTTTTTCACATCAATAATATTCTATCACTTATCATAAACAAATGAAAATATTCCCGTCGTATGGTTAATTAAATGAGCTGAATTGAACACTTGAGTTGTGTACTTTTCATTTAAAGACTTGATTGAGTTTGAATGTTTTGCCACGGTTGTCTTGACAAAAATAATGAAAGGAGCCAAGACCTAAGACCTCCGCCCCATTCTTGAAGGGCCCACTACACATTATTTTTCAATTATTCAAATCATCTAATTTTTAGATATTCCAATCATCTCCGCAAAAAATCACTTGAATCCAAAACCATGATCACTCCATTAAATTATTGTTATTTTCGTCTTTTCTTGAAGTGCCATGTTAATCTATTTTGTTGCTTGCAATTAGATGTCTTATTGATTTTCAATTTGTATGATTTTTTGCTAGGATGAATGAAGACTTGAAAAATAAACGGTTTAGATCGTTGAAAAAAAAAAAAGTAGGGTACCATAAATGGTGTCTCTCAAATAAAATTATTTGAGAAAAGATCCCTCAATGGAATATATATATCACACAAACTCTTGATTCTTGCTATAAAACCATGAAGGTCTTAGTTCCGCAATAAAAAAAAGAGGATACAATGTATGCAGATTTTAGCTTGTAAGTTTTTTGTGAGATTTCGGAGGCAACTAAAATTAATATAGAACCATAACAAATTACAGCTTATCTAACTGGAGGTTGGTAAATTTGATGGTAAGCTTCGAATTTCGGTTTGGTGAACTAAGCATTAGATACTCATGAATAAAGCTTCCTCATGAGTACGGGCAGTCACAAAAAGAAAATAAACGTTCATTTTGGATAAGGATGGCCTTCAATCTCCCCAAAGCAATGTTTAGTTTTGTGTGGACTCTTCCCTATATCCCCTCTTGGTCGTGTAGCTGCCATACTTGAATGAAAGCTCACTTTCTTAAAAACAGAAGACTAAGTAGATAAAGTCAATATACTTTGATGCAGTTATAGTTTTGTCTTGAATAAATTATGGTAAGAAATTCTCGCTATAATATGAAAGGAACGTTGAATAAATCTCATTTTTTTCGAAAATGGGATGGCTAATTCAAATTATACAAACTGAAAACTCTGTACAATGAAATCTTGGATACGACGATGACTTTGCTTATGAAAAACTATCTTTTAGCGAAGGAGAAGTTGGGAGTCTAATCCTTCTTTCTAAAACTTGAAGTACCAAAACACACAAGAGTAACCGAGAGGCTATCTATTGGGATCCAAACAAACGATGAGCATACAATAGTAATCTGATTTGTGTTCAATCTTAAACCATTTAATTTCATTTGATTCAATCACGTGAAAGTTAACATTGAAAGTTACAAAGCATGGGATGTGGCATCAACCCATCTTGAACGACATAGAGAAAAAACTAGCTCATTATCAAGATTTGGTATAATCTTCCTGTTTTTGATTCTGGGCAACTTCAACAAAAATCAGCCTCCCATCAACCATCTGGACAAATTTTAACAAAAACTTCAAAAGAGAAAAACAAGACTCAAGGCGATTCACTACATATGACAAACAAAAACAAAGACTAGAAAATTTGATCAACCAAAAACACATATTCAGTACATAAAAGATTAAGAATGCACAAGTATAAGGGTTATATGATCTGCAATTTGGCACAAAAACAATTATAATATGGGTCAATTTACCATTGCAATCCGAATAAATAAAGTTCATGGATTGGGGTTTAATTTTAACCATAGGGAAGAAGGAAATTACCCTGCCATTCATGGCCTTCAAAGCTTTTTGTGCCTCAACATCTGACTTGTAAGTGACAAAACCGAATCCTTTGGGTCTTTGAGTTATACGGTCCACAACCATTCTAGCTAAACATACAGTAAAACAAAATCATCACAAAGGTAAAAACCAGTCAGTAATTTCCACAAATTACAGAAGAACAATAAATAAATAATCGGAGAAAAAGAAAAAGAAAAGTAGAAATACCTTCTGTAACATCTCCAAAGGGGGAAAACAGTCTCTTGAGCTGTTCATTATTAGTGAACGATGATAATCCTAAGCAACAAATCCAAGAATCAAAATAAGGGTTTTAACCAAAAACCCTAAAGATGAATTTGAGAGAAAGAAAGGGAAATAGAGAATTTCGACCAAAAAAAATAAAAAAATGGAAATAGAGAATACTGTTGACGAAGAGCTGCGAGCTCAATCTTTTGGCCATCTCTGTGTCAAACTCAAATCCCAGATATCTCTGCTTTTTCTTTGAGCCTGAAATGTGAAGCAGCACTTTTTAACATTTATTGGCTAAAATCGGTATTTAGGGTCCTCCGCTTTTAGTATCTGTTAGGGCTTTGTTCGGCTTTGGTTTGAAGGCTGCTGGGTGGTTTAAAATAGGAGCTTCGAGTTCGAGGGGATTCAATGGAGTTACCAGGTCCATGTAAGTTTGGAGTTCACTTCTGGGCTCTTTCTTACGAGGCCCAAATTTTTGTATTGTTTTATCCGTATATATGCAACAAATTAACCCCCAATTTTTATTATTTTTTTTTTGTAGAAAAGTCTTTCTTTGAGTTCAATTTTATCTTTTAATTTTCCTTTAAGAGGTCCAAATTTTGAGTGAGGAGCCCAAAACAATTTTCATATTTACACAACAATAAAAGAAATTTTACTTTGTTTCTTAACGAGTTCAAATCTTCTGTTCCCATTTTGTCTATCACTTTATTTTCAATGAAACTATAATGTATAAACAAAAAAAACATACATGCATGACATATTGAGACGCTAAATTCAATTCAACTAAGCGAAAATAGTATCAGAATGTGCATTTTAACTAAGATTTTGGTTAAAATACATTTGCAATCGCTACCATCTAAGCATGCATACAAACCATCTACTCACTTAATTAAGAGAACATCTATTGGGATTGGATTAGAACAACCTTTATTTTAGATATGCAGTCAAACAACTACAACTATATGTCATGCAAGATTCACGCCATTTTTGTTCCCTGCACACTAATCCATCTTGAGGAGCTTTGTATGCATATCACAAAAACTATCTCGGTGGTTGCTATAAAAACCGAGGTCTACTTCTGCCATAGAAAAAGAGCATAGGAGTGTAAGCGATATTATAGAGCAAAATTATTCAGTAGCATATATTTAATTGAGGTATTGGAGGAAACTAAATTCATTATGAAATTTTTTCTTTGACCTTGTCAATCAAGTATTTAGAAAATACAATTGTACCTGAACAGAATGAAAATAAAGTTTGACTTGAAAAAAAAGAAAGAGATCATGTGTTTTTTCTGAAATATTTCATAACACATGTATCTCCTCCTCCGTTTGACTAACCGATTCAGATTACGTGCGACTGCGGTATTTCATGTGCCTCCTTTGTTTGGTCCACCGATTCATGGTTTGTCATTGGTTGCGATGACTTTCTGATTTGACAGTCGGTGCGACAATGATGGTTTCAATGCCTCTGCCATTCATTTGTACCATCTCACAGTTTGAGTTCCTTCGAAGTAACTTAGTTAAATTCAAAGTGCGGTTTGGCATAATAGTACTATTGATTAAGAGGCATGTATTAACTCTTCAATTTTATTTTATTTTCAATCTTGTTCCTTTTTTCTCTAGATTTATTTTTCGTTTTTATTTATTACCAAACTAGATTTATTTCCATATTATGTGAAAATATCCAGTGGTTATGGTGTTCCTTGGAAACCAAAGCGGAGGAAGGGCCGCAGGACGCCGTCATTTTCAAATGAAACGTTTTCTTCCAATTTTTTTTTACTTTTATTATCATTAATTTTTGGTCTCTTCATTATTTTTTTTAATGAATATGAGGTTGATGTAAGATATATTCATAAATATTTTAGGGGTCTTAAACAATCTGTGTCATACCTAATTCAAGAAGTGGAATTGTTAAGCATTCCTTGTTAAACTCAAATGGTGTCACTAATCTTCTTAGGACTAAGAGATTGATGCAGAGTTCTTTGAACTCTTTCAAGTTTGCTTCTCATCAAGCCACCGAATGGCCTCTCCTTCAACAGCATCCTCAAATTTTTTTTTTCTTGTTCCTTGAAATGCAGTTTCAGTTTTGGCAATTAAAGTGTACCAGGAGCTGTTTGATGACTCACTCCAATGTAGTTACCAGTCCCAAATCAGTTTAGAGTTAGTTACCAAGTGTGGCTAACCGCGGGGCGGAGAAAATGACTTTGTTTTTTGGTTTAGGAAGTGTGGCTAACCGGGGTGGACAAAAGTTCACGCCATTTACGCTCAATATTCTAATTCATCTTGAGGACGTTTTGTATGCATATTTCACAAAAAATGTCTTGCTTCTGGCTATAAAAGAATGGAAGCCTTAGTTAGGCCATAAAAAAATGAGAATAGGTGAATAATGTTTGTGTTTAAGTTGTATGTGAGATTTTAGAGGAAATTAAACTTAATTCTTCCAATTCTAAATAGTTGACTGAATATCCGCTTGTTATTGATTTCAAATATATATTGGATATGTATAGATAATAAACTAGAATAATGTGCGATGAGTTGTTACAATTGCATCTTTTGGAGAAATCATTTGAATTCAAAAGTTGTATCCTTTGGAATTAACTATTATATACCAAAAGGATGCATATGCTCATTAATTACAGAAGTCATTCTAAATATTATCTTTCTTTCTCTAACATATCATACAGTTTCCTTTCAGAAGTCCTAAGAGAATTTCAGTAAGCTAAAATGTCAGTCTTTGTTGTATTCCGGAAGTGATTTGTCTAAAAACTGTTAATAAACTCATTACTGAGTAACGTACATCAAGCCAAGTTTTTTTATCTATTCTCAATCCAATTTCTAACATATACTTGTACAGTTGTTCACACCATTTTATAAAAAGAGCATCATGGCTATATTTAACCCACTGTGGTAATGTTCGATTTTGATGACTGCCTCCTAAATGGTGTCTCAGATGTAATTTAGCGTTGTTTACTTTTGTCCCATGCAAATGTGAGATTTGCAGGCGCAGCAGGGGTTAGTCTTTTTAGCCCTTATGCTTGGGCTAGCTTTCAGGTTTGTGTTTTGGTTGGACTGGACTTGCTGTTGTTTGTTGGGCTGCTCCTTCCAACTCCTGGCCTTTTCGGCCCTATGAGTTTATCCTTTGACCAAAGAAGAAAAAATCTTCACGCCATTTTCACACTCAAAATTGTTATTACATGTTGAGGAAGTTTCACATAAATTGTCATGGTTCTTGCTATAAAAAAATATGGAGGTTTTAGTTATGCCTTTTCAAAAAAATGAGAATAGGTGTATTTAGTATGTGAGATTTTGGAGGAAATTAAATTTAAATTAGCAATAATTGTAGTTTCTTTTATGCCATTGCAATAATTAATTATAGTCGCTAGAGATATATAATTCCTTTTTCTTTACCCTCATAATATGCAATCATATAAAAGTATGGAAATTGAGAATTAGAGAAAGTGGAAGGAAACAACTGGAGGAAGAGTTTTACTCCCCAAATGCTTAGAGAACAGTTACTGCAGCACCTCCTATTTCACAAGAGGCCAAATTTTCTGAACTTGTGTTGTTGCTGTTGATTCTTCTTCCCCAATTATCATTTCATTTCATTTGAAGAGTGAGGAATTTAGAAAGATGATGAAGTTATGCTTGAAATAGCTGAAGTAAAAATAGAGATTCACAATATCCGTCCATAAACTGAAACTCACAGCTTAATCTTATGTTTGGAGGTAGAGTAATAGTGAGCAAGCTTAATGTTCTTCAAGTTAGTGTGTAACAAAATTGGGTCCGAGGAAGTACTTTGAATTTTTAATAAATCCAAATTAGATTTTAGAGGTTCATAGACGAAGGTAACATCGAAGTTGTAGGATTTTTTGATGTATTTTTTGATAGATTTTGAATATATTTGTTAGGAATGTTAGAACTTAATGCACATAAAATTAATATAAAAAAATTGAAGAGAATGACATGAATGTTTCATTAGGGCTTCAATAGTGTCACCCAAAATAATATCATAAAACATAATAAGAGCCAATAACTTCTTATCAATAAAGTTTTATTTATTTATTTTTGTAAAGGACTTATTAGACTTGGGATACCGCCACAGTGGCATCCCCGTTACATATAAGTTCTTCTCCCCGCAAGCCTCAAATAGCTCATTTAGAGTGCATCAAATAAGAGGGATGAGGAAAAAATTGAGCAAATGGTTGTGGCTAATTGAAAGGATAATATGATGGTGAAAGAGTTGATCTATGAAATCTGTTTCATACCATGGCCTTCTCCAATCCTACTCAAATGAGTGACTATTCATCTATTTTCAGTCCAAGACACACTTAACTCACCAAACAATAGCTAGGATCCATGTCCATTTTAATTGAAAATATCCAATCCAGTCTAGTCCACCAAACAAGGCCTTAATGACTTCAACATGCACACCGGATACAAAATCAAGTGATTAGTAAGTGTTATGATATTAAATAATTGTTAACTACCAGCCTAACTTAAAATTTTAAAGTCATTAACAAACAAAACTTATCAGCCCAGCTTAAAAAGTTGTAATCTTTCTTCCCCAAGTTGGGAATTTATGAGAAAATTGTTCCGAGTGTTATTGTAGAAAGTGTTTTCTTTTGCATTTTCATATGTTCCTTCATTGAAGCCAATTTTTAAATGGCTCTTCAAAATAATTCTCGCCCAAACTAAGAAGCCAGGGCCTTCATGAGCAGACAAGGTGGAGAGGGAGAAAGAATTAGGAGATTTATGGATGAATGGATCTTTTATGTTTTGTTGAACTCAATCACTCGGGTGTGTGTTTCGGTGTATGCGATTCATCAATCTGATAAACTTCCAACCTAACTTCACATTAGAGCTTAGACATTTTACATTGATAATGCATTTCGAACATGTAAGTCATAATAATATGAACTTATGCTGGTGCTGATTCTTTTACTGGCTCTGCTTGTTGACTGTGTTCGTTGCCATCAAAATAAACCCTACTGGAAAATAGCAAACTTCAAAGACATTACTAAAAACACAACATCACAGAAACCCAATCTTTCACAAAAATGAAGCAATGAAGCAATAGGGGCACCAATACCAATTGGGTCACAAATCACATTCAAGTTTCAGTGTGGCATTGTATCAAACACCGTACGGGGAAAACAGGCTTCCCAATTTTTTTTAAAAAAACCTATATAATCAGATCAAGCTGATCCAAATCCACATCAAAATAAAGCAAAGAAAGAAAAATACACATTTACTAATTAAAACCCTAACCCTAATTAAAGAGTAGCCAACCAGATCCACAGGCCAACAAGGCCCTTCAAGAGCTTGTAAACTTGGTCACCGCCTTAGTCCCTTCAGAAACGGCGTGCTTGGCGAGCTCACCGGGAAGCACAAGCCTCACAGCAGTCTGAATCTCCCGAGAAGTAATCGTCGGTTTCTTGTTGTACCTCGCAAGCTTCGAAGACTCCTGAGCGAGCTTCTCGAAGATGTCGTTGATGAAGCTGTTCATGATGCCCATGGCCTTGCTGGAGATTCCGATATCAGGGTGGACCTGCTTCAACACCTTGAAGATGTAGATCTTGTAGGTCTCGACGCTCTTCTTCGATCTCTTCTTCTTCTTATCTCCAGCGGCGGCTCCAGCTTCCTTCGGAAGCTTCTTGCCGGCCTTGGGCTTCTTCTCCGCGGGGCCTTTCTCAGCCACTGTGGACTTCTTCTCCTCAGCAGGCTTCTTCTCGGCAGGTTTCTTCTCAGCTTTGGGAGCCATTGTTGGAGTTGTGAGAGAAAAGTCTGAGGTTGAGAATTTGGGGATTTTACGAAATGGTTTGAGAGTTGGGATATTTTTGTTATGACTAAGCAGTGAGGATGGCCTGTCTATTTATATATGCTGAGGGTTGGATTGTATTGGGTATTGGGATTTCACGCGGATCGCTGACTTGGATTATATACTCAGTTTTTAAATTTTTTTAAAAATAGTATCGCCGCACGGCGATACTATTTTACACGTGGGCCCCTAATTGCTGTGCGCCTCTTGCTGTTTTTCAAGTGAATAGTATAGCCGAGCGGCTATACTAGATTATTTTCTAATTTTGTTTAAAAATAGTATTATTAAAATTATCTTTAATAAATAGTGTAGATGAGCGGCTATGGCCTTATATATATATATATATATATATATATGTACATGCGTATTTTTCAATGATACATTCATGTTCTATACACGTCTCACGTTTTTTAAAAAGCAATGTATAATAGTCGTATTGTACATGTATGTACACATTTCTAATGTTTTATTTACAAAATTTTCAATAAGGCACACAAAATTCATGTATTATACAAATAATTATAACATATTATTGAATAAGAATAATATATGTTATAAAAATTATATTAAAATATTATATACTCGATTAATATATACTTTAGATACGTTGAAACTAGCAAATTAATATCTATAAAGTACAAACTAATGCAACTAGAAGGTCCCTTTTTTTTAATTAAATAGTATAGCCATGCGGTTATACCTTTTAAATATAATTTATTTAAATAGTATGGCCGGGCGGCTAGACTACGATTTTTAAAATAATAAAAAAAGTATATCCGCGCAGCTATACTTGTTTTTGACAAGTGGCACCTAATCGCTAAAAGGTCCTAGTTTTAAAAAAATTGTACAGTCGCATTGCTATACTCTGTGTTTTTAATTTTTTTAAATTTTTAAAAATAAACTTGTTTTGATATGTGGCGCCTAATCAATGGTGATCCTCTTTTTTATTTATTTTATATATAAAATCTATAAAGTACAAACTGATGCATCTAAGAAGTTCCTTTTTTCTTTTCATTAAATAGTATGGCCGGACGACTATACTACGATTTTTTTCATAAAAAATAGTATGGCCGCATGGCGATACTATTTAATATAAATAAATAAATAAATAAAAAAGGACATTCCTAGTTGCATTAGTTTGTAACTTATAGATATTACTTTGTTAGTTTCAACATATCCAAAGTAGATATTAATATTCCACTATATGATATTTTAATATATTTTTTATATCATATGTTATTCTTATTCAATAATATGTGAGAATTATTTGTATAATACGTGAATTTTGTGTGTCTTACTGAAAATTTTGTAAAAAATACGTGTATAAAATATTAGAAATATGTACATACATGTACAATACAACTATTGTATGTTTGCTTTTTTAAAAACGTGCGATGTGTATATAACAGAAATGTATTATTGAAAAATACATACGTATATATATATGTATATGTATGTAAAAGACTATAGCCACTCGTCTATTCTATTTATTAAAGGCAATATAAAAAACAAATAACCAGTAAAGCCGCCCGGCTATATTGTCAATGAGAACTTTTGAATCAGATTCCATCACTATCCTTGAGTAGCCCCTCTGTCTCGCACACGTGAGAGCTTCAATGAGCTTCAGTTTCAGCATTCAGGACACTGTTACAGCTGCGCTTTCTAGCGTATCCAGGGCAAAACTCCTTGTTCTGATTCCTCATCACCACACCCAGATCCGCGTCATGGTTCTTCCAGGCATCATCAAAATTGACCTTTCTTGCACCATTTTTAGGGGATTTCCAGATTTCAGAGGGCGGGATGATGACACCAATCCCATTCCTAGAGGAGGCAACTTGATTTTTCACAGCTTCAAATTCGGAAGCTGCAGAAACAGCATTTTCCATCACCCTTTTGGGATCAATCATAGAGTCTTCAAAAAGAAATTTGCACATTGTTTTCCAAATTTCCCATGCAATGAAACTAGTCAATGATAGAACCCAAGCTTGCTCCTTTGACAGAACATGACAGTTTAACCCATTAAACCAACGATCAATAGTGGTGAGGCTTTGCAGGTTCACTCAATAATTCAAGGGGGAGCCAAACCACACCTCTTGGGTGCAAGGGCACATAAAAATAGTATGTTCCCCAGATTCCTCATACTGATTGCAAATGGGGCAGATGGGGGACTTGATAATCCTTCTTCGAAAAAGGTTTAGCCTGGTGGGCAAGGCCCTCCCCATCAAGTGCTCTAGAGAAAAGACTTGATTTTTGGCCGATTGGAAACACAACCCTCAATCACATGGGACGAACGGTTATTCCTTCCTTCCAATAGAAGAAACAAAGACCCCCCGCTTGTTATAACCTGATCTCACAGAATACAAACCAGAGTTGTTCCAAGGCCACGCAATTCTGTCTTCCTTATGCAAATTACCAATGGGAACCTCCCTATGCACACCCCTAGTTGATTGCGTAGAACCAAACTACAAAGCCTAAACTAAACTACAAAGCCACTATTATACTGAGAACCAAAATCTCTATAAAACGAAGAACAAATGGCATTCTACGAGTACCAAAAAGATCCAATCTTTCACAAAATTGAAGCACTAGGACCAAAAAGATCCAAAAACAATTGGGTCAAAAATCACATGCATTGTATCAAATGCCATACGGTAGGATTCCCAATCAAAAAATCCTACACAATCCAACAACATATAGGCAGAACACCGGATATTATATGAACCAGAGCAGGAACGAAAAATACACATTTACTAATTACAACCCTAACCCTAATCAAAGAGCAGCCATTCCAATCCACACCCCAACAACGCCCTTCAAGAGCTTGTAAACTTGGTCACCGCCTTGGTCCCTTCAGAAACGGCGTGCTTGGCGAGCTCACCGGGAAGCACGAGCCTCACAGCAGTTTGAATCTCCCGAGAAGTAATCGTCGGCTTCTTGTTGTACCTCGCAAGCCTCGAAGACTCCTGAGCGAGCTTCTCGAAGATGTCGTTGATGAAACTGTTCATGATGCCCATGGCCTTGCTGGAGATCCCGATATCAGGGTGGACCTGCTTCAGAACCTTGAAGATGTAGATCTTGTAGGTCTCTACGCTCTTCTTCGATCTCTTCTTCTTCTTATCTCCGGCGGCGGCTCCGGCTTCCTTCGGGAGCTTCTTGCCGGCCTTGGGCTTCTTCTCCGCCGGGGCTTTCTCAGCGACTGTGGACTTCTTCTCCTCAGCAGGCTTCTTCTCGGCAGGTTTCTTCTCAGCTTTGGGCGCCATTGTTGGAGTTGTGAGAGAAAAGTCTGAGGTTGAGAATTTGGGGATTTTACGAAATGGTTTGAGAGTTGGGATATTTTTTGTGACGAGTGAGTAGTGAGGAGGGATGTCTATTTATATATGCCGAGTGTTGGATTCTATTGGGTATTGTGATTTCACGCGGATCGCTGACTTGGAGTGTGGCTTCAGCCGTGGGACTGGGTTTGAGAAAGCTTAGGAATCGACGGTTGAGATGAGGTAAGCTGGTTCAAGCGGATTGGTGACGGATCGGTGGGTTTGGGTGGGATCTGACGGTGGATAGTTTTTGGATGAAATTGATAGTGGATGGTTGGCATGGGTTGGTTGTTCGGTATGGATCGTTGACATCATCCGGAATCTGAGTGTGGTCCAAATAAAGTTTTGTTTTTCATATAAAAAACTTTCATGTTTTGTTATTTATCAGAAAATTCCATGTTTAAAAAACTTTTGATAACCAAAAAAATCCAATTAATCGAAATTTATTAAGGACTTTTCATAAACTGATAAATCGGTAAACCAAACCGAAAAAATAGGTTTTGACTTGAATTGGTTCGGTTCTTGGTTTTTGCCACTTAAAAATGAACCGGATTGATTATATATTGTCGTCCAATGTATTAATATCTAACTCATTTTTAAGTATGAGCCTAATACCAAAATCTCAACCTTGGTCATCTCCATCACAATCTCAACCTTGGTTATCTCCCTCACGGTCAAACAAGCTCCGTGTACGCCTCCAATGTTATTTTTGTTGTTTTTCTAGGGGTTCATGATAAATTCGCGTGGGAGTGTTTGGACTTAGACTTGGGCTTCAAGTGAGGCTGAAACAAGACCAAGAAAAAAATTGAAACAAAAATATTTGGCCCATTTTGTAGTACGACTAGTGGAAATCCTTATGAATGAATTGTGGTCCAATGAGAAAGATAGGCTGACAGCCCAGGCATACATAATAACGTACACTGCCACTGTCAACAGATGACGCCCAAAAAGTCCATTTCATCCTCTCTGTCATTTCCGGCCAACTTTTGGAGGACCTCCTTTTTTGGAATACTAAAATATTTGGGGTACCAAAACTAAATTTCTAGGATTTTTATTGAAATATTTAATACTAATTATTCACTAAGAAATAATAATTAAAACATAATTACTAATGAAAGTATTTGAATAAGGCTAAGATATAATATAATTAATAAAAAAGAAAATTTTAAGAGTATAGCCGCGCGGCTATACTCTTTGAATATAATATTTTAACAGTATAGCCGGTCGGCTATACCCTTTGAATAGCCTAATCTTGATTTCTCTTTTTTAATTACTTTGTTTAGTAGTTATGTTTTAATTACTATTTACTTATTGAATAATTAGTATTTCCTCTTTTTTTGTAGATACTGATTAACATGTTGTGTTGACCATGCCAAATTACAATGTGTTGATTCTTTATCAATACTCCTCGAACGGTTGTTTGTAATCCCAAAAATTTACAGGTGAGGAGCATGAAGCGTGCTAGAGATATTAGAGACCAGCTTGAGGAACTCTTGGAGAGGGTTGAGATTGAGCTGGTCTCAAATCTCAGTGATTACGAGACCATAAAGAAGGTCATTACATCTGGTAATTTTACCATTACTGTTAGCCATAATGATCTAAAAGTGATTCTTTTTGTTTTTCCCCTTTGTTCATTGTTAAATTAAACCGTGTTGCTATTTCTATCAGGCTTCTTCCCTCATTCTGCAAAGCTTCAAAAGAATTGATCTTATAGAACAGTCAAACATCCACAGACCGTCCATATACATCCCAAGCTCAGGGCTATCACAGGTAAAGATGAAGGGTTACTTATGCTATTAGTCAATCATATAACTGCTTGATATCTCTATTTAAACGAGTTTCTTATATCATTTGATTCTACAAATGATAAAAAGTGTATTTTACTCGTATGGAAAACGGAAGTAGTATTGATAAATACATACATAGGTGTATAGTTTAGCCGTTCGGCTATACTATTTATTAAAAACAAATTTAAAAAAGGAACCCAGTAAAGCCGTATGGCTATACCCATAATTTAAAAAAGGACAAACTACATTAAACCCCCCAACCTATAGGGTCATTTACGAGTTCATACCCGATTTTTGGGACATTTACGAGTACATACTCAACGTTGCGGAAAACCTACAATTTGCCCCCTTGCCCCCTTGCCCCCTTAGATGGGCTGTTTGTGTGCGTAACGACGGAGAGAAAGGTCTCCGAGGGAAGCAAGAGGAAGAGGCAGTCGATGAGGATAGAGATCTTGCCCTTGGTTCTATCCAACGACAGCGAGGTCAGTGGCGATGACTTTGAAGGCGGTGTGCACGGAGGGAGGGTGGGTCGATGGGGGTGTGGGAAAAGCTAGTCAGTTTGGGTGGGGTGGGGCTGGGAAGAGAAAGACACGAAGAGAAATTGTTTTCTTTTGATTTTTTATTTTTAATTTAACTAAATAATATTTTTTACTTGTTTATAATTATTTTTAAATAATATATAATTTTTTTAGTACTTAGTTGTCCACATGTAAGTCCACCTCATTATGAAAATAAACAAGCGTATAATCGTTCGGCTATACTATGTATAGGACGCTCCCAACCCCTAGGTGCCACGTGTCGAAAGAGTAAAGCCTATTTTTTTAAAAAGTAAGGGAAAACGAGTACAGCCGGACGGTGATACTAATTTTTTTAATTAAAAAAATAGTATAGCCGGCCGGCTATACTACTCTCTCTCTCTCTCTCTCTCTCTCTCTCTATCCATCGTTTAACACATTGGCTATTCTTCCGTGAATATATTCTATTATTTAATAAGTATAGCTGCCTGACTATACTTTTTAATATATTTTTATATTGTAATGATACCAGGAGAATAGCAATTTCCATAATTCTATTTTTTCTGTTTTTCTTCTTCCAATTTTTTTTTGCTGGTGAATTCTATTTAATTTTTCGGGTCAAATGTGAAGCAACGACATTGCAATCCTCTACCTAACCAAGAATGGATATTATAATGATTCCAATACCTTCTTCTTTTGTGTTTACTAATATATATATATATATATATTCTTGGACTATAGGAGTCCAAGAGATTTGTGGTCACTCACCGTTGAATGTAAATTCAACGATTTACTCACTCTTGCATGTAAATTCAACAGTTCACTCACTCTTGCACTCATTTTAAGAAACTTTTTTCAACCATTTGATTAATATCCAACGGTGAGTGACCACAATCTCTTGGACTCCTGTGGTCCAAGAGATCGGGACTGATATATATATATATATATATATATTTCCTTCCTTATGTATAACCTTCTCGAATTATAACCTTTGATATTGATCATTATTTAAGCTGTTTCTTACTTGCTACATTCGTTAATTATTTTTATTCAACAAAATCATGCATCCCACTTCTCTCAACTAATTACTCTAGTATTTGGCAATTATTTCTCCTGCGTTACTTACACTTTAGGAATAAAAAATTATGTGAATTTTATGTTAAAATCCGTAATCAAATACCCTTAAAGCTAGGAAACTGATCAACTAGGGGATATAGTTTATTCGATTCCAATTTCTTATTCCCTTATTCTTAAATTCCCCGATTCATGACTTTCACCGTTCATAGTATGTAAACATGCTTAAATTATTGGGAATTCACAAATTCGATATGCAAATTGTAGACAGATTTACAAAAAAAAAAAAAAAAAATAAAAAAAAAAAAAAAAACAAACCCCTCCCTCCCCTGACCACACACGATACTATCATTTTTCTATGATTCAAAATGAAACAAATATTGTCTATGTTAATATGCAGAATTCAATTCATAAACCAAAATAATAATAAATAAATCAATAAAGAAACCATAAGGTCTTCGTAACTAGACACGTGCTCAGTTAAGTTAAGCGGTGTCTGATTGGTAAACTTTTTGCAAAAATGGTACACTGCGTTACACACGAATACCCCCCTCTTCCAATATTTTTGAGTTTCCCTCCTTTTCATTTCATTTCATTTTTGGATCGTCTTCTTCCCTCCGTTTTAGTTAAATCTCTCTCGTCGGCCACAGATTTCACCCCCAAAAAAGAAAAAGGGAAACAAAAACTCAGGTAATTATGAACTTCGATATAATAGTTTCAACTCTATATCGTCATTTCAGATTGGATTTTAGAGAATTTTAGTTCCATATTTTGGCTAGCTATGTGATGAGTAGATTCATGGTCGGCTTGATCTGATTCTTGCTTTTAAAGTTAGGATTAGTTTGATATGTATGTTTTACCAATTGGGTATTTGTGGGGTTTTATATATTTTTCTGAGTTTTTAGTCTTTACACTATACTCGGCCAGAGAAAGAAAGAAAAGAATTATGTATGCTTCTTCTATGAAATCAATAAGGTCTGCTTCTTGCCTGCAACTTGTTTGTCAAAATGCTTCATAGAGTTCATAACTTGTTTATATTTGGTATCCTTTCAGTTTTTATTGCATAAACAAGAAATCTTGAATCCGTTGGTTCGATATCTCTATAGAATCCAATTACACATCGTAAACCCAAATTTGGGTTTTCAAATGCAACCATGTCACATAAATATGGGAAATCCTAAGCAATTTAGACTGGTTCAAATACCTTTTATTAAACTTCAATGTCAAAATTTTAGCCTTATATTCTATATGTCATTTTGGGTTTTGGTGGCTCATGGATCCGTTGCTGCAGGAGTCTGTCCAGGAGAAGGGAGGAAGCATTGTACGGAAAGTGGGATCTTTTCTGAAAATGGCAAGTTACTATGACATTGATGATATTCTTGTGGAGGAACAGGTTAATTCCCGTCTCTTTGTATCCTCGAAATCTGAACTCCATTTGCTTTATTTACTTAGTCATTTTAATTCTGTATTTTAAACATGCTTCCTGTTTCCAAGCAGCGTGTCCCACTTGTTTTCCAGCAAGCAGTAAATGGGGTTGATATTGATCCTAGTGCTGAAACCCATTGTGTAAGTGACCAGAGTGGATTTGGAGTGCATGGTTTTTGTTCAAAGGAGATATTTTCTTATATCTTCTTGGCCCTGTATTTCAGGTTGAACCCGGTTCAAAGGTAGAGCTGCCTTACTGGCTTGCCCATGAGTTACACCTCAGAAAAGTAGCAAAGATGAAGGTTCCTGCATGTTTCAATCAAAGGTAATGATCTGTATAGGTTTATTTAAAAATAATTTATGGCCATTTTTTAGGGCTGAGTTGCAGGGAGATTCATTCTGGCAAGTGGTCATTGATTTTCAGTTATTTCCGTCTTTGAAATCTGATATCCAGACATTTCTTCTCTGCGTTTGTCATATCATTGAATTTATTAGTTGGTACTGATCAAACATAGTTGCTGCCAGCCCCCAGGCATGTATTAGATTTTGGGGAAGGCATGAAGAGTGACTTATGTGATTCAAGTTCAAAGTTCAAAATTAGTGACTGGTATTACATATTTAACTCTTGTAGATTTCTTCCTTTGTCAGAACAAAACTGGAACTTGGGGCTGATGGTGCATCTGTGGATTTAAGATCTCGATGTCTATACTTCTATGAATTTGGATGCAAGATAGCACCGCTGTGAGTCTCTCTCCTACCCATTTCTTGTATACATAACTTCATCAGCGTGTTAATTTTTATGCTTTCTTTGAGTTATCTTTTAATAGGTGGATATTTCATATAAATGAACCCTAGTGTGGTAGAGGGTTTGAGAAAATGGTATATGACAAGACTCCCATTCTGGATGAACTTTTTTCACTGTGAATTGTCATGATCTTGTTCTTTGTCAATTTGAAAATGAAAACTATCCCTGAAGTAATTCAATTTCTCCAACATCATATGTTCATGCTATTGAAAATTCTGGTCAAGGGATATAAAACCCTGAGTTTCTCCTATGAAAGCCAGGTCTATACAATAGATTAATGTGTATATCTGATACACAAAAGTAAATGAGAAAAACACCAAAAGCGAAAATAGAAAAAGAAAATCCAATATGTATAACGTTGAGAATTGGACATTTATTGATTGGCTTGGCACTCTTGATTTAACATTTGGACCTTCACTTTGTAGACTTGGCCTAGTGTGGTTTATGATCTGGTAGGAGGGTATTTAGTGTTGACTGATGCTTATTGTCTGAATCCAAAGAAATACAACTGGATGATTTGTTTTCTGTTCTTGTTTTGGGTGGTAAATTGGACACTGAACAATCTGTGCTGTTCACATGTACTATTTGTGGCCAGACAAACTGATTCTAACTAGTTTTTTTCTTTATTTTGTTTGAATCATTTGGATGGATAGGGTTGGTGATAGAGACATGGGATCATTCCTATTATCTGCATTTAGGACCATGTATCAGAAAATCCTGGCAAAGGCACATAACGCAGCATTTACAGCACATTCAAAATTGCTGTCGTACTTAACAAAAGAAGAAACCAATCGTAAGATTTATATCCCCCTACATGTTTTATCATATCTTTCATCACTGTCTCTCAAACTTCTTCTATATGAATGTTGACTCAAATGGTTATACACTTGTTTCTAGTGTATGAGGCAGCTCAGTCGTCAATGGCGGCCTTTAAGAAGTGGAGGATAGGCGGCCCCCGATTCGAGAGAGCTTCTGTACTTGGGAGGAAGAGGAAGGAAGCCAACTGATTAGTTGTATTGTACCCTCTACTCTACCTCTCATCTGATCCATCCTTTCTGAATCATTGTCCCAATTTGTACTTTTTCCTACATTGGAAAAGCTAGTTGGTAATTTTGCTGGAAGTTAATGAGATCATGTCTGATAGGGTTCCAGACATATACGAAGAGTTGTCGTCCCCCATTTTAAGATGGGCCATTATAATAAGCCAATGGTCTTTATTAATTTCCATTCTAATAAAAAATTAATATTAAATTTCTCAGTGTTTAGATATTTTCCCTGTTCCCTGGCCTAGCTAGCTAGCTCAGAGCAATTTTCGCGTGATCATGTCTCTTTCTAGAGCTCATCAAGATTATGCTTCCTCTTCCAATTCTTCTCCCTCTCGATGTCGTTACCACGTGTTCTTGAGTTTCAGAGGTGAAGACACAGCCTTTGTGGACAAAGGCTTCCCACGTTCTGAGATGAAGAAGAACTTGAGAGAGGAGAAGATATTAAGCCAAAATTTGAGAAAGCCATCCAACAGTCACGAAGTTCTGTCATTGTATTTATAAAAGACTATGCGTCTTCCAGATGGGGCCTAGACGAGCTTTTCTTATTTTCTTTCTCTTTCTTCTTTAATTCCTTCGCCCCTTTTCTTCTTTCTTTTCTCTCTCTTCTCTCTTCTTTTTCTTTGTTCTCTCTCTTTTCTTGTTCTTCTTCTTTCTCTCCGCCATTTTTCTTTTGTCTTTCTTTTCTTATGTCTTCTCTATTTGTTTCTCTTTTGTTTAATTAAGTCTCTGTTTCTCTCTTCTTCTTTTCCATGCGTTTCTCTGTTTACGCATTGATGGTGGTTTTATGTTGTGAAGATATTATGTGCTGATGTTGAATAGGTGGTTTGACCAGCTTGAGCTTGTGGGTGTTTTGGTGGAGGACCCGACCGTAATCTGAATCACATAGGTGTCAAAAAAAAAATTTAGCCCACCCCTGTAAAAAAATCCTAAATCCGTCATTGGTGATCATGGCTCAGTTTAGGCACCAAAAACCCTCCTCTTCCAATTCTTCTCCTTGTCGATGTCGTTATGACGTGTTCTTGAGTTTCAGGGGCAAAGACACTCGAAAGACTTTCACAGACCATCTCTACGCAGCCTTTGTGGAGAAAGGCTTTCCCACGTTCCGAGACAAAGAAGAAGTTGAGAGGGGAGAAGGTATAAAGCCAGAATTGCAGAAAGCCATCCAACAGTCGCGAAGCTCTGTCATTGTTTTTTCAAAAGACTACGCGTCTTCCGGATGGTGCCTTGACGAGCTTGTCTTCATCCTTGAACACAAGAGGATCTCCTCAGACCATGTAGTTTTACCAGTCTTCTACGACGTCGATCCTTCCCACTTGAGGAACCAGACAGGAAGGGTTGGAGAAGCATTTTCTAGGCATGAAGAAAATCAGCAATCACCCAACAAGATCAAGCAATGGAGGGTAGCACTTAGAGAAGTTGCAGATCTATCAGGGATGGTCTTAAAAAATCAAGCTAATGGGTAACTTCATTCCAACTACCTCTTTGATTTTTTGATAACTTCAACTAGCTATAGCTTTTCTTATCAGGGGTGGTCTTAAAAACTAAGCTAATGGGTGAATGAGACTACTTTTTAAGTATTTGATATCATGACATGTTAGTTAAATGTTATTTATATTTCATTTTAATTGCAATTATTAGGTACGAGTCAAAGTTTGTCAACCAAATTATTAAAGTGATTGACGACAAACTAAGTCGCATGCGCACACCCTTTACTGTTGCACCCTACCCGACTGGAATGGATTCTCGAGTTGAATTTATTAATTCATGGTTACAGGATGGATCAACCGATGTTGGTATACTTTTAATTAATGGGGTTGGGGGAATTGGAAAGACAACCATTGTGAAATTTGCTTACAATTCAAACTACAGAGGATTTGAACGGAGCTGTTTCCTTGAAGATGTCAGGGAAACTTCAAAACAGCCCAATGGTTTAGTTCTACTGCAAAGACAATTCCTTCACCATATTATGAGTGGAAGAGAAGTGAAAATACATAGTGTCGGTGAGGGAAATAAAAAGATTAGAGATGCCATAATCTCTAAAACAGTTCTTCTTGTTCTTGATGATGTCGATCATATGAAGCAAATAGGTGCAATATTTTCTATGCAAGATTGGTTTTGTCCAGGAAGTAAAATAATGATAACAACTAGGTGTGCAGGGTTGTTGAGGGATCATGAAATCTCTAATTGTACAGTTTACAATGTTGAAACTCTGAATGTCAATGAATCACTGCAACTCTTCAGTTGGCATGCTTTTCGACAAGCCCATCCACGTGAAGATTGGATGAAACTTTCAGAAATGATAGCAGACCGATGCGGAGGACTTCCATTAGCTCTTCAAATTTTGGGTTCTTCTCTATCAGGACGACCTATAGATGTGTGGAAAAGTGCACTGGAGAAATTAAAAGCTATTCCAAATAATGAAATCCTACAAAGACTTAGAATAAGCTATGATGCTTTACAGGATAACCCCGATGACCAAAATTTATTCCTTCACATTGCATGTTTCTTTGTTGGGAAGAGAAAAGATTATATTGTTAGAATACTAGACGGATGTGATTTCTTCACAGTTGTTGGCATTGAAAATCTTATGGATAGATGCTTGGTAACAGTTGATCAAGATGAGAAAGTGAGTATGCATCAAATGATATGTGATATGGGAAGAGAAATTGTTCGCCTAGAATCCAAGGAGCCTGCGAATCGTAGTAGATTGTGGAATGATAAGGATTCCTTCAATGTATTGAGAGAAAAGAGTGTAAGTATCATTCTTTTACGTATGTCATGCATTTTTTGGGGTGGGCCTATATATCCTTGTTGTTGCTTGCTTATCCAAATGTTTCTTCTGTTTTTTTTAATTTTTTTTTATTAGGGTACAGAAACCATTGAAGGCCTTGCCTTGGATATGCATATGCACTCGTTAAACACTCCTTGGGGAAACTCAGATGACGAAGTCTTGGAAACTAATGCCTTTGCAAGGATGTCCAAACTAAGACTACTCCATCTTAGTCACGTTCGATTCAAGGGTTGCATTGAAGAATTTCCGAAAGGGTTAAGATGGTTGCGTTGGCTTGAATTTCCTTTGAAATCTATACCCAGTGATTTTCCTTTGGAGTGCTTGGTTTATCTTGAAATGCCTCACAGTAACTTGAGACAAGTCTTTAAGGGAATCAAGGTATGCTACTCCACACTTGTCCATTGTCTTTTGTTAAATGTGGTTTATGGTTAATTTTACATGCATAAGACTTAGCTCCACACATTCTTTCTTTCTTTTTCAGTACCTTCGCTCTTTGAAGACCGTTGATCTAAGTCATTCCCATAGCCTTACTGAAATCTCTAGCTTCTTACTGGTCCCCAATTTAGAAAGACTTGTTCTCGAAGATTGTACGAGCTTGGTTGATGTCCATGAGTCCATTGTAAACCTAAAGAATCTCGTTTGCTTGAATCTGAAAGGTTGCAGAAAGATTAGGAAGCTTCCAAAGAATCTTTTTAAGCTCCAATCACTTGATACACTTAGTCTATCTGGCTGCTCAAATCTCAAAGATTTTTTGACGGAGTTGAGGAAGATGGAGTCTTTAAAAGTGCTAGATGTTTCCAAAATTCCAATAAGTCAAGTGTTCATGACTACCACTGGAAAGGTCAACCCAAGTGTAGGGAGAACTCCAAATAATTTGTGGTCTTTCTTACCACATGGTTTAGTACATTTAAATCTCTTGAGTTGCAATCTTTCTGATGAGGCTTTTCCCCAAGATTTTGGTAACCTACCCTCATTAAAATTCTTAGATCTAAGCAAAAATCCAATTTGTAGCCTACCACAATGCATCCGAGGGCTTAGGGGGCTTGTTGAACTCAACTTTTCCAATTGCAAGAGGCTCCAAACACTTGAAGGGCTACCGAGAGTAAGAACTTTCATTGTGGTTGGTTGCAGGTTGTTGGAAAGAGTAACATTTCAATCAAGTTCGTGCGTACCCTTAGAATATCTTAGCATGTATAACCCGAAGCTAGTTGAGATCGAATACCCGTACAACTTTGTACCTATTGCAAGATGTGATGCAGAAACAATCAAGCTTTTAGGTTTGTGCAACTTGAAATCCAAGGGAATCACCATTCAAATGTTATTCCCATGTAGGAGTTGGGAGTTTTGCAAGATCAGGAAGTATCCTATCCAGGTGATTCTCTCTCTCTCTCTCTCTCTCTCTCTCTCTCTCTCTCTCTCTCTCATAACATGGAACATAAGATTTGACTAATGTTTTTATTTAAGTGGCATATATGTAGGGACTATATGAATATGGTATATTCAGCACGTTTCTTCCTGGGAATGTGGTGCCAGGCCAGTTCAGCCATACAAGTAGAGGCTCTTCAATATCATTTACTGTGCCTTTTTCTAACCTCAGGATTCAAGGATTGAACATCTTCTCTGTATACACAAGCTTTGATGGTGATTTTTATCCTGGTTATAATTGTAACAAATTTAGTCCAATAGTGACTAAAGTCCATAATAAGAGCACAGGAATGAAGCGTATCTATGATCCATCATGCGTTGGCTTTCCAGATTTAGGACAAGACATGATATTCTTAAGCCATTGGAGTTTGGGGAATGAAGTGAAGGGTGGTGACGAAGTAACAGTTTCAATGTTCATGAGATCCTTGTTTCGATTAAATGAGTGGGGCATCCAGCTTGTATACAAACAAGATCAAGAGAAGATGATTGCCCAAGACGACAACAATGTAGTTCCTTCTTTTCCATCTGTCGTTTTAAGACATTTGCAAGAATTCGAGCTGATACCAAGAACATACTTCCTCTCCAATGGACCAATATCAAGGAGAATATGGACATTTGGACGTTGTGGGGAGTCGGTTTTGTTTGATGACATATTTGGGGATGGGGACTCAAACTACTCTGATCAAGAAACAGGTGTGTCTCTCATTTATACTTTCTGACTCCACTCCACTCATTTAAGAATAGATCCACATTTGTATCGTGTCAAAAGTGTTGCTCTTATCCGCATTTTATGGAGACTAATTCTAGCTGTCATTAATTTGCAATTTTAACAGACGAAAATGTGCTGCAACAAGGTGTCCTGAGCAAAAAAAATATCCAAACGGTTGAATCGCTAAGAAGATGGTTGCTCAACAACCGTCACAAGCAAGCTGTCTCCGCTCATAGTACGTATCCTCCACGTCAATATAGTAATAGTAGTGACCAATTGCGCAGCTTATGGATTATAGAATCCAATTTGATAGCTTTGGTTGTTTATGGTTTGTCTTGATTCTTGAACGCAAATGTAGTTATACCAGTCTTGATTGATACCATTGACATTTGCATTCTGTCTCTCATTTCACATTGTTGTGTAAAGCTGTTATGAGTTTCCCAACTGAATGTGGAAGAAATAACTCAGTATCTTGTTGCAAATTACAGATCATCTCAATGGCAGAAAATTGAGCTTCGATCTTGCGTTTCTTTCTTTCTTTTTCGGCCGTTTTCAATCTGCTTCTCATTACGAGTAGTGGAAAATATCATTTTGTATACTCAGTGTAAACCCTATATAATTTATGAACTTAATTAAAATCTTTAATACTAATGATTCACTAAAGAAATAATAATTAAAATATAATTACTAATGAAAATAATTAAATAAGGCTAAGATATTATTTAATTATTATAAATAGAAATTTTAACAGTATGGCTGCCCGACTATGCCTTTTAAATACCTTTTAATTAATTACTATTTACCAAGTAATATAATTTATGAAGTCAATTAAAATATTTAATACTAATTATTAACTAAAGAAATAATAATTACTAATGAAAGTAATTAAATATGGCTAAGATATTATTTAATTACTGTAGATAGAAATGTTAAACGTATAGCCGCGCGGCTAGACTCTATAAATAGAAATTATAAACGCATAGCCGCTCTCGGCTATACCTTTGAAGTAAAATATTTTAACGGTACAGCCGTGAGGCTATGCTCTGGAAATACATTAAAGGTATAGCCGGTCGGCTATATCCTTTAAATACCTTTTATTTAATCACTATTTATCAAGTAATATAATTTATGAACTTAATTAAAATATTTAATACTAATTATTCACTAAATAAATAATAATTAAAAAAAATACTAAGGAAAGTAATTAAATAAGGCTAGATATTATTTAATTATTATAAATAGAAATTTGAAAAGTATCGCCGGGAGGCTATACTATAAATAAAAATTATAACAGTATAGCCGCACGGCTATACGCTATAAGACTTTTACCGACCATCTCTATGCAGCCTTTGTGGACAAAGGCTTCCCCACGTTCCGAGATGAAGAAGTTGAGAGAGGAGAAGATATTAAGCCAAAATTTGAGAAAGCCATCCAACAGTCACGAAGTTCTGTCATTGTATTTTCAAAAGACTATGCGTCTTCCAGATGGTGCCTTGACGAGCTTGTCTAGATCCTTGAACAGAAGAGAATCTCAGACCATGTAGTCTTACCAGTCTTCTACGACGTTGATCCTTCCCATTCGAGCTCCCCCCCCATCCCCCCATCACAGACCCACCCCCCCCAAACGAACCCAGATGTTTTTTCACCCACAGCACCCCCCACACCGAACCCATAACCCCCGCAACCGCCCATTTTCTTCTCCCCCATGACCACCACGTCAAGCCACCCTCCCTTCTCTCTCTCTCTCCCTTTCCCATTCGAGCTCCCCCCCTCCCCTCTGTATTTTTAATTACAACAAAAGGGAAAGAGATGAATAGGTGGCCCTCTGTTTATTAATTTTTTGTTATATAGTATTTCAACATATAAAATGACCAATTTGCTCTCATATATAACACAAATTAAATAAAATATTGAGATTTTGACGATAGGAGGTAAGTGGCAGTAAAAATTAGTTCGTGTACTTAACTTTCCAAAAAAACAAAATTGAGGGTGCAAATTGAAAATATCATACAACCCAAAGATTTTGATAACAATCTAATTTGTGGCCTGCCAGATTGCATCCGAGGTCTCACGGGGCTTGATCAACTTATTTTTGTGAGTAGGTTTGCCAACTTGCCGTGGTGAGTATATTCTTCCTTTTCAATTTTTAATCCCCTTAAATTTTCATATTGCCAAATGCAAAAGAAGAAAGGCAAAATAATCTGGCCCCTCCACTACCACTTTTAACAGCTACCATTTGTTTGTGCTTCTAGAAAAGGGATGCCTCTTTTCTTTCCTTAGCAATTGAGTGATGGATGACTAAGAGAAAGGGGCGGCTACATCGATAATTTATTTGCTTCACCAACCTCCTCCTTTACACGGTATCTTTGCAATATCTGAAGTAGGAAACTCAAGATCTATATTTTGGGTGAACAAGGCTAAGACACCAGCAATTAAGAAGTGGTAAAGTATTTTCAGTGATCATGGCTCGATTTAGGCACCAAGAAGCCTCCTCTTCCACTTCTTCTCCTTCTCCATGCTGTTATGACGTGTTCTTGAGTTTCAGAGGCGTAGACACTCGAAAGAATTTTACCGACCATCTCTATACCGCTTGTGTGGAGAAAGGCTTTAACACGTTCCGGGATGATGAAGAACTTGAGAGAGGAGTAGATATTAAGCCAGAATTGAAGAAAGCCATCCAACAGTCACGTAGTTCTGTCATTGTATTTTCAAAAGACTACTCGTCGTCCAGATGGTGCCTTGACGAGCTTGTCTTCATCCTTGGGCAGAAGAGGATCTCGGAACACGTAGTTTTACCTGTCTTCTATGACGTTGATCCTTCCCACGTGAGGAACCAGACAGGATGTGTTGCAGAAGCATTTGCTAGGCACGAAGAGAATCAGCTATCAACGAACAAGGTCAAACAATGGCGGGCAGCACTGAGAGAAGCTGCAGATCTATCCGGGATGGTCTTACAAAACCACGCTGATGGGTAACTTCATTCAAACTAGCTGTTCATTTCTTATTTAAATTCAAGCCATGCACTTTGATGATGTTAAGTTCAATTCACTAGTCCTGTCCTGTAGGGTTTAACTTTTAGATATATAATTTGAAGCTTTTCTTATTTAAAAAATTCATCAACTCTGTGCACATAATTATTTTCACATCCACACACATATTACACCAGTGGTTAAAATTTCTAATGAATATCATGTGTTAATATCAATATAATTCTTTCAGTTTCCGTCCCATTGTTTCAGCATATCTGATAACTTTGGCTTGTTATTTGCACGAGAGTTTGTAATTTAACTATGTGAATTCATGCATGAAATGTTAATTAATTAAACATGATTTATTTTTCAATCTTGTTGCAATTGATAGGTACGAATCAAGGTTTATCATGCAAATTGTTAAAGTGATTGACAACAAACTCAGTCGCATGCCCTTCGCTATTGCACCCTACCCGATTGGAATTGATTCTCGAGTTGAAACTATTAATTCATGGTTACAGGATGGATCAACCGATGTTGGAATACTTTTAATTAATGGAGTTGGGGGAATTGGAAAGACAACCCTTGCCAAATTTGCTTACAACGTAAACTTTAGAAGATTTGAACGAAGTTGTTTTCTTGAAGATGTCAGGGAAATTTCAAACCAACCCAATGGTTTAGTTCACCTACAGAGACAATTCCTTCACCACATTATGAGTGGAAGAGAAGTGAAAATACAAAGTGTCAGTGAGGGAATAAAAAAGATTAGAGATGCCATAATCTCTAAAACAGTTCTTCTTGTTCTTGATGATGTTGATCATATGGACCAGATAGATGCAATATTTTTTATGCAAGATTGGTTTAGCCCTGGAAGTAAAATCATGATAACAACTAGGTGTGCGGGATTATTAAGGGGTCATCAAGTAGCTAAAAGCAAAGTTTATGATGTTGAAACTTTGGATGTGGATGAATCATTACAACTCTTCAGCTGGCATGCGTTTGGCCAGGACCACCCAATTGAAGGTTACATTAGTCTGTCGAAAAGGGTAGAAGATCGATGTGGAGGACTCCCGTTAGCTCTTCAAGTTTTGGGTTCATCACTATCAGGACGACGTATAGATGTTTGGGAAAGTACATTGGAGAAATTAAAAATTATTCCAGACAATCAAATCATCAAAAAACTCAGAATAAGCTACGACGCTTTACAAGATAACCCTGATGACCAAAATTTATTCCTCCATATTGCATGTTTTTTTGTTGGACAAGGGAAAGATTATGTTGTTAGAATACTGGATGGATGTAATTTCTTCACAATTGTTGGCATTGAAAATCTTGTGAATAGATGTTTGGTAACAATGATGATGAAAACAACGTGAAGATGCATCAAATGATTTGGGACATGGGAAGAGAAATTGTTCGGCTAGAATCAAAGGCACCTGGAAAACGTAGTAGATTATGGCGTGATAAGGATTCTTTTGATGTATTAAAGGAAAAGAGTGTAAGAAAGATTCTTCTCTCAAGATGCGATTTTTCTTGCACATGCATGTATCCTTGCTGGTTACTTATCCAACTGTTTTTTTTTTCAGGGTACAGAAACAATTGAAGGTCTTGCCTTGAACATGCGTATGCTCTCGGTAAACACTCCTTCAGGCAATACGAATGAGGTGGTCTTGGAAACTAACGCATTTTCAAGGATGTCCAAACTAGAACTACTTCAGCTTTGTCATGTACGACTCAATGGATGTTATGAGGAATTTCCAAAAGGATTAAGATGGTTGTGTTGGCTTGAATTTCCATCGAAATCATTACCTAGTGAAATTCCTTTGGAGTGCTTGGTTTATCTTGAAATGCATCATAGTAACTTGAGACAAGTCTTTAACCGGAAAAAAAACTTGAGACAAGTTTTAAAGAAGGGAAGAAAGGTATCCTATCCTTGGTGGGAATAAATGCATCATGCTTCATGCTTATCCATTTTCTTTTGTTAATCTTATGTTTAATTTTGCATTTGTCAGATTTAACTTCACACAATCTTTCATTTTGTTTTTCCACAGCACCTTCCCTCATTGAAGACCCTTGATCTAAGTCATTCTCTTAGCCTTACTGAAATCGGTAACTTCTCACTGGCCCCCAACTTAGAAAGACTGATTCTTAAAGATTGTGTGAGCTTGGTTGATGTTCATGAATCCATTGGAAACCTAAAGAGACTCAATTACTTGAATATGAAAGATTGCAAAAAGATTAGGAAACTTCCAAAGAATTTATTTATGCTAAAATCAGTTGATACACTTATTGTATCTGGATGCTCAAGTCTAGATGAGTTTCCGAAGGAGCTGAGGAACATGGAATCTCTTAAAGTGCTAAAGGTAACTCAAGTTCTGACCACCACTGGAAACGTCAAATCATGCCTGAGGAGAAATCCAGAAACTTTTTGGGCTTCTTTACCAAGTAGTTTAACACAATTAAAGCTCAAGAGTTGCAATCTTTCTGATGAGGCTTTTCCCAAAGATATTGGTAACCTACCCTCATTAGAACTATTAGATCTAAGCGACAATCCAATCTCTGGCCTACCAGATTGCATCCGAGGTGTTACACGACTTGATCAACTTCTTTTTTCAAATTGCAAGAGGCTCAAAACGCTTGTAGGGCTACCAAGGGCAAGATATTTTGGTGTGTTTGATTGTGCATTGTTGGAAAAAGTAACATTTCAATCAAGTTTGTTCGGATTCACACCGTTTGAAGTGCTTAGCATTAGTAACCCGAACTTAGTTGAGATTGAATACATGTACAAGTTAGAACCCCTTGGAAATTGTGATGTAGATATGCTCGATCTTTTGGGTTTGTCCAAGTACTTGGAATCCATGGAAACCGTTTTGATGATCTTCCCATGTAGGATCACAGTGGAGTTGCGCTGTGCAGTTGAGAGTACGAAGCTGGATTGGATCAGAAGATATCCCATCCAGGTGCTTCTCTTTCTCTCTCTCGTATACATACATACATACATACATATATATATATATATATATCTATATATAGACACACATAGACACACACACAACAATATCACAAGGAAGATGCTATTTGACTAATACTGGCTTACATATCTATATATAGGGACTTTATGAATCTGGTATATTCAGCACATTTCTTCCTGGGAATGTGGTGCCAGGCCACTTCAGCTATACAAGTAGAAAGTCTTGGTCAATATCTTTTAGTGTGCCTTCTTCTACTTCTACTTTCAGGATTCGAGGCTTGAATGTCTTCTCTATATATACATGTTCTGGTAGTGGTTCTTATGCTGGTTACAGTTGTGAGATAATTAGTCCAATAATAATCAAAGTTAGCAACAAAAGCACGGGAATGAAGTGGATCTATGACCCATCATGCTTCGGCATTCCAGATCCTGGAGAAGACATGATATTCTTAAGCCATTGGAAGATGGGGAATCAATTATTGAAAGGTGGCGACCAAGTCACAGTTTCCATGTTCATGAGATCTGTCTTTCAGCTGAAGGAGTGGGGCGTCCAGCTTGTGCACGAGCAAGATCAAGAGAATATCAGGATGATAAGGACCCAACATGACGACGATGACAATGATGATGATGAGTGTCCAGTTTGTTTTCCATGTGTCATTTTTGGACGTTCGCCAGAATTCGAGGTGATGTCAAGAACATACTTCCTGTCGCACGGACCACAATCAAGGAGAGCACTGACGTTTACTCGTTGGAGGGATTCGGTTTTGTTTAATGACATATTTGGGGACTCTGATCAACAAGGTGGGCATGCATTTCTCTCATTTATATTCATTCAACACAAGTTTTATTGTGTTTGTTTATGTTGAGCGAATCCACGTTCGTATATCTATCGAAAGTTTTCCTCTCTTCTATGTCGACTAATCTTCTGCCAACTGCATTTTCAACAGAGGAACAAGCACTGCCGCTTGCAACAACAATGAGGGACGCCGGGAACAATAGATACTTTGTGTTTTCCATGTTGGCGGTAGATGTCCTGTACGACAATCTAGTTTTACGCAGTTGCCTTTTTGGAACTCAGTCGTGAGAGAAGAGGCCATAAGCTATCCATGAATTTGTTGTAGTTGAGTTCTGTCGCCTTTGGGATTCTTTTTCCTCTGCCAGGTTCTCAATCCCACTTTCTTTTTCCTTGCGCTATGATGAGCTTATTTTCTGGTGTAATTTGGTATAAAAAGAAGGAAAATGAAAGAAAAACATATGAAACCAAAAGGACAAAAAGAACAAGGTTCATATGCATGACTGACAAGGTATCAAAGTTCATATGCATGACAAAAAAATTATATGATTTAACATGCCTTGTACTACCTGACTGGGGATTTGGCGTCCATTAAGGAAGAGGTGCTAGCTAGATACCTTGAGCTTATACCCTGGAAGCACATGCACGTAAATCGAGAAAAAACTTGTCATGGTCCTCTCAAATGGAAACGCTTCCTTCTCCGGCACCATTGAAGCTCTCAAAAGAGCTCATCATCAGAGACATTCCGTGTGTCAAATTCTTCGGTTGAAGAAACGTCTCCATGCTCAAACAAATCCTGGCCTAATTATTTTGTTGTACATGTACATTCACTAAAATTTCTTATAATTGTGGGGCTAATTCATTTTTTATGTAAAAAAACAGTCTTATATAGCACTAACAACATTATGCTTAAGGTGGAAGAGGGGAAAAAAATACAAGTGGGGGGCAATAGCTTATACTTGGCCTTTATTGGAACTGCCAGTGTTGTGAAGTTGGAGAATAACTTGTATATCATGGGATAATACTATTTTGATATTTCGAACCGATCACATTTTATCACGCGTTATAAGAATTCTACGTGACGGATATAATTGAATACGGGGTATGTAAATTTTTATCGTAAAGTTTGGCTCTTTTTATGACAAAACAGTTACCTTTGTGCTTCCTCGGGTTCAATCCATTACTTTGACTTGAGTAACAAATACTTTTTTACTTTTTTTTTTTTAAAAAAAAAATCGTTTTTAAAATGGAAAATATAAAAACAACAATTCAACACAAAGATGAGATGACACCCATTTCCTATACAAAGATTGGGCCCACAGCTATTAAATAATTTCGTACACTGCCACCGTCATCAACCCTCGCCAACATCAGATGACGCCCCAAAAAGTCGGGTTTCATCCTTAATCTCCGTCATTGCGGCTAATTTTGAAGGGGAATGCTCCCTATAGCTCCTCCATGTTTTTTAACTTGTGCTTGACTTTGTATCCATACACAACGTAATATCAAACACTTTTCCATTATCAGAACAAAGAATTCAAATAAGCAAAGAGTTTTATTTTATTTAGTGTCTAGTGATTAACTCAAAGTTTTTTTTTTTCTTTTTCCCTTTCTGTTGATAGGTTGTCAACTTGCCGTTCAACCTGAGGTGCTTTGTGCTGTTTCAACCTCCGGGCCTTAACTTGTTCGACGTAATGTCCCAGAGAGATTGTTTTTTATTCGCCCTGACTCCCTAACACCTTTGAGGTATGTTTGTTCAAACTCTAGATGCATAGTGTGGTGCAGTACATGTTTGTGGCGGGAAATTACATGAACTCAAATTATATGTTTATAAAGGATCAAAGTGTGTTTCAAGTTGATCATGATATTTTAATTTTTAAGTACCTTGTGGTGTGCTTACTTGGGTGGTGTGATTCAAGGTTTAACAGGTCAACTTTAGAAAGCATAAATCACTTCAAATAGAAGCAAAAAAGAGAAGTTTTATGTTTAAGAAGACGTGGGCGATTCCTAATAACTATTTTTACTTTTGCAATTATATCTAATGATAATTTTTTTTTTTTGTAGTCCTTTATATATCTCGTGCATTGAAAATGGTATCACCAAAAAGGTAAATTTAAAATGTTAATTAATAAACTTCATTTTTAATTTTTATCGCCTTTGATTTTCATATTGCCAAATGCAAAGGAAGAAAAAGACAGCTCTTTGTTTAACTTATCACTAAGAAAGGCAAAACTGGCCGCTCCACGACCACTCTTACCAGCTACCATTTGTGCTTTTGTCTTTTATTTTCCTTTGCGTTGTGTGATTTATGACTAATAGAAACAAGCGGTAACACTGTCCTTCATTTATTTGCTTGACCAAGACATTCACCATCTCCTTTACACGGTATCTTGGCCATATATGAAGTAGTAACTCAAGAAGTAGCCTTAAATTCCACTCAGACTCAGAGACACCAAGCAATTAAAAAATGATTTACTATTTTCTGTGATCATGGCTCGATTTAGGGAACAAGAAGCCTCCTCTTCCAGTTCTTCTCCCTCTCGATGTTGTTATCATGTGTTCTTGAGTTTCAGAGGCGAAGACACTCGAAGGGCTTTTACCGACCATCTCTACACAACCTTTGTGGAGAAAGGCTTTCCCACATTCCGGGATGAAGAAGAACTTGAGAGAGGAGAAGATACTAAGCCAGCATTTGAGAAAGCCATCCAATAGTCACGAAGTTCTGTCATTGTATTTTCAAAAGACTACCCGTCTTCCAGATGGTGCCTTGACGAGCTTGTCTTGATCCTCAAACAGAAGAGGATCTGAGACCATGTAGTCTTACCAGTCTTCTACAACGTTGATCCTTCCCACATGAGGCACCAAACAGGAAGTGTTGGAGAAGCATTTGCTAGGCATGAAGAAAATCAGCAATCACCGAACATGGTCAAACAATGGAGGGCAGCACTAAGAGAAGTTGCAGATCTAGCAGGGAAGGTCTTACAAAACCAAGCTAATGGGTAACTTCATTCCAACTATTCCATTTTTTATTCAATTTATTTTTTTTATAACTTGAATTAGATATTATAATTCATCAACTCTGCTGATATTCCTGTGTCGCCAAAATACTGAATACGTCTAAAAGGACTAAAGAGTAGTATACTTCTATCATTATGATGGAAGAATGAAAGGCTAATTAGTAATTCAAAGTTGAATTTAGAGAACTTCAACAACTATATAATTAAGTCAAGGTGCCTGATACGATGACAATCACTTTAAATGAGATCAAAAGCAAATTATAGTTCAATGATCCCTAGTCATTAGATTCCCCATTTACACACATTGTATTACACTATCAGTTAAATTTTCAATAGTATGTGCTATTTTTCTATCCCCAATATCATGTATTGATAATCCCATTGTTCCTAGTACATTATTTGAAAACTTTGATATGTTATTTGCATGAGACTTTGTAATTTAATTATTTGATATCATGACATGTTATAAATGTTACTTATTTTTCAATTTGATTGCAATTCTTAGGTACGAGTCAAAGTTTGTCAAGCAAATTGTTAAAGTGGTTGACGAAAAACTAAGTCACATGCGCACACCCTTTATAGTTGCATCCTACCCGATTGGAATCAATTCTCGAGTCAAATATATTAATTCATGGTTAAATGATGGATCAGCTGATGTTGGTATAATTTTAGTTAATGGGATTGGCGGAATTGGAAAGACTACCATTGTGAAATTTGTTTATAATTTGAACTTAGAAAATTTGAAGGAAGTTGTTTCCTTGAAGATGTCAGAGAAACTTCAAGACAACCCAATGGTTTAGAGCAACTACAACTTCAATTTCTTTGTCATATTTTAACTGGAAGAGAAGTGAAAATACATAGTGTTAGTGAGGGAATAAATAAGATTAGAGATGCCATAATCTCTAAAAGAGTTCTTCTTGTTCTCGATGATGTGGATGATATGCACCAAATAAAATCAATATTTGGGATGCTAGATTGGTTTTATCCATGTAGTAAAATAATCATAACAACTAGGTATGCAGGGTTGCTAAGGGATCATGAACTCTCTACTTGCAAAGTTTACAACGTTGAAACTCTGAAAGCCAATGAATCACTGGAACTCTTCAGTTGGCATGCTTTTGGACAAGCCCATCCATGTGAAGATTACATGAAACTTTCAGAGATGATAGCAGACGGATGCAAAGGACTTCCATTAGCTCTTCAAGTTTTAGGATCTTCTCAATTTGGATGAACTATAGATGTATGGAAAAGTGCACTAGAGAAATTAAAAGCTATTCCAAATAATAAAATCCTCCAAAGACTCAGAATAAGCTACGATGCTGTACAGGATAACCCCCATGACCAAAATTTATTCCTTCACTTGCATGCTTCTTTGTTGGAAAGAGAAAAGATTATATTGTTAGAGTACTAGATGGATGTGATTTCTTCACAATTGTTGGCATTGAAAATCTTCTGGATAGATGCTTGGTAACAGCTGATGAAAATCAGAAGGTGAGTATGCATCAAATGATCTGTGATATGGGAAGAGAAATTGTTCACCTAGAATCAAAGGAGCCTGAGAAGCGTAGTAGATTATGGAATGATACGGATTCCTTCAATGTATTGAGAGAAAAGAGAGTACGAATCATTCTCTTCTTATGTATATGCATGCATTTTTTTCCTTTTGGGGCCTATATATATTGCTGCGTGCTTATCCAAATGTGGTCTTTCTTACCACTGGAGAGGTCAAACCAAGCATAGGGAGAAATCCAGAAAGTTTGTGGTCTTTCTTACCACGTTGTTTAGCACATTTAAACATCAGGAGTTGCAGTCTTTCTGATGAGGCTTTTCCCAAGGATTTTGGTCACCTACACTCATTAGAATTCTTAGGCCTAAGCAAAAATCCAATTCGTGGCTTACCACATTGCGTCCGAGGTCTTAGGGGGCTTGTTCGACTCGTTATTACCCAGTGCTATAGTCTCCAACACTTGAAGGGCTACTGAGAGTAACAAATTTCGCTGTGGTTGATTGCAGTTTGTTGGAAAGAATAACATTTCAATCAAGTTTGTGTGTACCTATAGAATTGCTTAGCATGCATAACCCCAAGCTAGTTGAGATTGAATACTTGTACAAGTGTGTACCCATTGCAAGATGTGATGCAGAAACCATCAAACTTTTGGGTTTATGCAACTTGAAATTCAAGGGAATTACCATTCGAATGTTATTCCCAAGCAGGAATAGCATATTTGATGAGGTCTATAAGTGTCACATCCAGGTGATTCTCTCTCTCTCTCTCTCTCATATATATCACATGCAACATAAGATTTGATCAATGTTTTGATTTCTATGGCATGCGTATATTAGGTACCATATGAATATGGTAGAATCAGCACTTTTCTTCCTGTGAATGTGGTGCCAGGACAATTCAGCCATAAAAATAGAGGCTCTTGTTCAATATCTTTTACTGTGCCTTGTTCTAACCTCAGGATTCAAGGCTTGAATATCTTCTCTGTATATACAGTCAATGATGGTGATTTAGATCCTGGTTATAGTAGTGACAAAATTAGTCCATAATAAGAGCACGGGAATGAAGTGGATCTATGACCCGTCCTTAATCGGCTTTCCAGATTTAGGAGAAGACATGATATTCTTAAGCCATTGGAGTTTGTGGAATGAACTGAAAGGTGGTGACCAAGTCATAGTTTCAATGTTCATGAGATCTTTGTTTCAAGTAACTGAGTGGGGCATCCAGCATGTACACGAGCAACACCAAGATCAAGAGAAGATGATGATTATGATTGCCCAACAAGACGACAGCACAGTTCCTTCTTTTCCGTCTGTCGTTTTTGGATGTTTGCCAGAATTTGAGATGATACCAAGAACATTTTTTCTCTCCAATGGACCATTATCAAGGAGAACATTGACATTTGGGCATTGGAGGGAGTCGGATTTGTTTGATGACATATTTGGGGATGGGGACTCACACTACTCTGATGAAGAAACAGGTGTGTGTGTGTGTGTGTGTGTGTGTGTCTCTCTCTCTCTCTCTCTCTCTCTCTCTCTCTCTCTCTCATTTATATGTAATTTAGATCCACATTCATATCAAAAGTTTTGCTCTGATGCACGTTCTGGCTCTGGCATTAATTTGCATTTTGATGAACAGACAAACAAGTGCTGCAACAAGGTGTCCAGAACAAAATCCAAAAGGTTGAACCACCAAGTAGGCTGCGCAAGTATCATGTCCTGTTCATGTTACGTGTCCTCTACGACAACACACTACTGGCAAGTTGTGCAACTTAGGATTATAGGGTAACTACACCTGAGAAAGCGGACAGTAAGTGTTGAAGGAGGGAGGCATTTGCTCGACATGAAGAAAAGCATCAATCTGTTGGAGAATACAATACAAATACAATTCTGGAATATCATTGAAAGATGAGCTTCAATCTTGCTTCTTTTTTTCTTTATGGTCGTTTTCAATCTTGCTTCTCGTTAAAATATGAGCAGTAGAAAAACAATATTTGGTATACATATATGTTAACGCCTCTGAAATCCACAGAACCCATTTCTTAAACAAGGCAAAAAGCCGCCCGCCCAAAGTTTAAAACCACCATCTGGGGTATTTCACATCGAGAACATATAGGTTTTTCCTTTTCAAATTCAACCAAAAACCAATTTGAACCAACCAATTGTTACTTTAAAACCTAATTACATGCAAACGAAGACATGGATTCAAGAAACATAAGGGCAAATGCAATGCCCCAAACCAATTTCATCAACCTAGGGGGATTGTTTCAAACACCATTAGGGCACAAAGATCTAACATCATTTACACGCCCAACTCCAGCACATGGACATTGGAACAAAATTCACGTTACACAAACCATCATTAAGTACAACATGGGATTTCATTTCAAATTTGAGATCACAATATTCCAGGTATAATCCATGCGAGCGCAGAATTCAGATCATATAAACCATAGTATTTCGTTGAAAGAACTGATAGTGAATTACATATCTACTAAACTGAAACCCTAAAACTAAACACTAGACATCGAAAAACTACATATCCAGAACAGAGCAGAACCCACCACACTTCAAGAACTTGTAAACTTGGTCACCGCCTTGGTCCCCTCAGACACCGCGTGCTTAGCGAGCTCACCAGGAAGCACAAGCCTCACAGCAGTCTGGATCTCCCGAGAAGTAATGGTCGGCTTCTTGTTGTACCTTGCAAGCCTGGAAGACTCCTGGGCCAGCTTCTCAAAGATGTCGTTGATGAAGCTGTTCATGATGCCCATGGCCTTGCTGGAGATCCCAATATCAGGGTGAACCTGCTTCAGCACCTTGAAGATATAGATCTTGTAGGTCTCTACGCTCTTCTTCGATCTCTTTTTCTTCTTATCTCCGGCGGCGGCTCCGGCTTCCTTGGGTAGCTTCTTGCCGGCCTTGGGCTTCTTCTCGGCCGGGGCTTTCTCAGCCACAGTCGACTTCTTCTCCTCCGCTGGCTTCTTCTCGGCGGGCTTCTTCTCAGCTTTGGGCGCCATTGGAGTTGTGAGAGAAAAGTTAGGGTTTGGGAATTTGGGAGTTTTCGAAACGAAAGGGATGCGATTCGATTAGAGAGAACAGGAGATTAGACCTTTGCTTGAGAATCAAAGTGGTGGGATGGATTATTTATATAGGTGAGAGTAGGCTTCTGTCATTGGTTAATTGAGACTTCACGCGGATTGGTGATGTGGTTATTGTTATTGGCCGTGGGATTTGGGTTTCGTACAGTTCCCGAATCGACGATTGAGATGTGTTGAATCCTTTAAGCGGATTGGGGATGGATCGCTGAGTTGGCGTGCGAAGGGGCCGTGGATTATTTTTGCGTGAAGTAAGTAATGGATGGTTAAGATGATGTAATTTATTCGGTGCGGGTCGATTCCGCCTCTGGTTAGTTCTCATGTACATTGAAGTCTCACGTAATCTCTTACATAGTTCTCATTTGGCCCATGGGCATCTCCAATCATAAAAATGGGCTAAACTTAAATTTCCTTCAATTATTTTACGAATTCTTACCCATCTCATATTTTCTTGTCTGAATCATATTACGAACCTTTGTACATCTCTTTTTATATTAACTTTATTGGATTCCCTCATCTTTTCATATTTTCATTAAATTATGATAAGACATGAGGTTATCTCGTTTTGTCATCTTTTCATTATTTCATGCACGAGAATCTTTGTTTACCTTACTTCTTATCCATTTGTATCTTATTTTGATTTCCTCTCATCTTCCTTTTCAACCTCATCCCCTTGTTTATTTAACAAGAGTTATTATATCCAACCAAACACACAATTTCCTTCAGTCTTCATAGATTGAAGATTGATGCCAATTGCCTCATATTCATAGATACATACCCACCCTCTGAATAATGTCTCATCTTCATTTCCCAATTGACACCTCTTTAGGGTTTTGGTACCATATTCAACAACAAAGAAAGGAGAATGAAAACAAATAAGAAAGTGAGAAATGTTAAGAAATTGAACTAGGTGGATTATTTAACCAAATGATTGTTATTTATAGATTTTGAATGAGTTTAGGGGTTGGATTTGATTTAGATTAAGGCTTTTTATCCTCAAATGGTCCATGAGGTTTGCGAAATTGTCACATTTCGTCCTTAAGGTTTTTGTGTGACAATAATGGTCCTTAAGGTTGCTATCTATGCATCAATTTGGTTTCTCCCATTAGTTTCCGTCAAATTTTCTATTAAGTTGCTGACATGACACATATGTGGAACCCACACGTCCAATGATATAGAACCATGTGGCGTTAAAAAAAAATTTAAACTAAAAATCCATTAAAACAAATTTAAAAAAAAAAATTTTTTTTTTTTTTTTTTTTTTTTTTTTTTTCTAGTATGTATGAGGTTTTATCACAAAAAGCTTCGATGTTATTAGAAGCGGAACCACTTATTTGGTAGTTTATTTAGTCAAGTTTACGATGTGAAACTTTATATTTTTTAACATGCCCCCTCATATGGGACCACCACATAGTGGGCCACACATGGAGTCAAGTCCACATCAAAGTTAATCATCTGGGTCTATGTGCATCGGAAGATTTATAGGTTATAGTTTGAGTCGGAGTCAATCGGATCGATGGCAATACCCAATCAAGGTGTGGCCGGTTTGGGTCAAGTCTAGGGCTTGTTAGGGAGTGCTTTTGGAGCAGCGAAAAGCGTTCCTAAATGGGTGAAAGCGCTTATGTCTTTTAAAAATGGTGTTTGGCAAAAATTGCAAAAACGCTTTGGGTGAGATCAAAAAGCACTTGGAGTGGTTTTGAAATGAGCACTTGAGAGGTGATTCTTCCTAAAAGCGTTGCAGGACAAAAACACGGGAAGCGCTTGGCTCCATTTAATGAAACTTTTAAAATGCCAAAAATACCCATATTTAAATTTTTTTAAATGCCAAAATACTACTTTTTTTTATATAAAAAAAAATTACAAAGAGCTGTTTGTGTGCATCGCTTGGCAGCCATGGATGATCGTTTTTAAAATTCACTCGTTTGTTAACTATGTTTCAGCTTTCATGGTCTTGTTGGATGTTGGTTTCAGCTCAACTAGTTTTGCTTTCCATAAATTCAGACGTTGATGATGTATGCCATCAAAGTGCTATTTCCTTGTAATTCATGTAGAAGGGTGGGGTGATAAGCCGACTTTTTTGCCTTCCTACTTCAAGTCTCTGTTGTGACCAAAGTTGCTGTGTAATCTTGAACCAATTTTTGACTAAATATAAAGTACTATTACATGTACAACTTCTTGTCTTTTCCTTCATCTTTAACATTTTGATTGATTTTGTAAATTTTTAGAGTTTGGATGAAGATGAAAAACTTTTGAGCATAGGTTGCAAATTATGATATGAATTCACCAATAATATTTGCAAGAGCAATTTCCATTTACAAACCGATGGAATCTGTAATTATCCCTGATAACAATTTCTCTGTTGTAGGTCTGCGATATTAGTTTCATGACTGAATGACAATCTCTACAAATCTACAGATTATTAACTACACAGATAGGAGTTCTTGGGGGGTTGTTTAAAAGACCAAAAGCAACAACCAATCTTTCACTATGATGAGATGATGTTTCTACTAGGTCCTGTTTTTGCAATCTACCCTTTATTTCATCCAACATAGCATATATTTCAGCGGATTGAGGGTTTGAGAAATCCCAAGCTGTAAATTCATGAACAACTCCATTTTGTTCTATTAGACTACATCCTGGTTGCTTCCTCACTCTTAGTTCATGCAACTTCTTTCTTGCCCAGCTCACATCATCCCACCTACCGGCTTTTGCATATATATTTGAAATAAGAGCATAAGCAGCATCATTTATAGGGTCTATCTTTATGAGCTGTTGAAATACTTTTTCTGCTAATTCTATATTCTGATGGCTTCCACATGCTCTCAACAAGGAACTCCATATAGAGATATCCGGTTTGATAGGCATGCTTTCAATAAACTTCACTGCCTGGTCTAAGTGTCCGGCTCGACCTAGGAGATCAACCATACACCCATGGTGCTAGATCTTAGGAACAATACTGTAGACACTACCATATAGAGATATCTGGTTTTTATTTCCTATGTTTATTATAATGTTTTGGAATTCTTTAAAAAAAATTTTAAGTACTTTTAAAAACACTTTTATACTTACCAAAATATCAAAAACGCTTTTATGTAGTGTAAAAACACTTTTAAATGTGACATCCAAATGACAAACTGCTTCTTTGTAGAAGCACTTATATCATAAGCGCTTTGGGAATAAGCACTCCCAAACGAGCCCTAAGTCTGTATCAGGCTCTACTCTGATACCATGTTAAATTTCAGAGAGACAGGTATGCTGCCCACTACAAGCAACATTGATATTGTTTCCAACTTAACAACCTATAAAGCCCAGTAAATGTAGGGTTTTATCACAAAGGATCTCGGTGTTATTAAGATTAAAATAACTTATTACAAATTGTAGTTTATTTAACCAAGTTTCCGACGTGAGACTTTATATTCTTCAACAATTCTACCTTACACGCAACCCAATGCCCAGCTTCAATTTCATGTTGTTGCTTTGAGTTTGTCACTGCCTTCTCCTTGACAAGATCGAGCAAAGACCAATCATGGTCCTTACACATTTGGGGTGTGAAATGCCGCTACATCATAGAGAAGAAAATAGGGAAAAAGTGCAGAGGGAGAGATGGTAGACATTTAAAAAAGGAGAGTAAGGGAGAACGCATAGGGAAGAGAGAGAGAGTAAAGAGAGGGAGAGAGGGCTGCTGGGAGAGAGAATAGATTCAACTAAGGGTCAGTTTAGCATTGTTGTGCTGTGAAAATAATTATTGTCAGATTTGCTGTGAAAGAAATTAGCTGTGAGAGAAAGTAGTTTGACGTTTAGTAAACTTTTTTTTTATAAGTGATGTTTGTACAATAATCAGTGTATGAGTGTTTGGTAAATTTTTTGTGAAAATGCTGTGAGTTGTGTATAATGACTAAATAGGGCATTATTGTTTTCTCCCACATCAAATTTTAATAATAAGTGATTTTATCATAGGTTATCAAACGGGCTGGACTTCCTAATTTTTTTTTAAAATCATTTATTACCCCAAATAAGCAATGTCAAACGGGTACTAATGCACTACAACATTTCAATTAACATGCACTGAGAAGAGAAAAGCCCACATATGAGTAATTGAATTTGTCCAAGCAAATTGCGGCTCTTACATAGCATCCACAGAAAGTATCGAAGAGGCATGGTTTGATCGAGTTGGAGGGAAAGCTTGAGACGGAGGGGAGGGGGAGTGGCTAGTTTTTCCAAAAAGAACTTTTGTTTTTATGGATTTTAAGTTTTAAAATATATTTTTTTAATGCCGCGTGGCTCTATATCATTGGATGTGTGTACTCCATATATGTGTCATGTCAATAACTTAACAGCAAAATTTGACAGAAGCTAACGACAAGGACCAAATTGATGCATAGATAGTAACTTTAAGGACCATTAATATCTATAAAATAAATAAATAAATAAAGGCAAAATGTGATAATTTCGCAAACCTCATTACCTATTTATAATAAAAAATCTTAGATTAATTAAAATATTTATTTTGACGGTTGGTTTTGTTTTAGTTGAAAACCATATGGAATTTTCTGGGTCGGATGATGTTATCGTTGGGTTTAATTGCCAAAAGTTTCAGCCCAAACATTAACATTTTACTATTAAATAATTCTAAATTACCAATACGCGGAACTCTATTTACACCAAATTAATCTTTGGACACCCCAACTTTACAACACACCCAAATTCAAAATTCGAAATTACAGAGACATAGTAGGCTTCTACTGTTAGATCCCCCGACCCAATTCTCAAAGTAGTAATGGGCTTATCCCGACCCAAGTTCGCTTTATCATGGAAAGGGCCTTTTCGTAAAACAGCATTCATACATTAAGAAGGCTCAAGCTCTTCACTCCACACCACCTCAAAAGCAAAACCCTAGTGCCTCTGGTCTCCCAAGTCCTCAGCCAGCCGCCCCATCTGTGCTCGCAGGTAAACCCATTTTCCACCTAACTCTAAAAATGTATGAATTGTTTCACAGCTTCCCAATAGCCAAAGCCATGATTTTTGACTCTGAATTTTTGTTTCTTTTATGCACTTGCAGATCTACCAGTTGTTGATTTTGTGTTCAGCTTGCACTAGCAGAAATGGTGCGCGTCAGCGTTTTGAACGACGCTCTGAAGAGCATGTACAACGCCGAGAAGAGGGGGAAGCGACAAGTCATGATCAGGCCATCATCGAAGGTCATCATCAAGTTCCTTTTGGTTATGCAAAAGCACGGTTCGTATTTTCTAAATTCATGGATGTTTTGTGATTGTATGTTTTGTATTGGGTACAATTTGTGTGCTGAGATTGTTGGGTTTGAAATTGTTTAGGTTATATTGGCGAGTTTGAGTATGTTGATGACCACAGAGCTGGAAAGATTGTGGTTGAACTCAATGGGAGGCTGAACAAGTGTGGAGTTATCAGTCCTCGATTCGATGTCGGTGTTAAGGAGATCGAAGGCTGGACTGCTAGGCTTCTGCCTTCTAGACAGGTTTGTTTTCCTAACTTCATCGCTATATGTTGGTCTATGAGAGTGTTTGGGGTCATTATGTATGGGTTGCCCAGATAAAACTTTTATCATTTGAATTTGGTGTTGCAAGTGGTTATGAAGCATACCTGTTCTAGTTTTTTGCTCATAAATTGAATATTTATTTGCAGTTTGGATACATTGTGCTGACAACATCTGCTGGTATCATGGATCATGAAGAAGCTAGGAGAAAGAATGTTGGTGGCAAAGTCCTTGGTTTCTTTTATTGAGCAGAGTCTCAAGCACATCGTTAGGATATTTTGTGAAATTTTGGTTTTATTTAATTTGTTTTGCCAAAAGAAGAGAACCCTTTTTCTTACCAATGCTGGTTTGAAAAGTTTCTTGTACTAGGATATTAGTTCTATGTTTTGTTTTGTTTTGATTGACTGTCATGTTCTTGCAACCGTGAATGTTAAAGTGACTTGGTATTGAGCAGAAATGGTAACTTGGAAAGTTTTGTTCGACCTCTTGTTCCCATGTGTTGAGTAGTTTCATTTGCCCCCAACTTACATGTGACCATTTCTTGTGGTATCGTGAGATTAATTTCATGTTATAGCTTGGTTTATATTAGTAATAGTAACCTACAATTTAAGCTTATATTGAACTGTTTGTATTAGTGTAATGGACAACAGTGTTTTACAGAGCAAGTTTCTTTTGGTTCGGCGTATGTTGATAGCAGAGAGTCCAATAGTGATGAACTGATGCCTAGAACCCTAATATTATTTTTGGTGTACATGCTTCACCATTGTTTTCTGTTCTAGCGTAGCTTAAGGAAACAGCTTAAAGGACTTTACTTTTTTCATTTGAATGTTGTTTTGGAGCCTAGCATTGGACTGATTATGCCATTGTAGGTGTTGAAACTATTTCAAACCAGTGATCTCAGGAAGTGAATTAGTTGAGTGATTTGAATGATTAAGGGATGTGCTTAGGACTTCGGATAAATGTTTTTTAGCAGTGTTGTTCAGCTTCTAATATCAAGGCCCTTAAGCATAGGATTGTGGAAGCTTGATTTTATCTCGTCACGTCTATAATTGGGCTTTCATGATCTGATACTTGTATGAGGTTTCCTTGCATGTATCTTTTACTTTGTCACAAAAATTTCAAAACTTCAGAAGTATTGTTTCGCTATGTAATTGTGAGCTGACATTAGCATTTGATGTAGACTGCAGTGGGACAAGTTATAGTTCCCGCGAGGTTTTTTAATTTTTAACTCATGTACTGCGGTGGGGCAAATGATCACATTTAGAACTGGATGTGGAAGCTCAACCAAAATTATTGGTATGAACTTTGTGCTGCTTCGATCAGCATACAGAGCTAATCCTGTGCCTAAAAGTCAGTGCTTTGTGCTTGCATCCACAATGAACCACTCCGTGTTAGTTGAAATTTATTCACTTGATTGCACTTACAAACCAACTCCAGGCCTACAAAAGCAATGAGCCTACAGGGCATGAAAAAAACATGTTCATTTTGCTAAACTGTGATGAGGCTCCTGGCAAAGAAATGTAATCGCATTACCACCTACCTTCGGTACAATAAAAGAGCAAACCGTGTTATATATCGTAACTGGGGCAGATCAGTATCACAAGAACTAAGGTCGGAAAGATGATTTCTTCTTATGTTAGTCAGAAACCTGAAAAACCAGTGCTATTAGGCACGCGTGATTTGCGGATGATTGCACATATTCGAGATTTGTGAGATTTGTGGATGTTGTGCATATCTGACATTTAGGTGTTTACGGCAAAAAGAAGAAGACATTTAGGTGTTCATTGGGTTTTCCTCATTACACAAATCAATGGCTTAAACCCTACGGAAGGGAAGATCTAGAAACTCCACAAAGAATTTGCGGAATCTATTTCGTTTTCATATTTCCACATTTCCATATTCATCGTGAAGCCCTTTTCATAAGTGATCCAGCCATCGCAATCTGTAACCACAACTTTATCCGCTTTTGCATGAACCTAACCTATTTGTCTTCGCCTGTGTGTCCACCAATAATACACAACATACACGTTGTACAGGGAATCATTTTCATATAAATAAAGAATTATCATATAATTAAAATCACTTAATTATGATAAATCACAGGGAATAATATTTTTTCTTTTTGGTTTTAAAAAAAGATAGCCAAGTGATGAATTGCATTAAGCTTCAGGCTGTTCATGAACTCATTACTGAAATGCATATGGTATAAAGCAAGAAAATTTCTCAAACTCACCATAACATATATAGCTTTGAACATTAATGTTTCTTCATCCAAAGCTTCGACAACATGAAGAAAGGAAATTAAAGCTTGTGTAACTATAAAACTACCTTATAATTAAACTGAGGTTAATTTGTTGAGCCATAATAAGCGTCTCATCCTAGATGCTCTGCCAAAGAGTACTTAGTTGCCCAATACAATGACCAAACATGTTCCACAACTTTCAACGGCCATGATTTATATGCTCCTCGTCCTCCTCATCGTCACCGCTGATCTCGCCGTTGCATATCCTCGTTGCCATCGGAACTTTGGTGGGGAGAGCAGCAATGGACACCTAGATGGAGGCCATGGATGAAGGAATGAGTGAAGGAGGTTTTGTGAGCTTTAAAGGGAATTAGAGGAATAGGTTCTGGTTTGTGGTAAGAGTATCTTCCAAGCATATGCTTTAAGCATTAACTTGTTGCTGGCCCATTCTTTTCCAACTTTAGCTATTTTTATGGGAACATGGATGTAAATAAAGTTGTAGAGGTTCTTGCAATTTGCCCTTGTCCCAATTTTCTATTATCTTTTGCTTTGTCACTTTGCTTTGGACTATACTGTTCTCCCTCCTCCACGAGGGCAACTATAAGTTTTGCCTAATAAACTTTGGAACAACCTCAGCAACCCCCTTTCGCTTATCATGAACAATTATTATAAAAATGAAATGAACAAGGCTCAAAGGTGTTGTAAAAGTAATTGTGTCTATGTAGGCTTGGCTTGGATGGCATTGAAGTGGAATAAGTGAGGCAAAAACCCTAGCTCTTTCTTTGTGCTCATTATTGGTACTTCGTATAAGTGAAGTGACTGTAAGCAGAACTCCAACACCTGGTGAGAGAGAGAGAGAGAGAGAGAGAGAGCCAATTTAGTGAATTTTAAGCAAGCTGAAAAAAATACTCTCACTACATATGTCCGAAATAGTAGCTTAAATAAAAGTCATGTTGAAATCTCACGTTGAATTTGTAAGGAGTCATCAATTGGTAAAGAGAGAATTAAACCACACACATTAGAATTGAGACGTTCGGTTAAAATTTCATAATAAACTTATAAATATTTGACTTTTCCTGCAAGCATAAGCCATGTGACGCTAGCAAGGTACCATCATGAGAGGGGCTTGCACATACTGTACCAATCCACTATCTAATTTCCCAACTCCTTTCTGTTTAGACATGGTTTTGTTGTTTGTCAGATATATCACTCAGCTTGGCACACTCTCCTTCAACTGGTTTATACAATAAGCAGATATATCCGGGCTTTGATACTATGTATTGGGTAAAAAAAGTCACTAATTCACCTCAAGAAGTATGAATATAATCTTTCAATGAGAAGAACCATCACTAAATAAGATAGATTCTGTCAGTAAAAGATTGATCTTAATTAACAGGGAAAATTACAGCAGTCGAGGATTGATCGTGCTGTTGTTAGGTATGGGTGTGTTGCTCCTTCCATTACCCTAGCTAGTCAAACTAATCAACCCAATAATGATTCTTTTACATCAAACTGAACCAATCATGGATTGGATTAATTTTGATTTGTTGTTTGTCTTGTCTATGGCCAGGCAGATAGTTGGTATGGCTTCTCATGCTGCTGCTTCACAAGCATGTGAGGCATATAATTTTGTACTAATTGTTACAAAATGGGCATAGGGCAGAGTTAGTACCTTTTATTACAAAAATGCACCTGTCATGGTTTATACAAATAAAGTGACGCCATTCTCTCTGTATCTCTCCAATCATATTTCATTTAAGAGGCACCTTGAGAGATTTCCATACAAAACTACCACTAACTCACTCCTCTCTCGGTCTAAAGTGGACTGCTTTCTTGATTGGAATCTCTTTTGCAGCTGAAAAGAATTCTCCGGAAAGCCTAAAGTCTTTTTTTCAAAGAACTTTGGTGCAAACTTGCAGTGTTAGGAGTTGCTGCATTTTTTCTTTTATCTCCCAGTTAATGTTCCTGGCCTAAAACTGCAGAAAAATTGTGTGAAAATGATATAGCCATCCCCGTTCCACGTAAGTGTTTCTCCTAAAACTGGAAGCATTAAGCCTAAGCCTGTAGCAACCCAGTTTTTACGTTCTTCTTTTTACCCTAGTTTCGTGAAAGATTGCCGAAGATAAGTTCCACAAAAGCTAGTGTTGTTCTTCCCTTTAGGAAATATTAACATTGATGCGTACCGGTAATGGTAGCCAATCAAAGATAAGAAAAATGAATCTTGAAGATTCTCAAAGGCCCACCACATTATATACCTAGGAGAAATTTATGTGCAGGCTGCTGAGCGTAGCAAGATTCACATTGTTTATGCAGATCTCTGCAGAAAATATCTAAACATACATTGAATGGAAAGATGAGGACAAGGGAGCAGCAACTTGAACTAGAAAATTGAGAAATATGAAAAGGGGAAAACCATCTAGAAATAGAAACTTAAGTCCTTTGACCAAGCTTCTTGTTGTTTTTAGCATCCAATAATTGTATCTTATTATAATTGATGTCAAGAGGAATCCATCTGTATGCGTTCGAGAGGAATGCTCAGGACAGTCGTTCACGACGCGTTTGTGAGTAATTTTTAACCGCAGATCTATGTGAACGACTGTTCCTAACATAACTTATGTGTTCAAAGACTTACCAATTAAGCAAGAGTGCAAGACTTATCTGGAAAAAGGGTCGAGAAAGAAAGAATCATCCTTTCTTTGTGACATTCATCAATCAAAACAAGAAAAACAGATAACAAACAGGCAAGCAAAAGGAACTGGTCTGTTTATTTAACTCATTGGATTTGGCCAAGACAATGTCTTTGGCTTTGGGCGGTCAAAGTCACCCTTGGGGCATTGGGCGTTGTCGCAACCTCACCACTAGGAATCTAGAAGAAGCCAATGCTATTTTGTCTCCAAAACCAGCAAAGGACAAAGTCAGAATGTGGGCCCCTGCAGCCCACCCACACACCTTATCATTGAATATTTGATTAACTCACACCCAACATTGGTTATGCATACAATACATTGGGAAATGTGCTGTGTTTACGCGGTTGGGTTCTGCTACTGCTAACCATGGAACCAGCAGTCATTTGACATTTTCCTTGCTTTCCATACACAACCGACCACACCTGTCGCAACTTGCAAGATGTAAATAACTAAAAGATCTTTGCATATCATATTCATAATTTCAAAGGATCAAAATGTCCATTTTAGAATATTTATGCCAATTCCAAGGAGTTGTCGAGATAACTACAGAAAATTGTTTTATAAACTCTGGCAGTGCATTTAGACGTGTTGAAAGTGTTTATAGTTAACTAGAAGAGGATGACATTTTGGTTGGAACAAAAACGCTTCTTTTTTTTATTAATGTGGCGGGAGATTTGAACTTGCAATCTCTTTCAACATTGGGAAGAGAAGTATCACTAAGTTGGACTATAAGTTGAACTATAAGTTAAATGTTTGTTAGTTATAGAAGTATTTCGTGTTCACTATGTGTAAAGACTTGTCTACAATGCTTTTCTAAAAAGCGCTTTTGCTCATAATTGCTTTGTTTACAGTCACATTCAATTTTTGTTAGAAATCTAGTGTTCTCATGAATGCACTAAGAGGTTCTTGAGGTAACACCTATCAAGTGCTTTTATACTAAAAATCACTTTTAATTATTTTTATACCACCGTATATTTATTTCATTGTCTACTCTTTTGGTAAATAGTCTAGAAACACTTTTAAACCTTCTAAAAATAATTGTATTTTGATGTTAGATTCACTATATGGGAATGATGGTGATTTTAACGCTTTTGTTGTGAGTGTATAAAGATGATAAAATACCCTAATTAAAGTGCTATAAATTAAACTTGGAGTGCCAAAATTACTACCCTTAAAAACTCAACTTAAATAGATGTTTTTTGGAGTAAGAACACACTCAATCGAAGTATGGATTGAACAAATTCTTTTGTTTCTTTGGTGAGATGCCCACCAACCCTACAAGTGATTACTTTCGAAAGGCATTTCAATTAAAGCATATGATATAGATTACATCATCCTGAACTACTATCTAGCCCTTTTGTCTCTAAAATTATGAAAATTTTATACATAATATTAGGAAAGAGAGAGGGATGACATTGAAATGGAGGGAGTATAACTCATCTGCTTTGACCAAAATGTCCTTCAAAAAGGCGTCACATGCTACTTTTGTCAACTTTTGTAGCTGTCGTCACTAACTGCCTTTTAAACTCACTTTCAAAAAAATATAGGGACCAACTTTGGATGAAAAATAAATAATGAGGTAAATTTGTAATAAACCGGAAATACAACAAGTCAATGGTCTTGTTCTATATAAAAAGAGAAAGAACATCCCCTACCCCTCAGTTTAAGAAACGGGGATACCCCTACCCCTACGCATGATAACGTTTTCATAGGGCAGAATATGATTGGTGGAAGATTTTTTTTTATTTTCGACCGATCATGGTATGTTATGTATGATAACGTATTTATATAGCAAACTGTAATTGGCTAGAGATAGCAAAATAGTGTGATATCCGTTTCATACAAATTTTTCTCTTAAGTGCATATCAACACCAGCCACTAAACCCACGCCACGCGGTATGCGACAGCTTTGAACCTGTCAAATGCTGATTGGCTTCCAGTCTCACTAATTTATAAATAAATAAATAAATCCTGTGCTTCTATTTTTCTTCTGTACATTATTATTGAGAGAGAGAGCTGCTAGCGTGCGCATGGTGTGCAAGGGTGAAAAAGGTAAAGAGAGTGCGCATTATTAGCCAACCCACCATAGTCGGAGGAGGAGCTTTGTTAGGTCTGTGAACCGCTCAAGGTCACCTCTAATTTTGGCAGCCAAAGTCCCCCTCTTTCTCTCTCCCTCTCTCTCTCTGAATCTTTTTGGTTGATCTGGTATTTGCTGCTGTTAATTTTCCCATAATCTCTGTTTTTTCTTTTTCTCTTATCGTTTTTATTATCTGGATGTATGTTTTGGGTTTTGATGCGTTTCTCTTTGATTCTATATGCAGAGAGAAATAGTATTTTGGTTTGATTATACATACTTGTTGGAGTTCATTGATCAGATAAAAACCCAGAAATGGCTGCTCCACCGGCAAGGGCTAGAGCCGATTACGATTACCTCATAAAGCTTCTGTTGATCGGCGACAGCGGTGCGTCTTTTCTCCTTCATTTTCTTTTCTTCTCACTTTCTCGATCAACAAACAGACCTCCATTCTTTAGATCGCTTTTGTGTTTGTATTGTACGAATTTCTAGCATGCTATGGTGTGTGATGTATTCAGAAGTTGTAACATTTTGCCATTGAGATCACAAGAGGCTGGCTTTAGGCTTTAAGATTTGTTGACTAAGGGGGTCAATCAAAAAGTATATAGAAAAAAAAGGGGTTTTCTTTTTGTGGAGTTTAGATCTGGTTTGATTGAGGATTGAAATTGATTTTGCCTGATTTATGAGCTCCTGGGGTCAAAGCATGTGGAGCATTTGAATATAAGTTAATCTTAGTCTGATTTGTGAAATGGCTGTTTGAGCTTCTGAATCAGATATTTTGGTCGAAATAAGTCGTCCATTTGTGTTTATTGTTTTTTCATTTTTTATTATTCTTTATGGTGAGGTTCTAACTTCTAATGTCCTGCTAGTTGGGTCACATATGTGTGTAGTAACTTATCTTGGATGATTCAATTATTTGTCATAGATTGCTGAAAACAATGTGGAGGCTATTAACCTTTTTATCTATCATATATGGAGCTCTTTCTGCAATATGTTTAGACTATCAAATACCAACTAAGTATTATGTGCCAATAAGTTGAAGACTATAGTTCTTGTTTGACGCAGTTGCTAGCATGATGACTGCATCAATTGGTTTTACAATTTTCTGTATTACAATAATGTACTTGGTAGATAACCAATGCTAAATTTGATATATGCCTTTCGTGAAAATGGAAATTTATTTTTGCAGGTGTTGGTAAGAGTTGCCTTCTTTTGCGCTTCTCAGATGGTTCCTTCACAACTAGTTTCATCACAACCATTGGGTGTGTATTCTCTGAACTTTAGAGTTAATTGCATCTGATAAGTTCTGCTTCTCAGAAGCATCTTAAACTTCATGAGCTCCTTTATCCTTGTGAAGCATTGATTTCAAGATAAGGACTATTGAGCTTGATGGAAAACGAATTAAGCTCCAAATTTGGGATACAGCTGGTCAGGAGCGGTTCCGTACAATCACCACTGGTAAACATTTATAATCTTTATGGGTGCTTTCATTTTTATTTTACAAAAGATTGGTGGTAAAGTATCTATAGCTCACGCTTCACGTGATGGAAGATGGATGCACAGGAGATTTTAGACAATTTTAATTTCACCCTTTTGGAGCTTTTCAGGGACAAGGTTATTAAATTCTATATTTTCCCCTAAAAATGGCCACAAAAGAGATAGTTCAACTGTGGCTTCTTGAACAAAGTGGTGTTTGAAACCAAATAATGTGGATTTGAGGAGAACAGGGCAAACCAAGGGATCTTTTAAAAGGTGGATTATGAGTAGGCTGTTAAGAAAGGGCACTTTGGGATATATGGAAGCCCAATAGTAGAGGTAATGCACCACTCTAAAATGGCCATTGTAATGGTTATAGGTTTTTGACAAAGAAATGGATGTAGGTTATTTGGCATTTAGCACGAAACAGGCATGCTGGGCAAGGTGGTCCCAAAATAAAGCATGAAACAGGCAGGGATAGTCAAATATAGAGCTTTTATTCCTGATCACTATTGGGCAGAAGGCCTTTCATTATTTGCTGCAAAGTCAATGGGGAACCTTTTATAGTATGCACATTAGGTGACTTTACTTTTTTTAAATAAAAAAACTGGCTGACCGATGTAATGAATCCTCAATTGTTGCTGGCGGAGCCTAGAGTTCACAAGCCCATCTGGCCTGATCTCACAATTTATTTAGTCAATGGAACTATAATTTGTTAACTAGCTGCTGGCTTAGTCCGTTACATGTGGCAGCGTGCCGAGGCACATTGAAGTGGCCTGGTAGTACCCCATCTTCTTTTAACCTAGAGCTAGAAGCCTATACATAGTGGATGACCTTATTATGCAAACCTTTGCAATAGTTGTGATGAACATGTTTGGAAAATGGGTATCAGGACAGTTTTGAGAGGTTCCTCATAACTGATAAGTGAGTCCTATATTATGTAGGTCTCTAACTGTAAATTGATTAGGTTAGGTGGTATATCTTTGTATTCACTGCTTGTTTGTTGTGTGTCTGTTCCATTCTTTCTGGTGCTGCAGATATTAGCAAAGATTATTATGTTGTTTAACCAAATTTTGTTTTCTCTATTCACTATTCCTTCTCTCCCAGCTTACTATCGTGGAGCCATGGGCATTTTGCTGGTCTATGATGTTACCGATGAATCATCTTTCAATAGTAAATTTCTCACCCTTGCTCTACTGATGTGTTCTTATCCATCATCATCTACCTCTCTGCTTCTCTCAGTTTACTTGAATGTCAATTCTTTTCTGCTCTTTAATTTCTTGATTTTACTGTTGTTTTCCTTTACCTGGCTTGTCAATGTTTTCAGACATAAGGAATTGGATTCGCAACATTGAACAGCATGCATCAGATAACGTTAACAAAATACTCGTAGGGAACAAGGCTGACATGGACGAAAGCAAACGGGTGAGCTTGCTCTTGAAATTTATCATTACAAGACACCAATTCTTCTTCAGAATGCTTTCAGTTATTATTGGACAAGTTTGTTTTATCTTGCATGTTGGATGCTTGTTGATATCACAGCTCAGCTCACCATAGAGATTTCTTTTATAGTAAATGGGGCTATTCTTTTTGGGGTCAAACTATTTTTGCTTGGATTTTATTCAGTTCTGGAAACAAATCTTTGTACCATTCCTGATCTTATCACTACCCTCTTTTTAGGCTGTGCCTACGTCCAAGGGCCAAGCACTTGCTGACGAATATGGCATCAAGTTCTTTGAAACTGTAAGTAATGCCTATGCATTGTGGAAAATAGTTAATAAGTGTTCATATGTATTGAAAGATATTGTCTAATGCAGAGTGCAAAGACGAATCTAAATGTGGAGCAAGTTTTCTTTTCAATAGCAAGAGACATAAAGCAACGGCTTGCAGACACTGACACTAGGGCTGAGGTATTTTAATTGCTTTCCTTATTTTCTTTTATTTTTTGTTACAGCTTTACTTATTTTGTATTAGAAGGATATAAATTACAATTTTTAATTTGAAGTTCACTTGCGTAAGGTTTTGACTGACTTTGTTTTGATAATGTTGCTGTAGCCTACCACGATCAAGATCAACCAACCAGATCAGGGAGCTGGGGCTGGTCAAGCTGCACAAAGATCAGCTTGCTGTGGTTCTTAAGTTGATTACATTGTGATCAAGGGGGGCATTGGAGGCTTACACAATGTTTGAAAAGACAAAAAACTAATTGTATGACAATACAATATGATGGTGCTTGTAATCTTCTCTTTCTTTTTTCCTTTTTTTTCTTTCATCTCATTCTTTTGAAACTTAGTGTGTGAAAGGTAGTTTCTTATTGTTTCAGATTTTTCTTGTGGTAAAGAATTGACGTGTAACCTGTGGCAGACACATTTTTGTTTACTGTGCTTGTGTTAAAGATAGATGGATGCTTATTATCTGAGATTTGGATCTTCATATGTGGAAATATTAATCCATGCAGCCGAATTTGTACAATTTGTAAGGCTACTAATAATAATTCGATATCCAAATTTTGGGAAGGAAATGATGCTTCTGATATTATGATGGTAGAGGAAGACCAGTCATGATTCGGGGAAATCGGCGCTCACTTTTTCACTTCTTGACCGTGCTTTTCTCTTTTTTTTTTTTTTTTTTTTGAAGCAAGCTCTTATTATTTCACAGGAACATTTTGCACCCTGATCGTAATCTTCAGCATGAGATTAGAAATTTGGAATATAGAGATTCTGCCTCAAACAGAGGCTGCTTCTGCATGAGCTTCGCTACAGTCATTAGATTTCAATTATTCCCAGTGTTCACTGAAATTGCTTACCCTAATCTTGGTTTCCAACTCCAGGACTAAATGACCATGACCACTGCAGCAGGCTTCGATATCACCGGCATCCATTCAAGTTAAACCAACGAGTCATCATTATGTAGCAGGTAGCAACAACAACCATTTCATCCAACGTATTTTTTATTTTTTATGGATCTTCTTTCATTATGGAATTTGATTTTTTTTTTTTTTTTTTTTTTTTTTTTTTTTTATGTAGAGTAATAGCTTTGGTTGTTCGATGTTTAAGAATTCTTATTTAGGCAGTTCATACCATCCATACATAATGTTTTGATATAAGATTTCAATTCTTCCATGTTTCAGCAGTAGTTAGTTGCTTCTTCTATTCTTTTCCTTGGCATAGTTGGGCCATTCTGGACTTGAACCAGAGACTTCGGCCGTGAAGTAAATTATCGCACCTACGGTCCAACTAATTGGGAGAGAGTCAAAATATTCCTTTCCGGGAGTGATTCATCCTTCCCGAATGCGATAGCTTCTTTATGGTCTAACTTTCTTGCCAATACATTATCCTCATTATGTTCCGAATTGTAATCTCTAATATAAAAAATATAGCTCCATGAGCAAAAGCCCCTATCATGATGAATCTTGTGATTGGTGATGAGTATATAACGCCATGACATCCTGTGATTGGTGATGAGTATATAACGCAGATAAAGTAGTGAAGCCTTTTTCTTTGTTTTTTTTATTTTTTTTATTTTTATAGAATAAGTTATTCTATTTATAAAAAAAAACAAAGAAAATGCGGTTTCACTCTCGGTGAAACTATGAACTCGTGCCCAAGCTCAAATTAAATTACCATTACTAATAGAGTGGAAATGAAAATGTGATGGTTGGGGCGAGGTCCTCTGTAACACGACATAAAAACTCCTTATTTTTTTAAGAAATTTCATAAAACAAAATTAAAATTAAACTAAAATATGATAAATTAAGCCAAATTTACTGAAGTATAACAACCAACGCTGAGGGAGGAGGGAGAGGGTGCGGGAAAGGGTGGTGTTTCTTTAACCTTCAAAGGTGTAAGGTCTGAATGTAATGGGTTAAATGAGTAAAGAGGGCTCACTAAATTGACCCCTGTGAAATTATGGATCAACACATAACTAAGCTGTTTAAGAAAGCTTAAACTACAAAATCAGATGAGAAGGATTTTTGTCAAGGAGCCAATGCCAGATAGATTTTTATTGAAGCTAACAAAGCTTAGTCACCATAAAGGACAAGCATAGCGCCACCAACTTACACCGGTTGTTTATTAGTCTCCCTTATGCCAGCAAAAGACAAGGGGAATTGAAGCAGACTCACATTTACATAAACTACTGTACCCAATATAAACAAAAAAAGTGTCAATTCCTCCATCAATTTTCCATAGAAAATACATAATTTACCAAAGTGAATATACCCGGCGCATCAAAACATTATCCAATCTTATAATCTGAGCAAAGCCTATACATACACTCCTACAAGTTCAGTTCCTCCTTTCCATAAATACGCTGAAGTTCACGAGTTGCTGCTTGAAATGATTCTGAGGAACAAACATTTAAATAAGTAAAAAGAAAAGAGAGGCTCACTTAACTGACAATTTAAAGCTTGAAAATGTTTAAAGACCAGGGAAAGAAGAAAACAATCATTCAAATTTTATTACCTTTCCAGCTGTGAAAAGATTTCTGATTGATCGGAGCACCAAATACAGTTTGAAGTGTATCAAATAACAAGCTCTCAGGGGTGCTCCTTAATTCTTGCACTATCTGATAGATGGTCTTCCCGTTCTCAAAGTATATGTGATTGTTTGGATGTTTTGTTTTGCAACCAGCATGGCGCTCAAACTCATATGCATTTAGAACCTTCCACAAAACAAATTATTTCCGCGTTAGGTGTCAAGATAACATGTAAGGGAGAAGAGAAACGATTGGGAGTTTATTGATATGAGACCTACCTTAGCATAATTACATGATTGACACCCACATAGATAGCCAACACCTTTTATAATTCCGCGAAGCTCCTTGTTACGGGGAGGGATATAACCCTAAGTCATTAAACAGGAATCCTAATTGAATAAAATGGACAAGAAGAGATGGAGCTTACCTCACGTGCCAAGGAAACATATTTTACAGGAACCCCGTCAAGCATGCCAGTTGAAATCAAGCTTCTAACATTTGAAGGGAAGCTGTTTGGAGCTGGTTTCCTTGACGGTTTGATCTCAGGTTTATTCTTAGAAACTGATTCCGGTCTTGGTTTAGCTGCAGAAGCAGTATTATCAACCGCACTGGCATTTGATGCATCCAAGTCCTTCTCGCATGAAGTTTCCAATGTTTGAACTGAATCCGGTTGGTACAATTGATCATAGTTGCCAACAGGCCTGCCTATGGGGATAATATCTTGTTCATCAGGAAACCCACCAAAAGATATCATATTAGCATTCCCTTTACTGCAATTGTCACCCACTGATATTGCATTTTCATCTCCCTTGCCATAGTTGGTATCTATTGGTCTGACATGGGCATCCCCGTGGTTGTAGGGATGTCCTATTAGTGTGAGACTGCCATGCTCCTTATCATAGGCCTGCCCCACTGATAAAAAAGCAGTTTCATTTACCCTATCAAATGCCTGACTTGTGGACAGGTTACTGTTACTTCCCCTATTAGAACCATGTTCCCGTGAAGCATGCATACCATTGTCACTGTCCCTGACCTGATTGACTTTAACTTTTCTAATTCCAGCATAGTTAAGACATGTTTCAGGATCTTCCATGGCATGAGATACTGACAAACTAACAGGCGAATCTTCTCCAAACTGGTCATCGATACCCTTTCTTATATTCCAATTATCTGATCCGACAGGAGAAACGTTCCTCTCAGCAAAGTTAACAGAGCTTGCTGGATCAGATCCAAATAACCGGTCAATGAATTGGTGTGGAACCGACTGGAAGCTAGAAGCGTTCTCCCAAGAAGAGACATTTTCATTTGACATTCCCGAGCCCAATTTGCTGTGAATATGTACTGCTTGCTTCTTGTTCGGGAACAGCTCTGGTTCAGCAGCATCTACAAACCATTGATGAGGCCGCTTTGGCTCAATTCTTGAAGGGTTGCCGTAAGTTGCATCTCCATCATTAACATGTCCAGCACCCTTTGGCATCCAAAATCCCTTGTTCTGGAAAGACTGCCAGTAACAAACACTCAGAAAATCCTTGAAAACCTTATCTATAGTATATTTAAACATGTACAGATGTCTAAGGTTCAAGACAATTCAAAAATTAAAAGAAAACTTTTCCACAATCTTGTTTAAAAATTCAAATCACGAGAAAATTCAACAACTCAACATAAGCTTTAGTCTTCAACGTTGGACTATCCAATCATTTCAGAATTTTGACAGTACTAAAAGAATAACCCCAAACAACTGAAAATTTAACCACATATAGGATATCTCAAAAAACTAAATAAATAAAAACTTCATGAGCTAAAAAAAAAAAGAGAGCACATTATAGTTAGTAGCTTCTATAACATACCATTTTGCTTCTTCCACTTCACAGTAAATTGATTTCACTTTCACTCTTCGGTCGAGGCCTTAAAGATTCTTTCTTTACGAGTGTCAGTACGAAGGGGCTGTGATGAATTCCATCTGCACATACACACATACAAATAGAGATGTTCAATGTACAGACAAGTCTAAAAATACAAAATTGAGAAACGCAAGAATTTTTTTTTTACATCAATTAAACGCAAGAACTTAAATAAAATCCATACAAGAATCCCAAATTTCTTCTTCACCAGAAAAATCAAATCGAATTATCCCAGAAAGGCATGAGATAGTAAATGCGATAACCTAGAAATGAAAAATGAGATTTTGGTACAAGTATCCGTACCTGTACAGGTAGTCGGAAGGCCGATCGTCGATTGCTGACCGATCAATTTTCCGGCGAAGCAACTCCGGTGACGAAATTGAACATTGAAATTTTTCTGTGTGTTGAGAGAGAGAGGGGAGACGGTGTCTGAGGAGCACTCGATCTTTTCTCGGGAGAGGAAAATAATTAATTGGGTGTAACCGCATACGAGAAAAGCCGCGGTTACTTTAATCATAGCCGTCCAGGCGTGTTATTTAGGACGAATCCCAGCCGTGTATTATGAAGACTGTCTTGATAGAAGTGTATTTTCGTCTTTTCGCGTTTATCGGGTAAGAACAGTGGTGCTTAGGTGGAGCTAAGTAACCACTCATGCTTCGACACGTTGCAAGATCTAACAAACAGCAGCATGGTTCACACGTAACTCATAAATCCAAACCATGTAAGAATTTCTTCTATTGTAGAAAAAGAAATTTTCATGTATCTATTTTCACTAAAACGCAGGATGATTTTACAAACGGCGTCTAGTTCAATGAAAAATTACTTTAATTTGCAGATCAAGAAATACAGTTTTTTTAACTCGTTAAAATTATCATTGAACAAGGAATGAGAAAAATTTGTATTTTTTTAATTCATACATTTTGTAAGTTGTAAAAGTGGATTAGAAACTTAACAAATAAAAACTAGTGCACGTAATTATGCACACACACAAGTTGTTAGAGAAGATAAGAATTGGATTTCCATTTTTCTTTAGAATGAATATTTGTACTAATTACAAAATATTTGTAATAAAAAAGCCTCTCCCAATATGGATTGGACTCCCTAGAAATCCTGTACCTTTTTTAATTAGGAATTACCCCCCATCTCTATAAAATAGGGTAGAAACTCAAACACCAAGTGCACCAGAGCTCTAAGAGAAACAAGAAATAGAAACTTTTTCATCAAGTTTTTTCTCCAAGCAAACGAGACCACAGTGACTTGCAGTGCACCATCAGATATCCAATGGAAGAAGAAGCAGCAAATACGTTCGTGGAAGCTGATCAAGAACTTGATGATGATCTTGAACCAACCATTGACTTCAAGTTCCTGACATCCTTCTTGGAGTCTGATGATGATGAAGCACTTGATGATGATCATGAACCAACCATTGACTACAAGCGACTCACGTCCTTCTTGAAGTTTGATGACTCCTTCTTGACGCCATGGAATTGGAACCCTAACCCTAATGCCTCTGCCTGTGACGACAATACATCAAGTGTGGAGACAAAGCAAGAATGCATCATGTTCCAACCTGGTTCATTCTTTCGTGACGAGGAGGGCGGTGAAGAAGACACAGAAGCCTTCAAGATCATCAAAGATATTTGCTTGATCAAGATCATCGGAGCTATTTGCTTGATCAAGATCATCAGTACTACAATGAGTAAACTGAAAGGAGTTTAAGGGGTTGTGATAAGTTTACAATGAGTTTGATTGAGTATTTTCTTAATCTTGTAGTTTGATGTTGATATCAATTTCGTTCTGGTGATTTCAATTATTTTAAGCCAGAATTGATTAAATATCAGTCAAATATCACAGCGGGGCACTAGGATGAAATTTTAATCAAAATTGTTATTTTCCCTAAAAGAAGATTCAAAACTTACATATATATGTATATGATTTTATAAAATTGCTTTTATTGATATACTCTGATTTCTGTGTTGTGGAATTCGTGGGTAAAAATATACTTTATAGAATATTGGTATCGTTATTCCGCTCACCTAAGGACCTAAAAATAAGACACAAATAACTAAGTAGTGTAAACCCTAGTCATACTCGTTATTTTACCGAAACAATCATTTTAACTATTTTAATCTGCAATAATTAAAATAAATAAGGGATACAGAGTTCAATTCGGATCCTGTCAATTCATGGTCTTCCTACCAGCCGTATTTCTCCCCCACCGTCAACCAAAGGATGTTGCATACCCTAAACTACACTCGCGCTTGCCTGGCTGTATTTTTAATTACCTGAACTTTGTCATCAAAATCCATATATTCTGGAGCAGTCTTGGAATTTGAAGAATCTTGTAAGCCAATGGTACTATTTAACGAGTTTTCTCTCATTCATATGTTCTTGGTATCAAGACCAGGCTTTTCAAAGGAACCCACTGCCAATTCTGCAGTGCCCTTTTCTAAAATCTCTTTCTCTGTACTTGATTTTATCTTTCACTATGAATAAGGGTTTAAACTACTAGTTATTTGTGCCATTAGATTATCAAAGGGTATGTATTGAATAGTTGCTCAAAAGACCTCATTTTTAGGTTCTTAGGTGAGCGGGATTGATTGGATAAAAATTGGGCTTCCTTGTTTTCTTAATAATAATGCCTCTCCCAACTCATTCTTGACACCATGGAATTGGAACCCTAGTGCTCCTGCCTGTGATAGTAGCAGGTTTTGAGAAAACGAAAAACCAATGAATTGCAAACCGAATGGGAAAAAGGAAACCGATGAATGGTTTAAAGAAAACCAATGTTTAAACATATTGAAACGACAAAAGGGATATGGGACAATCAAATATTTATAAATAAATAAAAAGGTTTATGCATTTTAGAGACTGATGAATCTTTTGTGCCAACAAAAGGGATTTGGGGACGGATGTATTGTCATCAAAATGATATACATGTACACATAATATGTATTAGAAAGTGTGGGACTCGATGTTTATTTCTGTGTCATATTATCAATAGAGGACCCATGTAAAAGATATTGTTATAAGACAATGTCTATTACTACAATAAACACTAAAGAAGCCCATAAGTATGGAGTATGGAAGCGGATACATTGAAAAACCCTGAAAGCCCACTTGAATGCGGACAGAGAATTTTAGTCATTCAAATATATGGAAATACTAAGCCTGAGAATTTATACCGCCAAGCCGAGTAATCGTGGAAATGCTATAATAAGGGGGTTGGCAGAGCCACTCCTAGACCTGGAGTGGCTATGGCCCCTCCATATTTTTACCACTCTTCTATTATATTATATATAATATATAGAATTTGTAATAAACAACTTAGAATTTAAGTTAAAATGTCTTTTAAAACAAATTAGATATAACTTAATTATAAATATTTAGCTCTACACATGTAAGTATTGAATATTTAAGTGTTTTATATACTTATATTTTCTATTTCGGCCCCCCCCCAAACTTTACAATTCTAGCTCCGCCCTTTGTTGTGGGAGGAGATCACAAAAACAACCCATGAACTTCAACTTCATATACTTAGCATTTTACCACTATTTAACCAACATGTTTTCTTGTGAAAATAAAGTATTTAATTGATACTTATACGCTAAATATATGAATTTTCACTATAAAGGAGAATAGTTTTGTCAACGGCGTCTAATTTAGTAACTTGCAGACCAAGGATAACAATTTTATGGCTCGTTGAAATTATTATTGAACCAGGAATGAGAAGTTGTTATGAAAAAAAAAGGTATTTTTTGAATTTATACATTTTGTAAAAATGGATTTAGAAGCTTAACAAATAAAAATGGATTTAGTACACGTAATTATGCACACACACAAGTTGTTAGAGAAGATAAGAATTGGGTTTCCATTTTTCTTTAGGACGAATATTTGTAATAAAAATTCCTCTCCCAATACGGATTGGACTCCCTAGAAATCCTATACCTTTTTTAATTAGGAATTACCCCACATCTCTATAAAATAGGGTAGAAACTCAGACACCAAGTGCACCAAAGCTCTAAGAGAAACAAGAAATAGAAACTTTTTCCTCTCGTTTTTTCTCCAAACAAACGAGACCACAGTGCAGTGCACCATCATATATCCAATGGAAGAAGAATTAGCAAATACGTTGTTGGAAGCTGATCAAGAACTTGATGATGATCTTGAACCAACCATTGACTTCAAGTTCTTGACATCCTTCTTGGAGTCTGATGATGATCAGACACTTGATGATGATCATGAATCAACCATTGACTACAAGCGACTCACGTCCTTCTTGAAGTTTGATGACTCCTTCTTGACGCCATGGAATTGGAACCCAAACCCTAATGCCTCTGCCTGTGACGACAGTACATCAAGTGTGGAGACAAAGCAAGAATGCATCATGTTCCAACCATGGCTCGTTCTTTTGCGACGAGGAGGGCGTGAAGAAGACACAGAAGCCTCATCAGTAGTCTACAATGAGTAAAATGAAAGGAGTTTAAGGAGTTGTGATAAGTTTACAATGAGTTTGTGATTAAGTAATTTTTTAATCTTTTAGAAACAACAATTTCAAAACTTACATATATAGTTGATTTTCTAAAATTTCTATGTTGTGGAGTTCGTTGGTAAAAATGTACTTCATAGAATATTGGTATCGAATAAGAAATATACCGGATTCTTTTTAGGACTAAGAATTGGGTTTCCTTGTTTTCTTAATAAAAATTCCTCTCCCAACTCGTTCTTGACACCATGGAATTGGAACCCCAGTGCTCCTGCCTGTGATAGTAAGTCAAGTTTGGAATCAAAACAATAATATACATATCCGGATTCAACCTGGTTCATTCTTCGGTGGTGAGTGTATCTTTATGAATTCTTGATTTCATATGACACCGGAGAAATGTACGTGTTTGAATTTTAAATTACATTGTGAGATGATTCAAAAGAATAGTATGAAATGCCACATTAAAGTAAGTATACCGGTATTTGTACTTGAACATTCTTGAATATATTAGTATAAGGTCACGTTGTTGTTAGCCGAAAATAATATTCTGGGCAAAACATGGAGTGGTTATAACAATTCTATGACAGAAAAAATCACCAGTACCACAATGATTTTCTCATGCGTTTGTTTTTCTTTTTCTTTTGAAAAGTGGAGGTGAATTCAAATATTTGGGACATTTTCTAGTATTGGGGAGAAGAGAGGCAGGAGAGATTTTGATACGACTATTTGGTACATTGATAAGTATACATCATACAGTGTTACAAGGTCGGTATTTTGAACACATATTCAACATACCACATGATGTGGGCCATGACCCATACTGGTCATATCATACGCTTAGAAGATGACATACATGTGGGACATTCCAGAGGGAGAGAAAAAAGAGACCATTTAAATGTGTATTAGAAAGTAAAATACATTTCTTAAATATTTTATTATTCGGAAAAATTGGAAAGAGAATGTTATCAACCTTCTCTTTTGGACCTTCTCTATTCCCCTCATCAAAGTAAATTATTTTTTTTTACAGCTTTCTTAATACTTTGTAAAAAAATTATTATATTAATTTATTAAATATTTACAAAATCAAAATAAAAAAACCTATCTCAAGTCGTCCCCACCTTCTTCCCCAAAGCCCAGCACCCCCACCATCTCCTTAGCGCCTCCCACCCTTTCATTACAGAACTTGATATCTCATATTGCATTAGCTAGCTTATCTGAGTTTTCACATCCTTTAAAATCTTATAGTCAAATACCATAATAATCCTTCCTCCATGTAACATGGAAACATAGAACTTTGACCAGATTGCCCCAGTTTTAAACTAAACTAGCTGATTTTCAACTTCACACTTCACTGAAAACAACTAATAAAAGACACCCTCAACATAAAATTGATTATTATTTAAACTCAGCTCATGAAATAGAATAACTTTTGTAAAGAAAATAAAATAACAAACAAATCAAGTAGAAACTCTCTCAAATAAAACAGAGTAGTATAACTACAACTCAAATTTCAAAGAAAGAGAAAAAAACCCAAAATAGCAGCTTCGGTATCTCTGAGGAGGCTCACCTCTAATGGAAGAAACTGGGAGTTTTGGAAGAGCTCTGAAGAAGGTATTATTTCTACCATAGGCGGCCAATAATGGTGGAGGCAAGCTTGCAATAATGGAAGGGTGGGGGCACTAAGGAGATGGTGGTCAAGACGGAGGTGCTGGGCTTTAGGGAAGAAGGTGGGGACGACTTGAGATAGGTTTTTTTTATTTTGATTTTGTAAATATTTAATAAATTAATATAATGATTTTTTTACAAAGTATTAAGAAAGCTGTAAAAAAAAATTAATAAATTAAAGTAAATTCAATACATCAAATAAGGGTAAGTATGGAAAACAAAAAGTAGGTTGTTTGGCACTATTTTAAGTGTAAAGAAAATGACACATGTCACGAGGGAAAGAGATAAAGTCCAAAAGAGAAAATTCAAGAGACGGTTGCTAGCATTTCCCAAATTGGAAATTTTACTTTTAGTTGTCAAGGACAATAAAGTTGGTTTATATTTATTATATTTAAATCATATGTAGTCAATAAATTGAAATGTGAGAGAGTTAAACACAAATAATGGTGACAAGCAGGCAAAATCATTGAGCATGAATTTGTTAGCGGAGGTGCAATTTTGAAATGCTAAATGCTTTATATATAAAAAATTGACAATCAAATATCCTTATAATTTAAATAATACCAATGTCATTCATAAGTCATAGAAAAATATAGTATTACAAATAACCTACAATTGTTGTCAACGAGAAAAAAAAAAGTATTTATACATATTTTATTGAAAAATATTTTGAATTCAAATATCATAAACGAAAATTTGGTGTGAAAAAAAAGTTTGACAAAAGATTCATATCTCTAAAGCCTAATCCAAATTTGTTCACATGCCATTGTGATCTTTAAATCAAAGCACAAGAAATGAAGAAGAAGAAGATATTATGTGCAAACTGAAGGAAGTTGAGGTTTTACTCCAAAATCAATTGGCAATGAGAGGAGTAGACCAACTCCTTATAAACCCAGGCTAGATCCTTTAATTATTTTTAATGTGGGACAAACACTCTCAACACACCCCCGCATGTGTGGTGAATTTTCAAACATAACACATACTTTGGGTGATTTGAAAGCACTTATGGCCGTTGGGCCCAACATGTGAAGTCATGCCCAACTCCTTGTAAACCCAGGCTAGATCCCTTTACATTTTAATGTGGGACAAATACTCTCAACACAAACATCTTTCATGAGTGCTTTTACCCATGTGTAATTATATCCCATCAACTCCCAATCCCATGCAAATAAGGAGTTGTGTAATACAAGAGTTTCCTTTTTTGTTTGATCTTTGTTTAAAAAGAAGAAAAAGAAAGCTTGTTAAAAGCCCTTCTTTTTTATTTTTTTACAGCCTTTTATCATTTTTAAGCAAGTCATATGAGAGCTTGTTAAAGCCTAAGAATTGCACAGTCTAGTTTCCTCTTCTTTTCTTTTATTATTATTATTATTATTATTATTATTATTTAAAAAACTATGGTCCAAAATAACATCGTTTTGCCTAGGATGTTTAAAAAAAAAGAAAAAGGCATGATGCGCACAATACCGTAGCGCAATAAGCCTTGGTTAAAGCAATTCGTCGAACACGTGGAGTGCACCACCCAACCTTAGCATAGGGGCAATATGCACCGCCAAACGTGCAACTACACCTCCTTGCGCCTTAATAGGTCAGCCAGTGCGCACACACACAATCAAGATGTGGGTTTCGAACATGAGACCTTTGAAGTCAATGGTTGGTTCAAATGTCTCGTTGGCATTATAAGGAACTTTAATTGTGTTCATAATTTAGATCCAGATCCTTAATTATTGTATTTGTTTCATCAAGAAAATTAAAGTTTTTATGAGGTTAACATAAATACCAAGAGTCTTTTTTATGTTACATAACTTGTAACTCCAATTTTAATTGGCAATAAATTAAATATTAAAGCATTTACTAAATTGATTTTATTGGGTAGAAGATCTGTTTATGTACATTGCAATATACAAATAAATAAGCGTAACAATTAAGAAAAATATAATAAAAAATCTCATAAAATCAATAGCAAAATCAGCTAACAAAACGGCGGGGGAAAAAACAATCCAATCATCCCCCGCCACTATGTTTCTATATAAACATCCAATAAATAAAATAAAATAAAAATCTGCCTATCATCTATAGGAAGGAATAAATTAATTAAATATAATTCACATCTGTAATAGATCAATCGACCAAATCAAGAAATCAACTGCAGCTTCGTCGCCAAATCGTATTGGCTATGATGACCAGGCAGGCCCAATCTCAAATCCAAATTCAAGTCCAAGTTGAAGCTCGACACCCTTTTACTACTATTCGACTTCTTCAAAACCGGCATGGCCGGCGACGACCGAGCTTGAACCGCATTAGCTTGAATTTCTTCTCTATGTCTCCTCATGTGTCCCCCGAGTGCCTGTCCAACCGCAAACTCGAGCCCGCATATGTGGCACTCGTGCGTCTTGGGTTTCGCGGGGGACCCTGGAGATTGCGCGAGTTGTAGGAGGTCGACTGCCCCGCCGGGCATCAGCTTCGGCTTCTTGTGGCTCGCTCTGTGGCCCCCGAGGGCCTGGAACGAGGGGAATTCCCGATTACATGTCTTGCATGTAAACACTCGGCCTCGTTTTAAATCTTCGGCTTGTGTGGGGGAGGAATCGGGTTGGTCTATTTTGGATAGTAGCATCAAACAATTGACCAAATCTAGAGTTTGGTCATCTTGATCTTCTCGGCCTCGCTTCATGGAACTCAAGAATTGAACTCAGTCGGGTATAAGGTTTAGGATTTAAGTTCGGGTGGCGAACCGAAATTTAGATTTAGGAAAAAGGGGATAAGATTTGTGTGTGTTTGAGAGTGTTAAGATTGTTGTTGCTGCTGGAAGTGCTTAGAATGAGCTCGAGGATGGTATTTATAGGAAAGAGAGATGTTTTTGGGGCAGCTAAATCTCAAGTATGACTAGGAGATGCTGTCATGTCGCGTACGGACTAAGCGAAGTGGTGGATTTGCCCTCTGATGTCTTGGGGACTAAGTAATTGGAACGAGTTCGGTAATTTTGTAAATTTGTTCGAATTTGAGTGGGAGTCTGGTAAGCGCCGTCAGTAAGGCGTCACCGCGTTGCTGGAGAGAGCTTCCTTCCTGAGTCGGTCGTTTTAGGCGACCAGCGGCGAGTAGTTTGAACATTCCGACAATTCTAGATAGATTTTACTCGGTGTTCTAGTCCAACACGTACCCAAGGCGCGTGTCAAACATAAATCGAAATTAGCCTTTTACTCTTTTTTTTTCTAATGGGTGTAAAATATCTTATAATATTTAAATAATTCTACTTTTTTGTTTTGAAAAATATTCACGATTAGAATTTTTTCCTCCCTTTATTCTTTACAATAATTATCCACAATTTTTTATTTATTTTTATTTTATGTTCATTAAAGAGGGCCAAAGTTCATCGGAAAGAAGTACAAGGCTCATTTGGCACGACTTCTTTAGGAAGTACTTCTGCTCATAGGCGTTTTTAACAAAAGTGCTTTTATTATAAAAATCTTGAATTTTCATTAAAAAATCCAAGTACTTCTCCAAAAATCACTTCTATGACCCAAAAGAGCTTCTAAACTTTTCTGTCAACCATTGTCGGAAGGGCTTTTAGTTGTCAGAAACCGCTTTTAGCATTTTCAGAAGTACTTTCATTTGAACTCAAAACATGTTATATGAAAACCCAATCAAAACTTTTTTTTTTTTATCAATAAAATTCTTAATTTACATTAAGATCACAATTTTAAGATAGAAAAGTTTGACCGCCTCCTAATCATTAACCACCTCAATTATCAATGGCTAACACTCTCTTTTAGTGTCTTTATCTTTGTTTCAAGTTGATGGGAGTCCAAAAGAGTGATTAGCAAACTTGTTTACCCTCAAATTGATACTCCGGAGAGAGGTGGGGTGTTGGGTTGTTGTTAAGTTGTTTCCAATTTTTATTTAACTTTTTCTTAAAAAAATTAGATGTTACTTAAACAAAAAAAGGTTTACATAACGTGTGTATGTGGTATATCTATCAAATATAGTTTCCTTTTTTTTTCTCCTACTCGAATTTAATCTTTATCCATATGATACTAACCAGGCATATGCTGCTCATGTGGAGTGTTGACACTTCTAGTAGGTGTTTAAGTGACGTAGATCCATCATCCGCAGCGCGTGGACGGTTGTTTGAGTTGGGTGGGCACTGTGAAAGCAATTAAAGAAAAGCCCGCGGAAAGCTGTAAAACAGCAGAAGAAAACGGAGGCAACGTGCATCGCAAGTTTGTACCCACACCACACCACGTATTGCCACGTATTATATGTTGTTAATAAATGTTAGTAAGTTTGGTCTTACTAGAAAAATGTACGCGGTCCTTCTCAATCATCCACGTCAAGCTGTACGTGTAGATGTTGATTCAGTGTGAGCTTCCTACTTTCACACCATTTCTGTCAATGCAATGCCTTTCCTAATAAGTTCCATTTGCCTTCCTTTGCTTAATCACCTCACAATTCACTCCTTGTTTCCTGCTGCTTCCAGTCTTCTCCCAACTTCAAGTCGGCCCCATTTGTATATAATTGTCTCTCACTTTGTTTCATATCAATATCGGCAATTATGAATACTCGCTTTCGTTGTTTGAAAATAAAACAGATATTTAGTTATATATTCATTCTTAGCATTAAAATTATAAATAAACTCTATTCCATTTAATTTTTATAAACATACCCGAAAAAAAACTCAAAAAATAACAGCTGGACCTATTAAATTTAATTTTGATTATTAAATTATTTTGATGACTTATTAAGTGTTTCAAGCTTTTTATTATAAAGTTTTGTGGTTGAGTTTATTTTAAGAAATCAATGACAATTTTGTAATTTAAAAGAAGTTAAAAGTCTTTTTGTTGTGTTGTAAATGAGCTTTGGGTATGTTTCTAAAGTCCATTTCATATACATGTGTGTGTGTTTTTTTTGTTTTTGTTTATTTGTTTGTTTGTAGTTGAGAACCTTTAATTCTACAGAAAGGGGCGAGCAATTTCCATTCACAATTATCATAATATACATTATGTTTCTTTTTTGTTACATTGGAGTTCGACTCTAGAGTTTGAAATGGGGTGCCATGGGGGAAACCACCACCACTGTGGTGGAAACCATTGGCCATTATGTATTTGTATAACATAATGATTTTAGGCAAAAAATCACTTTTCTTCCCTAAAATTTGATGAAATTTCCACTTTCATCCATATGGTTTCAATTCTGGCAATTTGACCATTGTAATTTGATTTTATTGCAATTTAAGGACACCCAGTTTCTTGAGGGAACAAACACGTGTCTCTTATGTGGAGGGGTATATTGGACATAATTTTGGATGGAAATTTGAATGTGTCATTTAATTGTGATAGAATCAATCAAACTACATTAGTTAAATTGATAAAATTAAAACACAGAGACTAAAGTGGAAAAAACAACAAACTACAAGGACCAAATGTGACTATTTTATTAAGAACGATGTTCTCAGTTATTTCACACTTTCTTCCATGCAAACAAATAAGAGTAGAACTACACATACCAACTTTTTTTTTCCCCAATTCTTATCTCAGCGAAGGGTTTGTTTCTTGTAGTATAGAATTAAAATTAGGCATAGGGGTAGGCTAAATTTTTACTTTGGGTAATACCAGGGTTTTATTTTATTTTATAATAACATGCTTATTATTAACACTATTTTTTTTTCTTTCCTGAAAAAGATGGGGTGGGCTAGAGCCCATGATATCCCGTGGCTCCGCCTTTTATCTCAACTCTCTAATCTCTTAGGCCACCTCCACGGTCCACTGCAGCCCATTTGCTAGGGCAAGAGGCCCCCCAAGTGGGGTTTGGACCTCCAGCGCAGGAGAAGCAGCCCTGGCAAGCCCTAGGTCCCATCAGTCCGGGCAAGCCCAAGGGCAGATCTTGCCTGGGTTTCAACCCGAAGGCGTTTACGTCAATGGTGACGTCATGCTAACATTAGCGAGCAAAAAAAATTGAAAAAAATTGGAAAAAATTATGGATGTTTTCCCTATAAATACATAACAATTTTATTCACTTTCCACACCAAATCCTCATACAAACTCTTCTCCTTCCAATATTTGTAAATTGTAATAATTTTTTTTTCTTGCATTTGTAAATTGCTTATATTTTCTTCCATATTTATTTATTTTCTTGCATTTCTAACTTTTTTATATTTTGTTGCATATTTTGTTTTTTTTTCTTGCCCTTGCCCTAACCTTTTGAGGTGGAACCCAAAAAGGTAAAGCTGTCACTATTCATATAAATAGTAGCAATCATTGCCTTAGCCTTAGCCTTTTGGGGTGTACATGCTCTTACATGAAATGAGCTCTTTAGAGCACTTTCACCCATGGTACTATGGCAAAGGGCAAGTAAGGGCAGACACTATTCACATGAATAGTGATTTTCCTACCCTTTTTAATTTGCTTTTCCACCCAATGCCATGGCAAACTAAGGGCAATTACTATTTATATGGGATTAATTTTATTTATATGCATGAGATTAATAATTAAAATACTACATTGTCTCCTAATCACATGAGTTCTGTAACATATGAGCGAAAATGGGATCTCGAGCCTTTGCATTTAGCATCCATGCATTTACACACATTTAAAGGGATGTTAACCATTAGATTGATCTAATGAATTTTAACAAGTCCACATTAGCATCTCTTTACACCTTATGTGTATCTAATACCCTTGAAATAAAATATTAAAAATACAAAATAATAGTCTCAACCCTCAACCTAGCTCTTACTCGACCCAATCCTAAACCACCTCCACTGGTTGCTGCTATCCATGGCAACCACCTCTCTCTGCGCCATCCATAGTCCTATCGTAGTATTTAACATGGAATTATTCTCTCAAAAGCAAGCAAGTACTTCAAAATTAAACTACAATTGAAAATCCTAGAGGTGCCTACCAATTATAGGACCCAGTGAAGGTGTGTGTGAAAGAGAAGAAAAGAGAGTGAAAGGCAGCAGCAATTGGCAGGCAGTATAGGGGCTGGGTTGGGGAGGAAGGTGGTTGTTGTTTGATGGGAGTTTTTAATTTTAATTTTTAATTTTAAGATATACATATTATAAGGTGCAAATGGTGAGTTTTGGTATAATACAATTATGATGACGTGGACTTATTAAATTCATTAGATCAATTTAATAGTTAACATCCCTTTAAATGCGTGTAAATGCTAAATGCAGAGACTCAGAATCCACACAATAAGTTGAAAAGAAATTGATGTCTCTATTATGAATTCTGAATTTGAAAAAACAAAAAAAACAAAAACAAAAAATTGAAAATTATATATAGTTGCATACATAACATGCGCAAATTTTCTTATATGTCCGTATTGAGCTTTTCTTATGTGAACAACTGTGAACATTGTCCCTTGTTCAGTTACATGTCCTTCTTTTTCATCATGTGTTAGTGAGTTTAGGTGAGCCCACAGCCCACCGAAATTAAGTTTGGTCAAACAGAAGACAAATTCATGCCCCCCCAATTGTTTTTATAATAAACTTTCCTCTTCCAAAAGGTTAGCTGATTTGAGTACGGATGTCAGTCTTATTCTCATTCAAAGTGTGTACGGTTGGTATTTGAACAAGTTTTTTGGACTTCCGTCCTTTTGAAATCGATGGACTTCTACTTCTAGATATCGCATGTCATCTTAACTGAAAAGTAGTTGCTTTCTACTTCTTCTGTTTTTTCTGGTTATTATAATATGTGTGTTAATACTGGTTATATCACGCGATCGTATTCTAATATCACAAATGATCTGTGAAAAATTTACAAATTAAAAATAGCCCAAATGTGCATGGGGCATTAATAAATACTAAATACAACAAATTATTGCTCATGTGACACATATTTTCTCTAAATTTTGTTTGTTATTGATTGATGAGCATTTTTCAAATAAGTTTGGTACACGTGATAACCAACGCATGCATGAGATATAATATTCTTCGTTTTCTAGAGAAACTTCAAAACGTGATTCTAATATGGTTGGCTGATCATGGACTAGCTACTCGTATTTGGGGTATACTCACCAGAAAGGCCTACCAGACTACTAAACTAGTAGGCTCTGTTATTAATCTGTTGGAACGCACGTCAACCATACCATTTGCTAGTGTTATTTTATTTTATTTTTCTACGAATGAACATTTTTTTAATATTAATGATCTCGGAAAAAGAGATAAATACTCTTAACATCTCGAGCTATATTTATTATGAGATAACGTTTTGTATTATAGAATGCTCTTTGATAGTTCTTCTGTAAACCTTTTGGTTTGACAAAACGTGCTTCTATTTACACCCAAAAGCGTACAGCTATTTACGTTGGCAATGATATAAAGAGAGTCGTGTGCTGCGTGACTAGGTCTCGTAAAGCCAGCGGCCTAACAGATTTCGGGGTTCAAGATTTTTGAATAACACATTTCATTTGACAGCTCTTGTTAATTTTCTTTGTTTTTGGTTTTGGGCCGGCAAAAACTAAAGAATACTGAAGTTAGCCAAGACCCAGCTAAGGTACGTGCAAACGAATTCTCCTCACGGATGTATGGCCCATATGACAACTAAAGGCCAACCATCCCGAGTCCGACATGTAGAATACTTGTGACCTATTTTTTATTTTTTATTTTTATACAAGCGATAATTTACTTTAAATCAATGTAATCTATGCAAAGAGAGATTAAAAAAACGAAATCATACATTGACGGATATATATATCATAAACCAACATATTTGTTTAGTTACAAAAGAAACAAGATAGAGGGGAATTCAAACTCTAGTTTTAGGTATGGAGGTAAATGCTCATTATGACCGGAGCTACAAGCCCTCCACAACAACCAACCTCTTTACCTATAAAAACAACTTGTTTTGACCTAAAATGACATCACTAGAAATAACGTTAATATTAATTAGTTTATTTTTTCCCCAAGAATCAAATACTTTTATTAAAGGCGAACACGAACATTAGCATCTCTAGTTAAGGTATTAAACAGCCAATTTGGAGGTACAAAATTCCAATAGTAACTACCACCTATCCTACACGCGAAAGTTGCAACCTCATGAGCAGCTTATCAAAATTAATATTAGTTAGTTAAATTTTATATCAAAATTAACCTTATCAAAGTTGTCATAACAAGATGATGATGAAAGTGAAATTATTAAAAATCAATCTAAAGTGATAACCATCAATTTTTCTATCAAGGTTTCTCTAAATAATAAAATAAAAACTTGGGGATAAAATAGACAGTTCTAAATTTGGGGCAGATCCTGGGTTGCCTTGTGAAGTTGCCTCTGGAGTAAAAACAGCTCAAAATGGAGGAAAAACTGGTACAAGAATAGCACATTAGTAAAACAACCACGGCGGATTGGTTGGAGCCAAGTGGCTGACTTGAACCCGCCAAGCCAAGGCCCAATAAAATACACAAAGTCAAATGATTTGACAATCAAAAAGGCAAATTGACCAATACTTGTTAATTCTCCTAATCAATTTCGTCTTTTACTCTTGTGTTTTTCGTTCTGCTGGAACAGCGGGGAGCAGAGTGACAGTGCCGTCACCATGAAGAGGAAGAAGAAGGGAAAATCGTCACAGTCGTCGAAGCCAATTACGCTTCTAACACTGAGAGCAGCCAAAAAGGAAGAAGAACCCAGTAGTCGCAGCAAAAGCCAATTGCAATTGGTCACCACCACCACACCCTTCAGACTCCCCGATGATTGGTCCGTTGAGGAAAAGCGCCGTCCCATCAGAAATACCTCCAGCCCCGGCCGAATTGACAAGGTCTCTCTCTGTTTCTCCCTGTGTCTCTCTCTAAACTTGTTCAATTGTAATTGCATGATGTGCAATGCATATGCTTTGCATGCATGGATGGCTTGCTATGTTTGTATAAATGCCTGAGTGGTTCTTTGTTGTTGGGGAGGTTTTAGCAGGGTTTTGAGTGGTATTAAAATTCTTGTGATTCTGACATGCTTTGTTTAGATTAATGGGATGTTTTGAATGGTGGGTTTGTGGGAATTTCTCATTGCAGAGTGAAAAATTTGGAAACTTATGGGTGGTAATGGTTTTGTTTTGGATTAATAAAGTGCCAAGATAGGCATTGGAATGGATTTACTGTTATAGGCTCCATTTTACTATCCATTAAGTTAATCCCATCCCAGCAAGAATTTGAAAAGGAAAAAAGAACGCAAATGATTGGAGTTTAGAGCCAATTGATCCTATCTAGATTACTTTTTTTGCATAAGAAAATCAGGGTCTTTGTTAATACCCAGTAACTGTAAATGTTTAGGGTGGGATTCTATTATTTTTATACTCTTCAATTCCTGCTGCACATGCTCTGTGATCAAGTAAAGAACTCCCGTTTCTATATATCATCTACCATTTTTTTTCTCTCTTTTCTGTTGCATATGTTTGCTGTTTTGCTGCTGGCATTGTAACTTTCAATCAGCACATCTTGATGTTATGCTTTCCATAATGGGTTTCTATATATAATTTTTCTTATTTTTGAAAGTTCACTATTAAGATTATTATGTTGTGAACTTATTCTATCAATTCTTATGGGGGATCAGATCTGAGACCTTTCATGTAATTGTGCAGTATTACATTGAGCCTGGCACAGGATTGAAGTTTCGTTCGTTGCCAGCTGTACAGAGATACCTAACAGAAGGGCAAATCGAAACACATATGAAGAAACTAAAACCAGGCAGTGAATGCAATGTGAGTTCTAGGATCTTCTTGTTTTTCAGTTAATGATAATACTTAGGATTCAAGAACTAAAAGGATTTTAAGTTCAGTTTTTTTTTCTTTCTGTTGCTATGAGGGTTACAGTGGGAAGATAAATTTAGAATAAAAAGAAAACATAAACGCAGAAGTTGTGCTTAGTTCTGTACCACTTTTATCCTCTGCACTAAATTTACCACAATTGCTTAGAATGGTCTTACAAGCCATGTACAAGTTGGGAAAAGAAACGGTGTAGATTTTATCAGGAATCTAAATTACAAAAACTGAGGCCCATCTTGGTGATCTTATCTTATACATCCAAACCCTTTCCAAGATGTTGTCAAGAATATTGTTAGAATTTGTCTACTTTTTCCATGAGAAAGTGTATAGAAGAATTATTTGGGCCCAGTTATAATATCTTGGCCTCTTGCCTCTTCTTTTTCTTTCTTCTTGTAGGTACTACACTTTTTAATACGATTTCAGAATTAAATTTGGTTATGCATATTTATTTGAACTTTAGCCATTGCTACAATTGGTGTGCACTGATTAAATGGTCCAAACTTTGATACACTCAAAAGTTAAAAAAGTTATAGTATATTGGGGATCTTTTGAATCCATAGGCAGGAAAATAATGAGGGAGCTAAATCATAAGTGGATTTCAGAAGTGTCTCTGATCACCATATAGCAGTCCAAATTGTAGAGAAAAAGCTTGGAATGCCTAATATATGAAGGGAAAATCCTCATTGACAGTGTCAATCTGCAGATGCAAATTATACCAGGCAACACCTGTACTTCGTCCTTTATACTACCTGATGATTGGGAAATTGAGAAAAAGCGACGAAAGAATTCTCGGGTTATAGACAAGGTACCTGTTTTGTTTCAAAATTTTGGTGGATTTTCTCTTCTCTGTTGTAGAAAGGGTATATCTAGCTATGCACTTGCTGAAAGTACTTGCATACTTCCTAGGGTGAAATTTCACAAATGCACGTGTGTGGCACTCATGTATCTGCACTTTGCATATGTATGTTCAGATGATATCTTTGCTATTATAAAGCCGGTCCCTCTTTGTGGTCACTGACTTCTACAAAACATATACCTTAGCTTAACATCTCTTTAACCAACAATTTAGTTAACTCACATTGACTACACAAAACGGGAGGAATGAAGTTAACAAAAGGAGTTGATATAAAGAGAAGGTTTGTGTGCTATATTCAAGATTTCTTTACCTCTTTGCCCACATTCAGCACAACCGTATTGAGGTGGCTTATAAATTGGCATTTGATAAATTTGCCTTGGTAGCCACTTTATAGCTTGCATATGTCTTCCCTTCACATGAATTCAAAATGCAGCATTGTGCTGAACAGTTCTTTCACCTTCTGTGAAATATTTTTAAGAGTTGCTTCTAGAACATTATTTCTTCTATTCTATTTTGATCGCTGGACATATTTTTTGCAGACTTATATTGAGCCAGGGACTGGACAGCGGTTTCGTTCTTTAAGAGCTGTTGAGAGATACCTAACAGAAGGAAATGAAAATACTCCACTTAAGGTATTGATGTCTGCCAATGAGTCTAGTGTATGTTCTTTTACAATTACTGATTAAACAAAAGTTCATTTGCTCCTCCATGATCCTTGACCTTGTCCGGTTTTGCTTGTGTTTCAGCTTTCGCTTTGCTCTGGCGATCAGAATATAAAAAGTTTGCCTGAGGTCCAGTCCCAGAAAGTTGTTTCTACACCTCTGGATATAAATATTTCTGGCGAAAGCGATAGACCATCCAAGCTCAATTTAGGCAGACCACCAGTAAAAGTGAATTGGGTCCTCGCAGGTCGTGGAGGAAACATGTGGAACCCCTTCATGGACGATTCTGAGGTCTCCGGTTGTGTAAAGCAAAAGTGGTTCGAGACTTTTAAATCATCCATGTATGGTGGAGACATTAGTGCACCAAGTCATAAGTTATAACTGTTTAGCCAGACTGGAACTTCTGTAATCAACTGTTTTATTCGTTTACTTTAGATGCTAGCCCACCCAAAGTTTTACCAGATCCTTAACATTTTAGCGATAAGATGTATATATGGATGTGTTTTCATAAAAGGAGCAGTTTGTAACACCAGAGAACACAATATTACTCATTTTGCATTTAACGACCAGCAGCTGATGTCTTGAGATGGAAATGTATGATATCTAAAAATTAAAGCTAGATTGAGCTTCTGGTGAGGCAGATTTATTCACTTGACATATAGAAATTTTAAGTATTACCACATCAAATGGTAGTACTCGTGACCAGCAAAAGTGAGATTTACTTTTTAATTTGGACTCATATATTAGGTATAATAGTGAATCTCCCTTAAATAAAAGCTTTTAATTACTTGAACTATAAACCCGATACATAGCCGAAATAATATGAAAATGATTCGTACGGACATGAGCCATCAAAATTTCCAACTTATGACCTGCAATTTCTGTATTAAGCAAAGCCAAGTCAAGCCAAGTGGCTGATTTGAACTGTAAGGGAAATGCATTTGTCATTCCCATTTGAGTTCATATCATAAAATTTGTAATTCCAACTTCCAACTAGAAAGCACTTTGTAAACCTGATTTCTTTTTCCTTTTTTCTTTCTTTTCCTGGGTTCTGCTACAATAGTGGGGAACACTGGTCAGTCTGTGATTTGATGTGTCCGAGGCAGAGTGAGTAGCTTTGCAAAGGGGAGGTTCTTCTTCTTGTGAGTCTTAAAACCAGGCCCCAAACAAACAAACACCTTTGCTAGAGTCACCGACAGTAGGGTGACAATGAAGAAGAGCAGATGGTCACAGTCCAACCCAATTCCGCTTCCAACAAAAAGGCCAGCCGGAGAAGAAGAAGAAGAAGAAGAACCTAGTCGTCACAGCAAAAGGGAACTGCAATTGGTCACCACCTCACCCTTCAGACTCGCCGATGGTTGGTACGTTGAGGAAAAGCGCCGTCCCCTTAGCAATACTTCGCACCCCGGAAAAATAGACAGGGTCTCTCTCTCTCTCTCTCTCTCTCTCTCTCTAAACTTGTTCAAAATGTAATGCTTTGCATGCATGGATATTTTGCTTGGTGGATGTATGTAGTTTGCTATGTTTGGCTTGATGCCTTGGTGGGTCTTTTTCGTTGGGGGTTTAGCAGGGTTTTTGACTGGTATCAAGATTCATATGGCATTCTTTGCAAAGAGTCTGAGATTTTATTTAAAATTATGGGTTTGTGGGAATTTCACATTTTGTAGGCTGTACTTGAATTGAATATCAGTAAAATTTACCCCTGAAAGAATTTTTAAAAGAAAAAGTGGAGGAAAGTGATTGGAGTTTAGTTCCCTGGCTGGCTCTATTAAGGGACAGTTGACCATATCAAGATTTCATATTTTTGCATAAGAAAGTTTGGGTCTTTGGTAAAACCCAGTAAATCTTTAGGGTGAGGATCTATTATTTTTAATACATTTCTTAATTCATGTTGCACATGCTCTATAAGATAATCTGGGTCTTCATGAAACCCAATAAGCATCTGGTAGGGTCTACCATTAATTAATAGTGCCTTTTTCTCTTCTTCTATTTAGTTTCTTTTCTATCACATGTTCTCTGTTTTTGCTGCTGGCACTGTAAACTTTCAATTCGTACATCTTGATGATCTTATAGGATAACACCTACTTTTTAGTATGAAATCAAACTTTCCATTGGAACATATTTGATGCTATGCTTCCCAGAATGGATTTTTAGGCCACCCAGCCATCTTGAGCCCTTTCATGTCATTGGGCAGTATTACATTGAGCCTGGCACGGGACTGAAGTTTCGTTCGCTGTCAGCTGTACAGAGATACCTCACAGAAGGGAAAATCGAAACACGTACCAAGAATTCAGAACCAGGCAATGAATGGAATGTGAGTTCTTCGATCTACTTGTTTTTCAGCTAATGATAATACTTAGAACTCAGTAACTAAAATGATTTTACGTTTGGTTTTTTCCTTTTGTTGCTATGAGTGTTACACTGGGAAGATAATTTAGAAAAGAAGAAACACAAACCCAGAAGTTGTGCTTAGTTATGCACCACTTTTATCCTCTGCACTAAATTTACCATAATCACTATAGCATGGTCTTACAAGCCATGGACAAGTTGGGAAAGGAAGTGAAGACTTTATCAAGAATCTAAATCACAAAAACTTAGGCCTATCTTGGGGGATATATCATATTAGAGGATGCATCCATACCCTTTCCAAGATATTTTCAACAATATTTTCATTTGTCTTCTTTTTCCATGGGAAATTTATTGAAGGGATTATTTGGGCTGAATTATAATGTCTTGGACTCTTGTCACATGGTTTGGTAGGGGTTCCACTAGATTAAGGTACTATACTTCTCAATATGATTCCAGAATTAAACTCAATTATGCATGTCTATTTGAATTTTTCCAACTGCTACAATTCGTGTGCACAGATTAAAGGGAACTTTGATATATTTAAAAACTTAGTTATAATCCAGTTGGGCCCTTTTGAATCCATAGGTAGGGAAAGGTAACCATGTGGAAGGAGCTAAATCATAAATAGATTTTAGAAGTATCTCTGATCATGGTATAGCAGACGAAATTGAAGGAAAAAAAAGGCTTGCAATGCCTGAAATATGAAGAGAAAATCCTCATTGACAATGCCAATCTGCAGAAGCAAATTACACCACGCACCACCTGGAGCACTTCATCCTTTAGACTACCTGATGGCTGGGAAGTTGAGGAAAAGCAACGAAACAATTCTTGTATCATAGACAAGGTACCTGTTTTGTTTTAAAAAATTTACATATCTAGCATGCACTTGCTGAAAATACTTGCATTCTCAACACAGGGTGAAATTGCACAGATGCACATTCTGAGTGTGCATGCATATGCACTTTACATATACATGTACAGATGTTATATTTACTGTTATAAAGATGATCCCTCTATGTAGTCACCGACTTCACCAAAATGTCTGTATTACCTTAACATGCTCTAAATTATAGTTAACCCACATCAACTATACAAAAGGGTTGTTATTTGTATATTAGTCAAAAATTTCAAAAGAAGAGAATTTGTAGAGAACTTGAGGAAAGAAGTTGACAAAGGATTTGAGGGAAAGGGAAAGTTGGGAAAATTTTGGTGTATGTGCTCGTTTTCTTTATATGGAGTGTGTAGTGAGAAGTACTGTATTCAAGATTTCTTTATTTCCTCTTTTTTAAGAATGAGCATGAACATATTGAGGTGGGATTACAATTGGCATTTGATAAATTTGTCTTAGCAGCAACTTTATGTGCTTATGCCTTCCTTTAAAGAACATTCGAAGGCAACATTGTGCTGAACAGTTCTTATCGTTTTGTGAAATGTATTTTAGACAATCCATTGTTCTGAAAGAGAACATTATGATGTTGGTTCTAGCATACCTTTCTATTTTTGATTGCTGGACATGAGGAACCTGTGTTTTTATAGAACTTGAAAGTCAGTTGCATTTGCTTGTCCATTGTTTAGCACACTGCACTCCAGAAACATGAGATTTTTTATTTTTTGCAGACCTATATTGAGCCAGGGACTGGACAGCGGTTCCGATCTTTAATATCTGTTGAGAGATACCTAACAGGAGCAAATGAAGATACACCTCTCAAGGCATTGATACCTGCCAATAAGTCTGGTGTATGTTCTTTTACAATTACTGATTAAACAAAGGTTTCTTTGCTCCTCCATGATCCTTGGCCTTGTCCAATTGTGCTTGTGTTTCAGCTTTCAACTGGCTCAGGCCGTCAGAAGATGAAAAGTTTGGGTGAGATACAGTCCCAGAAAGTTGTCTCTAGTTCTCTGACGAGAAATATTTCTGGTGCAAACGATAGACCCTCCAAGCTCAATTTCGGCAGACCACCAGCAAAAGTGAAATGGGTCCTCGGAGGTCCTGGGGGGTGTATGTGGAACCCCTTCATGGACGAATCAAAGGTCCCTGATTCTGTATTACAAAAGTGGTCCGAAACTTTCGTTTCATCCGTCTATGGTGGTAACATTGGTGCACCAAGGTCTTAAGTTATAACTGTTCTGCCAAAGTGAAACTTCTGTAATCTATGCTGTTTGTTTACTTCTTTAGTTTAGATGCAAGCCCACCCAAAGTTTTGCCAGATACTTTTCGTCTTAGATATTAGTAGGTAGATGTAACTGTAAGTCTGTGATGAGGAGGTGGAGATATGCATATGCAGATGTGTTCTTATTCTTAGAGCATAAAGGGGCAGTTTGTACCTTCGCAGTAACATTTTTGGTGATGGATGCAATTTGTTTTGGGTGGACGGAATGCAAAGAACCTGTTTTAGCCCAAGTGAAATGAACTTCATGGATCCACTGAAATGAAATCATTGAACCCAATAGTCAATTTACAGGGGAAAATTATTTGATGTTTAAATCTGCAGTAAATTTGGAAAGTAAATTTTGTGTATCATTAGTGATCTTATGTAAACTTGTCAAAAGAGTAAATCCTGTTTGGTGTAAGGAAGGCCTTGTAATGAATATTGCGCAATTGCTTAAAAATGATTGGCTCAGTGGCTCACTCCATCCTCATGATTCTTTCACAAATCTTTATCTCATCATTCTTTCATGTATTCTTATTATTTTTTGAGCTCATAAACTGGCACATTTTTTTATTTATTTATTGAATTGTTCAAGATCATCAAGTATCCGTGTAAATGGAACTAGTAGCGAATTCAAATTTTGAAATCACTTTTTTTTTTTGGTTGCATGAACATAAATTGTGTTAAAATGTTACTCTCTCTTATACCATATATCTCATACATAAGTTAGCATCAATTCAATTCTCTGTTTCAGAGATAGAAGAGATAGGGGAAATTATAATTTTAACACATCGGTTCCAAACTTGTGTACTTTTTGCTAAAGCTCTAGATTTGTCGACATTGGGTGTAGACTCGAGAGCAGAGTTGAAGAATAGATCATGACAAATTTTGCCTACAGACACAAGCTCATAGCAACAACCATCTGCTACGCTCCCACCTTTGAAAATAGTTTCACCAACTTCCTGAGCACACTTAATGGATATCTGTTTTTTACATTCATCCATTGTTTTTGATTTTGAAGCCCTTGAGGTTGGAATTGGGATAGAAGATGTGCGGGAGACCGCAATTCCAACACATATGTTCCAAAGTTGTGCACTCTTTGCCAAAGCTTCAGATTTGTCTGCATTGGATTTAAACGCAAGAGCGGAGTTGAAGAATAGATCATGATAAGTTTTGCCTACAGACACAAGCTCATTGCAACAATCACCTGTTACACTCCCACCTTCAAAAATACTTCCACCAACTTCCCAAGCGCAATCAATGGAGATATGTGATGCCTCTGAGGTTGAAATTCCGAAACTTACCAAAATCATTCTAGAGGGACTCACCAAAAGCAAAATGACCAACAATGGATACATATTTAGTGCAGCCACAATACTTTGTGGTACTGCCGAATTAGTTTTTATTTTCTTTGGAAATGGAAAGAACTCTTGGATGAGTTGCGTTTTAAGTATTTGTTTATTTATAAGGTTTCTTGCAAAGGTATGAGTGACATGGAATATGAAAACACCCTAGTACCTCATAAATACATAACCGATTTAATTCATCTCGATATTAAAGGCGAGAGTTTCTTCAACTTGGTTACATTGCAATACATAATAAACCCATAATCTAATTGAATCTATTACTTATACAACATTAATATAGTCCAACGGTTATACGCATGATAAAGACGTTTGTTGTTGTGAACAACGTTTGGTAGAACGACTGGAGGCCCTATTTAATTAAGTGGTCGTTTAATGATTTCAATATAATAATAAAATACATTGATATAAATTACTTGGTATGGTGAATGGTGAATGGTGAATGGTGAATGGTGAATGGTGAATGGTGATGCTTAATTATCTTAACTAATTCTTGGTATATTAAGATAAGTAATGTTAAATAGTACAACAACCAACATATTTCTTTGGTTGCAAGACCGATGAGCATGGGCCTAAGAAATCCCTGGATGAAGAGCACAACAATCAGCCACTAACTACCAACAAATGAACCCATAAATTTGCAAATTCATATGCTAAGTTAACACCAACCAAACCATCCAAGAGCTTAATAAAGAAGTCGATAAAGTGGTCTCACAATAAGATGAAAGTTCTCTTTCGATGGTCTCAAATTTTCCAACAAACAATTTCTCCAGCAAATCAGTGAAAATAACAATTTCTCTAACACTTTTTTTAGTGACAAAAATAAATCATAATTTTTTTTTGGCAGCGTGTCAAACTGTGGCTCGAAATCAACGCCAGGTGGCTGGTTTAACTGTAAAAGGAGCTGCATTGTCAGTGTCACTCTCACTCCCATTGTCATCGACTCATTGCGCTTAAATCATGAACTTGAACCAGACCCCAAAAGAAGCATCTTTGCTTGAGTGACAGTGCCGTGACCATGAGGATGCGCAAATCGTCACAGTCGAAGCCAATTCCGCTTCTGACAATGAGGCCAGCCGAAGATGAAGAAGAAGAAGAAGAAGAAGAAGAAGAAGAAGAAGAACCCAGTAGTAGCAGCAAAAGGAAATTGCAAATGGTCACCACCTCACCCTTCAAACTCCCTGATGGTTGGTCCGTTGAAGAAAAGCGCCGTCCCCTTAGCAACAGTTACAACCCCGGCCAAATCGACAGGGTCTCTTTCTCTCTTTCACTCTCTAAACTTGTTCAAAGTGTAAATGCATGTACAATGTATATGCTTAAATGCTTTGCATGTGCATGGATGCTTTGATTTCTGGATGTGTGTCGTGTGCTATATGTTTGTATAAATGCCTGAGTTCTTTGTTGTTGGGTTTTTAGCAGGGTTTTGACTGACTGGTATTAAAATTCATGTGATCACTAGATTCTGGGATGTTTTTAATATTCCCTTTGGGGGCCTTTATCATTGCAGGGTAAAAAATTGGGCAACTTGAAGGTGGTTGATTGATTTGGATTAAATGGGATAGATTTACTATTACATGGCTCTGTTTGAATATCTGTAAAATGATTTCCCAGAAAGAATTTAAAAGGATATGGTTGACTTTAGGTTCACTACTAGCTGGCTCCATTTCGAGCCAATTGATCCTGTCAAGATTACTCATTTTCGCATGAGAAAATCTATGTTTTTCTTAAAACCCAATAAAATATTTAGGGTAAGGATCCACTATTTATAATAATAGTTTAAATCCTGTTGCACATGCTCTCTGATCCAGTAAAGGCTCCTCCTTTCTATAAGATATCTGGGTTGAGACCCAAGACACATCAGTTCTACCATCAAATAATGTTCTTTTCTCTGTGTTTTGTTTTTTCCCTTTACTGCCAATCCCATCGAGATAGCGTAATGCTTGAGCAATATTGATGTTTTATGCTACATATCCTACATTGGGTTTTTAGGCCACTCAGAACGATACCATACAGCCATCTTGCACTAATATCCAAATGGATGTTATAAGTTTTTTGAAATGAAACTCTGTGTTATCTACTAGTCTAGAATGATTATGATAATCAAGAATGAGAATGCAGTTTTAGAATTTCCATTCTCCAACATGTGAATTATACAAATCTGCCTCCCCCACAGTATTTAACTTTGTTGTGTATACTATTTCATATTATGAATTCAAAACTGAGTTTATTATGTTTTGAAGTTATTGTATTAGATCTTATGGGATCAGGTCTGAGACCTTTCATCTAACCTTGCAGTATTACTATGCGCCTGACACTGGACTGAAGTTTCGTTCGCTGGCAGCTGTTCAGAGATACCTAACAGAAGGGAAAATCGATACACGTACTATAAGATCCAAACCAGCCAGTGAATGCATTGTGAGTTCTGGGATCTACTTACTTTTTCAGTTATGAAAATATTTAGAATTCCTGTTAAAAATGATAATATTTAGAACTCACTCGCTAAAAGGATTTGAAGTTGGTTTTTGTGTTGCTATAAGGGTTACAGTGGGAAGATAAATTTACACAAGTAAACAGAAATATAAACCCAGAAGTTATGCTTACTTCTAAATCAAAAAATTGAGGCCAATCTTGGTGATCTTACTGGATACAGGCAAACCCCTCTTTCAAGATATTGTCAAGAATATTGTTAGCTTTTGTTTCTTTTTCTGTGAGAGAATAAATAGAAGAATGGTTTGGGCCCAAGCATAATGTCTTTGACTCTTGCTACATGGTTAGAGGGTTCACCAGATTAAGGTACCATATTTTTCAGTGTGATTTTCTTTCTTCTTTTAAGTTACTGTACTTTTCAATATGATTCCAGAGGTAAATTTGATTATGCGTTTGTATTTGAATTTTAGCCATTGTTACAATTGGTGTGCACAGATTAAATGGACAATAATTTGATGTACTTAAAAACTTAATAAAACTATAATCTTGTGGGGCCCTTTTGAATCCATAGGCAGGCAAAGGTAACCATGAGGAGGGAGTTAAATCATAAATGGATGTTAGAGGTATGTCTGGTGACCGTATGGCAATGCCTAAAGTATGAAGTGAAAAATCCTAATTGACAATGTCAATCTGCAGATACAAAATACGCCGAGCACCAACAGGAACACTTCATCCTTTTTACTACCTGATGATTGGGAGATAGAGGAAAAGCGACGTTACAATTCTGCTACCGTAGACAAGGTACCTGTTTTGTTTTAAAATATTGGTGGTTTTTCTCTTAAGTTATACGTCGTAGAAAGGGTATATCTAGCTTGTACCTGCTGAAAATACTTGCAGTCCGCAACACAGGGTGAAATTGCATAGATGCACGTTTCTGGGTGTGCATGCATATGCACTTTGCATACACATCTACAGTCTACAGATATGTCTTTACAATTGCAAAGCTGATCCCTCTTTAGGGTCACTGACTTCACCCAAAAAATATGTATTACCTCAACATCCTTTAAATTTATAATTTAGTTTACTTATATTAACTATAGAAATTATTATTATTGAATTTTAATCGAAAGTGTCAAAAGGAGAGATTGGATGGAACACGAGGAAAGAAGTTGGCAAAAGGATTTGAGAGAAGGAGAAGGAAAATTACGGCATGAGTGCTGGTTTTGTTTATATAGAGCCTACAGTGAGATGTGCTTTATTCAAGATTTGTTTCTACTTTCTACAGAATGAGCTTGACCGTATTGAGGTGGCATAACAATTGGCATTTGATATAGTTTGCCCTGGTAGCCATTTAAATGCTTGTGTATGCCTTCCTTCAAATGCAACATTTGTGCTGAACAGTTCTTATCGGGCTATCCATTTGTTCTGAAAGAGAACATTATGATGTTGGTTCTAGAATACGTTTCTATTTTTTATCGCCGGACATGAGTTAACGTGTGTTTTAATAGAACCTCAAAATCAGTTGCATTGCTTTGTCATTGGGTATCACACTGCACCCCAGAAACATGAGAACGTTTATTTTTATTTTTATTTGTGCAGACTTATATTGAGCCAGCGACTGGACAACGGTTCCGTTCTTTAAGAGCTGTTGAGAGATACCTAACAGGAGCAAATGAATATACTTCACTCAAGCCATTGGTACCTACCAATAAGTCTAGCGTATGCTCTTTTACAATTACTGATTAAACAAAAGTTTGCTTCTCTATCCATGATCCTTGACCTTGTTCAGTTTCGCTTGTGTTTCAGCTTTCCCCTGGCTCAGGCCGTCAAAAGATGAAAAGTTTGGGTGAGATCCAGTACCAGAAGGTTGTTTCTAGTTCTGCGAAGATACATATTTCTTGTGAGAATGATAGACCCTCCATCCTCAATTTCAGCATCCCACCAGCAAAAGTGAATTGGGTCCTCGGAGGTACCGGGGGGAGTATGTGGAACCCCTTCATGGAAGATTCAAAGGTCCCTGATTCTGTAAAGCAAAAGTGGTCCGAAACTTTTGTATCAGCCATTTATGGCGGAAACATTAGTGCTCCAAGCTTTTAAGTTATAACTGTTCTGCAGAGTGGAACTTGTGTAATCTATACTGTTTGTGTCTATTTACTTTAGATGCTAGCCCATCCAAAGTTGTGCCAGATCCTTAACTTTTTAGAGATTAATAGATGTATGAATGTTAGACGGAACTGTGAGGAGGAGGTGGTGATATGCATATACAAATCAGTTGTTGGAGCATAAAAAAACAGTGTACATTTGAAGTACCATTTTGGTGATGAATGCAAAATGTTTTGGGTGGACTGAATGCAAAAAATTGTTAATGATGAGGAAACTTGGTTCAAAAAATTTCAATGATCCCAAACTCAGTTTGAATTTAATGACTAGCATCTGATGGGAAAATGCATGGTGTTTAAAGCTGGATTGAGCTTCTGGTGAAGTAGATTCGAGTTGAGGATCTTTCAAGTACAAAACTGTCTTGCTAGGCTGATTGCAGTTTCAGGCACTTCTCTCAACCCTTTTAATTGTCATATAGTTCATGTGACAACCAACAAATGTTGAGCAAAAAAAGAAGCGAACCATAAGACAATAACGCATCATTCCACCAAGCTGATATGACACAAAACGACGCCGTCCAAACAATAAAACAATTTAGACCATATTATCAGATCGCACTTCTCAAGTAGAACTCACTTGTATTCGTAAGTTCCTCCTGCATTAGTAATACTAATATGGTCTGTAATTATGGAACAATTACATTCTTCGCTTGAGCAACTTATGTTTTTTGTAATACAATATCACATTTCTCTCGGAGGCTCACCTGCTAACTAAACAGCCTAAAAGTCAAAACTAAAACACAAAGAAAATCTGACTTCAGCTCTATATAATTTTCAGTAAGAAATCATTTGTAAAAGAACTTTTACTACAGAAAATCATGAATACCTAAAACACTTACTAGAAATGGAAAATAATCAAGGTGGCATTGGCATCCTTCCAGATAAGTAGAGAGACAGCTTATCTCTCAGATGAACACCATTTACGTCGACAGTTCCACAAATCTGTTGGTGGTAAGCTGAGTCATGCTTGTGAGACAAAGGCATTTCATCTTGCACCTCATCTTCCATATCGATAACAATGTTATGAAGCAAGCAGCAAACAAGAATGATCCTTGGCAATCTATGTTTGTCTGGTCTCCACATCACTCCTTGAATGATCCTCCACTTGTCCTTCAACATTGCCAATGCTCTATGTGCAACCATCCGGGTAGCATAATGCCTCTTATTGAACTCAGCTTTTGGCTCTGGAAGTTCTTTTCCTTCATAGGGGGTTACAAGATAGGGCAGTAAAGGAAAGCCCAAATCCCCAATTATGTACTCACGTATATCCAATCCTTTGGAGAGGTCTAATATTTTCCCATTCAACCTCTCACCTCTATCACAGAGTTCATAAAAATTTGAACTCTGAAAGACTGTCCAGTCCTTCATCTTTCCTGGCCATCCAGTTACTATGTCCCGAAACCTCATGTCAGGGTCCACAATGGCTTGTAAGACCATGCTGTGATTCTTCTCTTGATCGAGCCACGCATCACTTGTGGGGTCCGAAGCAGGCAAACACATCATGATGTGGGTAGTATCAACAACACCAGAACAATTAGGAAAGCCTCGTATTTTCTGAAATTTGGATTTGATTTCTGACATTTCTGTTTCAGTGGAGGGCCATTGCAGGTGGTGAAGTCCTCTTTCTTCCATGGCTTCCACAAAACGCCAGGTCACTTGAGACACAGTTGAGTGGTTCACCCCAAATGCATCGCCAATTGTCACTAGTGACTCACCAGAGCTCAGTCTTCTTAAAGCTACAGCTACTTGATCGTACAAACACAAGGGCTTACCATTTGTAAACACAAAATGTGCAGATTTAGCCAGCATATCTTCATTCACAAGTGAACATATGTAGTCAAAGGTTTTCCTAGAAACCTTAAAAACAGATTCAAACTTGTCTAAACCCTTTGCTGGAGACTGAAGACCTGCAGACAAGAAGGGAGAGATAAGAGGAATTTTACTATTGGGAATGTGGAGCATTTAGATTTTACTTTGAATCTCGACAGCATAACTTACATAAAAATAATTCCAACATGACTCATGCAAAGTATGGTTGACACTATGAGTTACAGATATATATAATTAACACACACACACACACATACACACACACACACATATATATATATATTGTGTATGACATGATATAATTGTTCAACTGAATCAAAACATGAAATTAATTTGTTCACATTTCTCAGCAACAATTTTTGCTATAATAATAACAATCTGGTTGATCACGTGCTTATAAAAAGAGTCACTCATAAGTTTGATCACTACTCTACAAACCAAAATTATCATGGTGAACTGCTGAAGTCAATACAAATGCAAGCACAACCTGGTCTCTACCTACATCAAGGAAGTTTAGATAGTACATACCACACTTCTGATGAATTGATTTTTAGTTAAGGATGATGCCTATTCATGAAGTAAAAAACTTTTATAAATGATCAAGAAAATGTTAGCTTCTGTCTACATTTATTTGATTTTATCACTTTCCCTGTGTGTGTGACTATGTTCATCCAATCAAATATACTTTCCAAATTCATCTGCCTTATATACCATTATGTCTGTTGAACTTGGCATATAGAGTGCATACTTCAAGGTCTTAAAATACTATTCTTACCCAGCAGAAGTCACTTTTTTTTTTTTTTGGGGGGTTATGTCTCATGTTCAACCTTAACTTTCAATGATGCCCTTAAACATTTTGTAGACTTTCTAGTTAGCAAAATTGAGAAAAGACAACGTAACTGGACTGGACCATTAAAACAGAAATCATTACTCTTGTGAAGCCTATCAAAAGGACTTGAGGGATTATTACAGCTTATTGAAAAACAAGAGGCATGGAAATTAGGTGAAAGCATACGTGGGAATTTAGAATGGTGAGCTATGATGGTTCTTGTTGTGTGCTTGTTTACACATAAAACACAGAGAGCTGGCAGGATAACATACTCTAGATCAGAATGAGGTTCCTGACATATATGAGATTAATATAGTTTAACCATGTAGGCTATATGAAACTATATATTGGCAAACTCAAAGCATACTGAGAATAGTTGCTTCAAGTTGAGTACTTCTATGCGCAATGAAATTACCAACAGTTGTTGAGATAAGATAAGAAGGAACACACAAATGTGTTTATAATATAGTATATACAAAAATTAACAAAGCAGTTTTTTCACAGTAACAAACTTCAAATGCTTCCCTGCTTGAGGGGAAAAAAAAAAAGAATCTTATGAATTCCACTCAAAAAGTCTGCCCCACAACTGCATATAAAATCAAATAAGACCTCAAAGTATTCTTTTTGTTTCTTCTATTGAATTCCTTATATCATACCCTCTAAATAATGGAGAAACTTCCAAACATTTTATACCTAAGTCTCTCTACATCCAGCTCCACCATTCAGTGGCAGAAATGCTTATCAATTCCAATATCATGTAAGGCTCAAACTAAATTTAAACTATTAAAAGAACTATTTGGTCATTTATGTGATACTTGGACAGTAGAAGCGAAGAAACAAAAATACAAAAAGACATCTATATGTAAAGATATTTGTGTATAAGTCTTCCACATCTGGTAAGTAGTAGCAGACTCCACTTACCTCAATTTTGGATTACAGATGTGATCTTCAAGCAATGCTAGTAAGTTTGTTCAAAGGTAAAGTAACAAAAGACAAAATTTGAAAAAAAAGGACTCGCGTCTTCACAAAATTCAGCTGTTATACCAAGATGAGTTAGATACTACTGACTTCTTGATTGTCTAAGTTATTACATATCCTGTTAAATATAAGGTTCACAAAAGCTGCAGGCATTGTCCAAGGACCTAAATACTGTTATTAACTTATTATCTTAGATTCTTTACATGCCTGTCAATGTTATGTATAGTATAATCTTATCCTTTCCAATATTCAAGAAGGCCGTAAAACCAGAATGGTAGGTAAAGGAACAGCTTTAAAATCAGATTAGGGATCTTCCTCGAATTTGAATAAATACATTGCAATATATCAACACACAAGTTAAATGAGAAATAAAACATAAACCCAATTTGAATTAGACAAAATCAATTTGAAGCATCAACCAGAAGTTCATCAAACATGAAAAGAACATACATACGCAACATAATATCACACTGGTCAACAAAAGCTGTATATAAAGCAGCATATCATAAAGCAAATAGACAAACGCATAGGAACAACTACAGTAAAGCAATCAAAATATCAAGTAAAATAATACCATTGATTCTCTTGGAGAATTCATCCCACCAATCCACAGGACCTTCCTTCTCTGATGACCCAGAACCAGAAGCATTTTCTTCAGGCTTCTTATCTGCCTTCTTTCTCTTTCTGACCCCCCTCACAGGACCCATCAGCGCACAAACACTAAATCGAATCAAAACCCAGAAACCCACCAGCTTCAAACAACAACAAGAAGCATATAAAGCCTGCTAGAATTCACAGAAAAAATCAATACCCATTTGCCATGATACATATATGTGTTCACCAACAAACAAAGAGAGGCAGAGAGATCAACAGAGAATGAGGAATATCAGCAACTAGTCTATGACATGCAAAAGCAAAAGAGTTTGTAAATAGTTATAGCTAGTTGCAGCGTGTTAATGGCTGTGTGAAAGTTTTTGAAACGTCCAAGAAAATAGAGAGCTTGATGTAATAAGTAGAAGAAACAAACACAGAAGCTGTGTAGGAAGTGATAGAGAATCCAGGCTACACATGTGGGTTGGTGTTTGTTTAAGACAATGTGGCAGAACAAGTGAAAGACATGGACATTGCTACTTTGGCTACAATATCTACCAGTACACACAGAGAATTCAGAGAGAGAAGAGAGAAGAGAGAGAGAAGAGAGAGAGAGAGATGTGTACTTTAGAGAGGTTTTGCTTAAATTGCCTCGAGTCTTCCCTCAAATTTAACAAAAACCAGAAAGCAATTTTCTCATGCTTTTCGATTTATATATGTCGGATGAACAAATTGAGGGTCAAGTTACAACGTGAAATGACATATATGCCATTAACTCCTAATATTGGCCAATTCCTATAATGGAAAAGGATTGTAATTTCTGTTATACATGGCAACATGGAAAGGTGGATATTTTATACCCTTCACCACTATGCTTTTTTTCTTTCTTTTTTTTTATTTTCCCCTTCTTTAATAAGAAAAGAAACCTCCAAACTATCAATCTTTTTTTTACACTGCCACTAGATATTTAAGAGAAGCTTATTCTTTTATCGTTATTTAGGGGAGTGCAAAATTTGATATTAATTATTTGCGTTTTCCAATTATGCTAACACTTGTACTCTCCTTTATTAATGCACTTAAAACTTAAAATACTCATCGTAATTTCGTATTATTTGTCACTAGTTTGTTTTTGTTTTTTTGTTTTTAATTCAAGTGGTGTGTAATTTAAGTAGTTGAGAGCATGTTTATGTATCAGTAATGGGTATGGAAAGAAAGGGAATGATTTCCATACTTGACTTCCCCCCGCCTTTACTTGCAATTAGAAATGAAAAAATTACATGAGCCCTATCTCAAAATCCGTAATTACATTCCCTCAAAATTAGAAATTAGATCAAGTAGGGAGAGTAGTTGATCCGATTTCCATTCCTATTTTTTCTTACTATCTTCCAAAATTACCCTTACCACTTTACAATAATTCCAAAACACCCCAAAGTCTTAAAAAATCAATGACTATTTATTAATCACCATTGGAAAAAGCAATTTTTTTCCCTTTTCACCTTGGTTGCTAGCCTCTGCTTATCTTCTTATACTTTTTATTACTATGCCATTTTTTTTTACTATTATATTCCTTATATTATTATATACTAGTTTTTCATCACTCATGGTATCTTATATAACTAATAAAGTAAAATTTTGTTAATTTTCTTTTTTATAAGTTATTTAGATGAAAAATATATATGTGTATGTGCATGGCATTTTAGTAATCAAATTAGTTTAGATTTTGATACATGAGAATTAATAAACAATAACAATAATATTCAACACCATTCATGTGATGATTCCATATGTTTAGTAAACAACTTAATTAGAATGATTCTTTCAATACCGATTCATTACTTCCTCCATTCTTGATAAGTAAACGGCCTTGAAAGTGTCTACTCATGCATATGAAGTGTTATGTTGGAATCCCCCCTCTTCAAGTAACGTTTGTATATCAAAAACCGCATTAACCATGGAGCTTCAATTACATTCATGTTCTCAGCGCATGTATGTATGTGCATAAATCAGATATTCGTATTTGCTCCATTAATGCCCAACTGCAACACACTCGCGAATAACACTCTTCTTTGTCTAATGTATATGAAATTAATTGGTAACTGCATTAACACGAATTCGTGCCTACAAATAGAGAAAATAAATAAAGCCCTACGAAAAACAAATCAGCAAAATCGGTGCTTATTATGGGGTTTGTACTCATATTTATTACTTGTGTAAAGTCTTAAAATATTATTAAAGTAGTTATTATGAATGGAATCCTAAACCTAAAGGTAAACCACGTGCTACGTGAAGGATGGTCAATTCAAAAACGAGGAAAGGAACGCGCTTGTATGGCTTTTTGTCCCAATGATCTCTTGGTTGGTTGTAAACCATCTTTTACTTTTGAAAATATAAATTACTAGTCCGGTCCATCCCAATTTGAATTATGTTCGGATTCAATCCTTTCTAATAGCATCTCTAGGGGAGTGCACAAGGGAGTAAGCGAGTCTTGTTTGTCTTGCGACATAAGGATTTTCCTCCTCCAACATAATACGCATTCAAGCAGGAAAATTTATTTTTTTTTTTTTGTTTTATAAAATAATGTTGCATACTACAAAAACAATACGTATATTGGGATCCCACCTATTTAACAAGGATAAAAGTAAATAATACATTCATCGTTGATACAATTGCATTCTCTCGTCTATTGAAGCAGTCAATTTTTTTTATGAAACAAATGATTAGGCAACATACCACTTAAGTTGTTGAACTACAAATTTGTCAACTTTATTGGCACGCTCCCTCCCTTAAAGATGCTCTAAAATTTGTGTTGATTACCGCGTTTTTTCTCTATGAAAACATGAATGAATGCTTTGTTCAAACGTTTACTTACATTGAGCTTTATTGGATAGTGCGTGTCGTTTTGCTGCAGCAGATGAAGCCTATGCATCATTACATTTGTGCCTATCTACTACCCTTTATGGAGCAGTTAAGCTTATCAACAGAGTAGATGATCGAATGGAAAAGCCCAATTTGTTGGAGTAGATGGATAATTGTGGAAGGCAAAAAAATTAAAAATAAGAAACCAGTGAAAGATATTAGGGCAGTGATTGTTTTGAAGAAGCCTGGAAGCAAACTTTATTTTTACTTGCATGGCTTTATATCTATCAAATTTTTAGTTTTTGGTGGTGGAAAAACCCAGAAAGGGCCTTTGGTTTGTGGTGATATATACAAGCGAAAATGCTGTAATGAGGGGTTCAATTTCACTATTCAATAAGAAAGAGAAAATATTGAACTTAAATTTTTTTAATGATCCTCTGATGATTTTCGACCCCAAAAAAAGAAAGATTAGATGGTGGGATTGAACCCTTCATTCAACCCCCTCACCCAAATCCCCCTCATTGTAATGGACTGATCATGGACTTTGAACTTGGGTTAAACAAAATAAAGCCGCCCAGGCCATAAATGGGCATGGACTTGCTTGGGTTTCTTGGATTGTAATCCATGATCAAATATTTCATCTGAGAGAGACTTAACATAATTCTCATTTACATGGACCCTGATTCAAAATTAATTGCTTGTAGTCTTTTGCAACACAACTGGCCCAAGCTTCGGCCCACATCATCTGAAAGTGAAAATTATTGAACCAGCGTTACCAAAATACATCTAAAACGAATGAAGCTTTTGAAGTTTAAGTTCTCATTTTGATTGAAAAAACTTGATAACTGATAGAGTTGAAAAGAAGGAAAGATGTTGCCCTATAACTCTACCTCCTTTTCCAACTCTGACTCTCCTATTGTGTCATCTATAATATTATGAGATTCATGTAAGACTTAAAATATTACCACCGACCAAAAAGAATAATGCTAGAGTGACCACATTTTCTTAACCGCATTATATGAGTGGGGTTCACCATTTACATTAGTTATTAGAGCCCGAATTGTTAAAAAACATCACTTGTAACATTAGTTGGACAAGAAAATACACCATAGTGAACACAACATGGAACATTCCCATTATCTATTCATCAAACTTTGATATGTGCTTAATAATTTTAATCTTGCTTGTGCGTCAAATTATGATATGTAAGACGTAGGAAGTAGGAAATGAGGCATGTAGTTTACTTGTCTAAATACCATATGCAAAATCTAAAGTTTATATAAAACAATTTTGTGATAGAAACATGTCTACTTTTCTACATCATTCCATTATAAAATTTCTTGGAAGAACCACAAACCATTGCCTCTCCAATTTTCTAATGCATGGCTCACGTGGGATGCATTTGAAGCGGCAGCCAAAGTATATAATATATATCGATGGCAATATCTAGGACTTAATTCTATTTCCCAAGTTCCAATGTCTCGTACAAAAAGGCTTAGACTTAAGCACCATTCACCGAATTTAAGGAACAAAATTCAGCCCCCCGCAAACACCAAGGCACCTAATATTTTGACCAAAAACTCAAAACTCAAGATGGACAATCTCGCAGTTTCAACACTTCTAGCTTTATCAGATTCCTACACACCCCATATGCCTTTCACCATCTCAATGCTTGTGCCCATTGTGCCGTGACTTGCAATGTGCTAGCTTAAGCTAAGCTAAGCTGCCGAGTATTTTGCCTATGCTTCTCGTTATCATTCATTCCCCACCTTTTTTGTCTTCAAGATGGCCTTGTTTCTTGTTTCTCTTTAACCTATGGTTCCAATTTCAAGCTACAATTTACAAAAGTGAGGTGTCAATGTGGCCCATGTACTACACAAAGTAGGATTTTGCCAAGGTCTGTTATTCATGTGTACATGAATATATTCCAACTGATGATAAGATATGATGAGCCCTACATGTTCAATTATTAGACATTGTCCACATGTGTATAGGCGACTGACCGTAACACAGCTCCACAACCTACTCATGTCTTTTGCTCCCTGCTCCTTGGTCATTATTGTTGACACTGTTAGAAGAGGTGACGTAGTTGCTTTCCTTCCTACTGGGCAGTGCCTTTTGTTTCCTGGGTATGCATTTTGCTCTCACTCCACCTATCTCTGTTTCCTCCAATTGCAACTGGGCACTCCTGCAAAACCGTTCGTATTTAAAATTAATTAAAACATTCAAGTTAGATTATTAATATAAACAATTATTAATCAAAGAACATTATGTCATCAATAAATAAAATGAAGGAAGAATGAAAATAATGCAGTCAATTTATCACATCAAAGAAGTCAACTCCCTCAATTAAACAAACACTAATTTGACTCTCTGTATGAATGAAAACTTGAAAAGGATGTTCACGTGAAGAACTCACGGAATTGAATTCTGTTTTTGTCTCCCACTGAATATTTTTTGAATTAAACCCTAAAACTGCAAACTGTAATCTGCATGATGGATTATGGGGGCCCACATTTTATATATAACAAAGCTCCTTAAATTTAAACAATCCGAGTTTAATTAAAACAACTACATAATAATAACAGTGCGTTGTCAAGATGACTATCTATCAGTCTCTGCACCAATGTAAGGAGGCAGCCAGCTGGCTACGTGTCAAACGCCGTACGAATCTTTCATTCAAATAGAAAGAAGGCATACCAAATGGGCTATCAGAGAATCAAAATAAAATTCTGACCAGAATCCCCAGAAAGCCAGGGAAAGAAACCAGAAGATGTACATTTGCTGAAAGATAACAAGCACTTTCAAAGTGAAACTTCAAATCAACTTTTCCTACATTCACCTATCAATGCAGATGCTTCTTGGTTAAAATTAACACCACCAATGAAGACTATGTTTTATCCTTAACAAAAATAAGTAATCTTACAGTTATCACATAAATTAATCATATTATACATTACATTTCTCACAAAGATGAAAGCTTTTGGCATGTCATATTTTATATACCAACTCTTTATCTGACAATATGATAAATGTAAAACCCGTCATTATGTCATATGGAGAAAAACTTTCATGAACTTAGAATACCACTATGATGGTAGCCCATTACGCTACGTTAGTGGAAAAAATGAAACGCATGACAATACGTAATTAGCTTAGAATAAAGTTACAATATCCTAAACGTACATGAGTTTTTCTCCACCATATGATACAAGACCCACATATTGCAAGAAGAAAGTTGTATATAACACGCATACAATAGTTTTCACAAAGATCCAAGAGACCCTCTTGCATACTTCTCACATTCTTTTGGTGTGTCACATCTCTTTGCTAATACTAGTTTAACAAGCAATACTAGTTTAATGACTTCATTTGTGTGCAATTATGGAGAACCAGTTGTAAATGCAATAATTTATAAGTGACAATTATTAGTGTGTTAATATTAATTAACTAGATTAAATTCCTTTAGATTATAAGTTGGTGGTTCTCATTTATCACACATGTAGCAAGCCCATATTGGCCTCACATCATTTGGGGAAAAATAATTATTGTACACATGAAAATATGATTAAGAGGCTACGAACCTAACACCATCGATGCTTCCATAATGTTGACATTGCTAAAGAGCCTAAAGAAAAATAAAAATAAAAAGTACAACCTAAAATGGAAATGGAACAACAAACACACAAAAAATTGAATGCGGAAAAGACTTACCGATCTGCATTGTAAGAAGACGACCTCTTCAAAGCTGGAACCGCCTCTTTCTTGGTCTCAATTAAGCTCCCGCTAAAATACTCCTTATCTTCCAATTTAACCCCCGCGAAATTCGAAATTACCGTCTCAGTCCTCACCTGATTCCCCGCGCCGCCACGTGGCAGCCTAGCCTTGTAATGCCCAATCAGCGAGAATCCTTCCTCCCTCACCGCCGTGGACCCGCAGTCCCTGAACGAGATCGAGCCGCACGATAGCAACTGCATCAGGACCGACGAGGCCTTCATCTTGCCACCTGGACAAACCTCCGCCGTCCGATGTAAACCCTCATCGCTCGCCCCGTTCGTGTAGATCACCAGCCGTCCATCCGCCTTCATCAGCGACTCGAGCGTTTCGGGGCTAGAATCCGACGGCGGAGGCGAAATCTCGCCCCGGCTCAGCTCCGTACTCTGACTATGAATCTGAAGCACCTCCTGTTGACTTTGACCTTGAACTTTGTCGTCGCGCTCTTCTCGAACCACACGTCGTCGGTGCCGCTTGTCGTCGGTCTGAGTAGACGCGTTGGCGGCAGCTTTGTCGGCGGACTCTCCGACCGACTCGGTCTTGTACACCTTGTACTCGTTCAAGTCAATCGAGCTCCAGGACTGGTTTCGCCGGCGCACGATCAACGGAGAATCGAAATCGTCGCCGGACTTTTCAGCCTCCGGCGGAGGTCTCAGGGACCTCGACGACGCTGATTCGAGAGCCAGAGAGTTCACAGGCGGGTCGAGAAGCTCCGAGCCTTTGAGAACGTACTCGTGGCCGTGCGACGGGTGTATGAAATCGTTTTCCGACAAATCGTGCCAAACGAAGCCGGTTTTGTAGCTCCTGAAATTTCAAATTCAAAGAAGTCAAAAGATGATGAGACGGTGGAGGAAAATCAGTAATTAGATCAGACGGTGGTGAGCTCGTACCGTTTGGAAGACCAGGAGTACAGAGAAGCCATGCCTTTGCCACGTAGCAAGTTCAAGCGGTTAATGACATCTGTGGAGAGAGAAACATACAAAATTAATGTGATTTGAGGAGTTGAGGGAGTGTTTGGTTGGTGAGAAAGTAGAGAGAAAATCATAAAATCGTATAATTTAGTTACCTCTAAGAAAGAGACCTCGAGGAGAAGAGAGAGGAACTTCCATGAAGTGAGGGTGCTCGAGCTGGCCGTTCCTAGAGAGATAGTAAACGACGGGGACTTTTCTCGGAGTCATGGCAAGGTTGGGAGTTTCAGTAATGGAAGTCCGGTTAGGGCTGGTTTCCGAGTCTCGCCATTTACTGGGGATTTGGAGGTGGGAGGGTCGGCCTCTGGAAGTGACAGCCATGTCTGTGTGTTAACAGAGAGTTGGAATCAGAGAAGGGTATTTGGTTACCGAGAAAATTATGTGGCAGCGAGCGTGTGAGAGAAAAGTGCGGGAAAATTAATGATTAGTGGGGAAGGAGCAGCTGGGAGAGAAAATGAGAGGAGGGGTTGGCATGTGTTGTAACTTACATATGGAGAGAATAAAGTGGAAGGTGTGAATGGGGAAAATGGATGAATTTTGGAGGGCAAGATGTATTCAAAATGGGGATGCGGCAGACAAGCGCTACCAAACAAATACGGGCCGTTTTAGATTTCAGAACCTTGGCAATACCTATCACGCCCTCACCGTAAATTCAATTTTTTTAATTTTAGATCTAAAGGGCAAATGTACCGTATTAGATTTATGTCGTTTGCAAATATAAATATACGATTAATCATTTATTTGATTTTTAGCGACTCTAGGTATTTTTTTTTTAATCCTATTAATTAATAGTGCGCGATGAAGACAGATAAATTTTATAATAAATGGGGGTAAAGGTCTAATCCAAGTGTAACGTAAACTCGGAGTAAGAAATTCAAAATAGTTCATTTTAAGTATATGAGATCATGCTTTATATTCCCGTTTATTTTTCAGGATATCTTCATAGATTATAAATGTAGACGAGATCATATTTCATATTCCTATTTATTGGGATTTTGATTATAAATAAAGTCCTCTCATACTCTCGAGGTTTCCTAAGAAATTAATTAATTAATTATAAGGACCAAACAATCATGAACACCTTTATGCAATTCAACTAATGCAATCTGATGAAGCTCTCAAGCCTTGAGATTCTTTCATAAACGTCCTTTATGTTGAAAAGTCTATTGCAATTCCTCCCGTCCACATCGTTTTAGACGTGTTTTCTTGGGTTCATTCCCCTCTTAATAATATTCAATGAAAAAACTTTCTTACAAAATTCAAACACACTACTAGATGGGTTGACTACTCATGACATGTTTAATTGTTTCCCTTTGGACCACCTAACTTTGACTAGGAGGCCTTAATTGCGATTTCAACGTCCTTTCCGCACCTCTGAAAAGTTACTAGAAATCGGGTGGACCCCCAGCCGACGTGGCGTGCCCTCCCAAACCTAAATCGTTGACTATGATATGGTAGTGTGTTGATTAGATTGGACAGCTCTGATTAGAGTTCGGAGGACAGGTGGACGGTCCAAAAGAGCCGCTTCAGAGAAGTACAGAAGATCTCGGGGTAAATGCTGCAGTGAAATATTTTCATGTTGGCTGTCTTTTAGTCCTTGTCATCATCGTTCTTCGATCTTCTCAGGAACATTGAAACGTCGTCGTTGTCTGGCGTACCGTGTACATTTGAGAGTAGGGAAGTAATGTGGTGGACCCCGGTAGCCCATACGGGGTGGGGGAGGTGACACAGTATTTCTGTGAAGACCCAGCCGCGCTGAGAGCCGGGGACAAACTTAAACTTTCTTCTGTTTCCTTTTTGGGGTTTCATTTCAAATTCAAATGCAAATTAATTAAAATGGGTCGTTGTTTTAGTCTAAGTTATCGGCAAAATAGTCCAAAAGTTAGAGGCATATTTTCCACGAGATTGGAGGAGCATTGGCACGTGGGAAGGGGCACATGCATTCATGCAACGACTCTAGGTGAAAAACCACATTGACATTGCATTGCATTGCCCCAATTCAGCACAACGTGCACTCCATTGTCTTGTCTCCACCGACGGACTCAACACCATCTTATATTGATGAATAAACAAATGCAAAGCATATCTCTTTTAGGCATAATTGGACTCATGATTTCTGAATTTACTTTTTGATAATTCTTATAGTCCTCTAATTCGACTTCGTGTGACATGTATCATCTTATTGTTCAATTTGTCAAAATTTTCATTCCGTTTAGGGGCAAAATTGTCATTTCATGTATTTTCTCGTTACTTTCCATCGTTTTCTCTCTAGAATTAGTTGTTAATCTCACCGAACTTTATCCCCCAAACAAAAAAAAAAAAAAAAAAAAAAAAAAAAAACAAACTTACCATACCAGGGTCTAGTCTAGTATTAAAATGCATTTACTTGAGTACCAATAGTCTTAAGTTCGAACTCTCATAGCACTTTAATAGTGTGTCTGTGAAACTGATGGAGCAAATTAAGCCCACAATGGTTACAACATTTTGAAAATATATATTTATGTTATATCCAAGTTGTTTTTTATAGTTCTACAATGAACATGAATATGATCTATTGAGGATTCGTGACACTTGACAATATGTAAGAATGACTCACAATTGAACTTAAAGGTCCATGACACACTAGATAATTTGTAAGAAAAAATCATAGTTTGTAGTGTGATCTGATGTATATAAAGGCCAATGATGTAATCATTTCTAACTTGAAGATCATTTTAATAATTTTTAAAAGACAAGAATCAAAATGTTACATTTCTCGCCCGTCTGTGTGTTCATTGTTGTATATCCTCTGATACAGACATCTAATCCAATAATTTTAGTACTTCACTTAGCATCCAACACTCATGAGGCACGACATCTTTTTGTGACCAGGACCTTTTGATGATGCTTTTGTGAACCCAACTGCATCTATCATTATCAGACATGTTCAGGGGAACTGAGATTACCTCACCGCTTTTGCCTTTTGCCATTCTTTTTGCCTTTTTGTTTAATATATTATAGCTGCATTACAAACCACTTTGTACAAGACCATTTCATAGATGACAAATGTCAAGATTATCTTCAATCTCATATTGGGTCCCTTTTTATTAAGAGTATCTCACCTCAAAAGATGAAAACTTTTTTAGTATCTAAAAAATAGTATACATTTTTATCTAGTGCTGATTAGTTTTGAATTTGATGCTTCCATTCTAATATGGTATTTACGTGTTAAATGATGCTTAAAAATTCTTCATTCTCTCCATTTATTGGCATTTGATCTCGAGTTGTATGCTCGGCCGTAAACCCATGTATATCAGTGCTTTTAATTTTGGAGGAATTTTCAGGGACCAAGGACTTTTTTGGATGGAAGAGTTACTAGGGCGGTGGAGTGGCATAAATGGATCTAGTTTGTTTAAGCTGTTCCTGTGATATATGCACTTTATCTTATGGTTGGCTATAAGGGGCAAACTTCTCTCCCCACAATGATTCTACCTGTGCAATTTTCCATGGTGTTGCAGAATCCCATACTTCAATTATCTTCGATTGCTTTCTTGTATAGAAGTCGTGTGGTCCTTGGCTGCACTTCATTGACAGACACACTACACCCTGCAGTTCTTTAGAAGCTCTGCCTATAAACCAGTACTGTATAATCATTTGGAAGGAAAGAAATTACCACAGGAATTTCAAAAGGGAAAATAAACCTTCCCCTTGATTCTTAAATACATCACCAGTTCATTAGATGCATGCTATGCGAACCCAAATGCAAGTCCTGCCCACAAATCTTGCTGCTTATTTGAAATCTGTTTGATGATGTGGTAATTTAACATAAGCTGCCCGCAGTTGATTACTTACAGAACAAGAAAGAAACACTTAACTACAAAATAAAACAGGAAAAAACAAGTCTACCAAAATCCCACTTTTACTTTGGTGCCAAAAGACCCTTTCTACATTAGTATATACCGCGATTCGCAATAAGTTTCCTACTAGTTGAATTTCCATTACAATACTTTGAATGGAGAATAAATATTCACTTCAATCCACATGAGGCATCGGGTAGCGGCACAAGGGACACAAGTGACTGGTTTCCAACCACTGAACAATGCAAGCTTCATGATAAACATGTGAGCAGGGCAAGGAAATAACTTCAACACCAGCTTCAAAGTTCTTCATACAAATAACACAGTTCTCCATGACTTCAGAGCTATCTAGTCTCACTTTCTCCAAACTGTCAATAAATGATTTAGTTGCAGGGATAGGCTTCACCTCATCTGTTTCCACGGATTCCCTTGTAACCCTTTCAATCACATCTTCTGGATTAATAACATTTCTGCTCATTCGCAGAGTCACCTCCTCTACTTCCACGACAATAGGAAGCATGCAGAGGGTTGATTCAACCGCATTAAGTACTTTTCCCACAATAGATGGCTGCTCATCTACTGGGACATGCATTCCGGAAAGAATTTCAGTCATGAGCATGGTACCACTTTCAGATAACAGCGTGCCACGAGGGACCTTAATGGTTTCTTGGGTTACAAGGGTTTTCAATTGCGGAATGATTCGTGGAACATCATCCTCCTCTTCGTCAAACCAAACAACTTCGTAGCACTTGTAGAGCATAAAATTGACTGGAAGCACGCAGGCTGAAGGCTGGGACTGCTGCAGGTCCATGTTGTTGGGTTTTCCTATCTTCCAGACATTGGTTTTCTGCGACGCATCGCTACGATAATGTATGCGGGTTAACATGCTTGAAAAAATACCGAAATCTGCAGAAGAACCGGCAATGGTCATTAATGGGGGATGATGCTATTTGTGCAGAGCCCATAGCATTCTCAATTTCATTGCCACAACAAAAACAATGGGTACTGGTATACCATAACACTTGGGATTCAAGAGGCATGGGCAACTCAAAAGAAAGCTACAAGCTTTACGTTCTTCAAGAAAAATCAGTATAAACAAACCTTCTCTTTCCAATTTTAACACAATGAGACCCAATTATTCAAATTTGGAGGCTTAAATTTGCTTCTAATATAACCTTTTAGCCAAGCACAATCGAAAACAGAGAGGCCTAGACCCCCTGGCATCAACTCTTATAATTAAAATCATAAACCCTAAATTAAAACCTTACCTAAAACCTAATAAAATAAAGAATTGAGAAGAAAAATGAGAAATAAAGAAGAGGAAATACCTGGGGATGAAAAAGACAAGCCCGATCAGAAGAAAAAGGAAGAAGAAGACCGGCAGATTAGGCGGGGAAGAAAGCTGAGAAGAGGGAGAGGGTTTGCCGTATGGGGTGTGTTGGCTTGGTCGAACATGAAAATTAATAATAGAGCGAAGGTACAATTTGTTTTTTCTTTTTTCCTTTTTTTGAAAAATTGTACCTTTGCTCCATATGAAATTTAAAAAAAAAAAAAAGTTAAAATCAAGACATGTAGCTATAAGCGTATTAGAATTTAAGAAAAAAACTATGAGAAGAAGCGTGAAATTAGGAATAAAAACGAGTTTATTGACAATTTGACATGAAGCTAGGGGGAGCTTCTATGTTGGGAAAAAAAGCTTGGGCCATAAAGGCTTTCCCCATTTTCACCTATTTGATGGGCCGAATAGGGATGCACTGGAAGCAACCCTCTGCTTTTTAATGTTCAAATGGGTCAACCGCCGTCCAAACTCCAAAGTTGGGCGTTGACCAAAGAAACCGAAGTCTAAAGTTAGAAAGACCTTTTTATTGGGAGCAACCGACAACTCCGGCTGTTGAGGCAGTTTCTCAAACCCTAAATAAATATTTTTAATTATTCTATATTAAATAACAAGCTTTAGATTAATCTAACGCGTAGGATTTATTATCTTGGATCAAATCCTAGCTGTTAAATCTCAATTCTCTCATCTCATATCTCTAGACTCCAACTCACACACTTCTCTTCTCTCTCTTCTTCGATTTGAACTTCAATCTCTCTCACCCTCGCTAGGAATGAGCATTTGAATCAGTGAATCGAGCCAAATCAAGTGAAAAAAAAATCATAAAAAAATTGTGTTGACCAAAAAAGTCAACCTAGGCTCAAAAACCAAACCGCTTTGGATTGGCTCCCGACTTGATTCATGTCTTGGAAAAATCAGTATAAACCGAACCATATCAATTATGCTAAGTTTACTTATTCATTTATATCCAAAATTATTAGTAAACCTAATTAAGATTCAAATAACATTAGTAACTCCAATTAATAATTAGATATTTTAGCCTAATTAATACCCAAATCTCTCTATTCCAATTTACACCAAACTAAATATCTACTCTAACCCCAAAAAATTAAAATTCTCTCTAGCGCTCTTTAAGGTTTTCTCTAGAACATCGTAGTGGAGTGAGTCTCGGTCTCCCCGAACTCAAGTTACTACGCCAGAAGGATTGGATGCGGGGGTTGGACTGGCAAATGCTAGTTGACGCTATTAGTGTCTGGATTGCGAGAGGTTGCTGGTTTAAAGACTCCCTTTACATTCGTACAGAAACTATGGTGACGGAGTTTTCCTTACGTTTTGCCCTTACTAGTGCTGAACAAGAAGAGGTTGTTATGATTCAAGAACAGTCGCTAGAATCAAGTCCATGCGTTTTCTTCTCGTGGGCAAACTTTTGATTGATAACTATTTGGCAGCCTAAGGCGAAGGTAACTATTGTGGATATTGGAGATCAAAAGATTTCTTGTGCTTTTAACTCAAAGGATGAACGAGATATGATTCTCCAATGGGGTCCATAGCTCTTCAATGGATACTTCTTGGCGTTGGCCAAAGCTACTGGCATCACCAACCCAAAACACATTCCAATTTTGAAGCAAGATTTCTGGGTACAAGTTAAAGGACTACCCTTTGGATATATTACTAGAACTGTGGGGAAGATTATCGATGATGCATTGGGTGGATACATGGTGACGGACCAGAGTAAAAAAAAAGGAAAAACTAGGGATATATCTGCGTACTTGGGCGACCCTGAATATCTTCAAACTGTTTCGACAGAGTCTTGTACTTCGGCTCAACGGAGAACCCATTGAAATTGATGTGAGGTACGAGAACCTACCTACTGCATGTTATCGCTATGGGATCATTGGACACACTGAACTTTCGTGCCTCATGCTAAGTAATTAAGGACATGATGATTTGTCCAAACCTTATAGACGATGGTTTCAATTTGATATAGATGGGCATGAGTATCCCAGGTTGACAGGGAGACAATTTGGTTTCCCTAGCTCCTCCGGGTGGTCTAGGCCTGCGCTGAAAGAGGATGCCTCATCCTCAGCAATGGTGGAGGACAGTGGCAGTACTAAGTCAAGCATGCCTAACCAACTTGCCACTAATGCTTTACAAAATCTGGAAGGTTTTCAAACAGAGGAAGCCTTAGCATTGACTCAGCCTTTTCCTCGCCCCAGTCCTAAAATTTCCAGGCCTAAATGAGCAAGTTAACTTCTATGAGGAGGATTCTCAAGCCTTCTGGCCCTTATTCCTTTTAGGGAAAACGCAATAAAGTTCCCCATACCTTTGGATTGTGATCACATTCCTCATTCCCTTCTAGGGCCCAATGATTATGGTCTTTCCTTCAATTTATCATTAGGGAGTTAGACCAATAACCATGACTTTTGTGATGCCGAAATTCAGGGACATAATTCCTCCTTATTGAGTAGTACGGAGAAGAACCCATGCACTATCACGGCCTTAGGCTCTCCAACCAACCAACCCATGATTCCGCATATTCATCATCGTCGAGTTCTAAGAACCCAAAATCCCCACACTTGGCATTTTACTAAGGGAGCCCAAAATCTATCATTGGGCTCTGACCCATTCAACCTTAGCTCATTGATAAAGCAGATAGCCAAGGCTTGAAAACTAGAGTCATAATTAATAGGTTGCTAGTGCATCTGTCATAGGTTATACCTATAATTATGTCCATGGAGGATCTTTGTTTGATAGGCAATTGCAGTTTGAGGACCGCACTAGTTCGCACTTGAAATTTAAGAAGTTTGACTTACATGAAAGTGAGGTAGCTGAAGCCACCTTAATGTTCAGGCGCACCTTAATGCTGAATGAAGTCCAATGGGTGACTTTATAACCTTAGTGAAGTAAATAATATTATACTAGTGTGCTATAAGTATTAGGAAAATCTCACAACTTGGCTTTAGAAGAGTATATTAGCCTCACTCTATTTGGAAGTCATGATGATGATGATGATCTACTCCACACTTGGTGGGCTGCGTCTATAAGATGAGCCTGATTCATTCAATGTTTTGTTTTTACTCTTTAAGTTTGATTTTTTATACTAGTTATTCTGTTTCATAAATATTTTTTTACTAAAAAATATTTCTTCATACATTAAAATTACGTATTTACTTTTTTGTTTTTAAATTTGTCAAGTCTATGTTGCTCACAATTCAAAACATTCACTCTCATAGACTTTACCATTGGGGGCTATTAATGGGTGCGACTTATGGAGTTAGTCATTCTGGTCAACTCAAGATTCTTGAAGTTGCAAATTCTCTCGAGGGGTTAGATCCAAATGCAGTATCAAGGAAAAAATTGGATGAACTTATCGGATTCAGGGATTGGCTGAGGTATTTGCTGTTAGCTGAATCACACCATATTTCTGCAATAGATGAGCTTTACTTCCTAGATTTTTTTGACGTGCATGGCAAGGTTCCTCTTCAACTCAACTACAATCAATTGGTGAAGAAATTGACCAATCATCATCTCCTCTTTAGCCCAAGCTCAAGAGTTAGGTATTGCTTTGAGGTTTACCAAGCTTATGAAAATGACTCTTTGGAAAATAGTGTCTTCGAACAATTTATATCCTCACAGCCCTCTCAACAAAGTCAGAGGTGGAAGCGGAAATTCAAACATTTTAAGGGTTGACATAGCTGTATTAAGTGCCATCCAATATTTAAAGAAGTAGACGAGTACTCGCATGATAGTTACGTTTGGAAAGTGGCTGACCTCCTTCGCTTCTTGCATAATTTGAAGGTGCATTATGTCACTGATATAGAAGTTTTCGACGTTGACAGATGTGTGCGTAGAACTCTATGCCCGAGGTTTTTGAGCTATCTACATGAACGCAACATGAAGGTGAGTGATAAGTGAATGATAGATATTGATAGATATTGAGAAAGTATAATCTAATTTATGAGGTATTGCCTAAAGTTAGAATTTTTTGGTGGCGTGTGTCTGACTATTTTCCCCACAAGACTAAGCCTTTCCAAGATGCGCATCCCGATTGATACCACCTATGTCTTCTATGGCAACTCCCACGAATCGACGGTGCATATTTTGCGTGATTTCCCATTTGCTGTAGTTGTTTGGAGTTGCTCCTCACTAGTCGGTCAACATTCTACTTCTTCCAGCGAATTGATAAAGGATTGGGTTCATACCTACTGTGATCTCTTCTCCTCACAGGACTTTGTTATTTTCTTTATGCTTGGATGAATCATATATGAGGCTTAAAATGCACTACTCTAAGAGAACATACTTTTTCGGCCGCACTAGGTGTGCAACAATGCCATGTCTTGCCTTAAGGAATTCTTGAAAGCATCTGCCCAAGCTTCCAAGGCTGTTACACATACTCATAAGGTGATACATTAGGAGAAACCTCTTATGGGCTGGCCTAAAGTTAACATTGATGATGTTTGGCATCCTCAGAGCTCGATCGGTGGCATTGGGGCTATGGTGTGTGATTCTGGTGGTGATTTTGTGGCAGGGTGTGCTTTGTCAATTCCCAATATTTCTTTGCTACTCTTGGTGAAGCTCTTGCTGCCCGAATGGGTGTTTCACTGGCTGTTGATATGGGTTTTATGAATGTTTCTTTTGAAAGTGATGCTCTTCAGATTGTGTCGGCACTTCGAAGTCAATCCATGGATCAGTTTTTCCTAGGATCGATTGTGAAGGATACCAAGACCCTGTTGACTCAGATCACTAGAGAAGATTTTACCTATATCCACCGAAAAGGCAACAGTGTGGCTTATCATGTTGTGAAGTTTGCAACTGACATTGGTAACTTTGTTAGTTGGTTTGAGAAACCCCTGAATTTTATTGTTGATCTCCTATTTGAGGATTGTAACTTATAGTTTTTACAGACATAACCTTAAGGGGACCTCGGGGGAGGGGGGACTTTATCGGAGGCAAGGTTCCTTTTTCCCTTTGCAGTTGAGAAGGTAGGCTGCTTCGATAAAACGACAATTACTACGTTTCATTTGGTGTAGAGTACTCGCCTAATCATCTAGGACATAGTTTGGCTTTTGTACTCATTTTCCTCATTAATAAATTATTATCGCCTTTGCATCAAAATATCTACTATACCCCAATTTCTTTTTCTTTTCAATGACCCATATTATTTCTTGTTGTGCTTCCGTATTCTTCTCTTGTCAGTAAACCATATCAGTTCTTGTTGTCTAATTCGATGGCTATCTGTTTTGGTTGACACCGACTGCTTTGTTGGTCCGACCGATTCACGGTTAACTGAACCTTATCCGGCCAACACTGGTCCCAAATATGGTAATACCGTTTGTTGGCAGTCAATTTCTATTTGCCTGAAAAAATCTCAATTCCCGAGCTGAGTCCACCCTTGTCTACCTAGTGTTCCAGCACTATCTGTCACATCCCTGGATCAGCTTCGCCGTAGCACGATATTGTCTGCTTTGGACCCCCCTCTCTGCCCTTACGGTTTTATTTCTGGGAACTCACGAGCAACTTTCTAGTAGGTCACCCATCCTGGGATTGCTCAAACTCACTTAACTTGAGTTCTCTTGACTCCGAAGCCAGTGAGCTTCCAAAAGGTCTCGTACTAGATGAAGGTAGACATGTACATATAAGGCACATCACCCCATTTCCGTTGGTCGATGTGAGATGTTACACTATCCCTCCTTCCCTCTTCTATTTTCTTATTTGGTTTTTTATTTCCTTTTCGGTTAGTAAATAAAGTCTCTACTAGTGGCTTGGATTGAGCCATGGTCAAATGTGATCCCATCACCTCTTTAATTGTTAATTCCTCAATCCAATATTTCTCCCGATATCCTCCCCTAAAGTTTCTCTAAAATTTTAGTTCTACCATGCATTTGAAGGACTTTACTGCATAATAGGACTCTATTGCAATATGCCCATATTAGGACTCTTGTTTTCTATTATGAAAAGTTACATGGTTGGAGATTGAGTTTTCCTCAAATTTGCCTCATGCCCTACATTGTTTGAAGAATATAAAGTCCACATCAAAAACTTGACAAAAATAAAATATGACATATAAGGAATGATTCTATTACTTATAACATTGAGGCTTTTATATTAAACCACACACCTGTCAGATTATGCAGGTGATTGATTAAGTACTACACAAATTTTGTAAGTTTAAAAAACAAATTACGTATATGATTTTCCCAACAAGAATAGGCTAATTTTGTGCTAGGCAAACCGCATATGCTTGACATGTCCTCATTTCTTCAATTTCATCACAAAATTTATTGATTTTAGTTGTATCACAAAGACAACAAATTACGAAATGATCGACTACATAAGTAATTTTTTGGAGATAAAAGACACCAACTAGTATTGCCAAATTTTGGTACAAATTGATGTGATACATGACATAACAATCCATATCATTTGTCACATCAGCTGTTATATAAGTCACTCAATTCTGCATCATATATCATTTCTAGAGCTAGAGTCACCTGCAACACAATCTTACCTATGAGAAACACTTGAATGAAACGGGGATATCACCCCCGGTCAATAATGTTATGACACACATGATAACTTATCCACATAGTATGACGTTATTGATCGGAAATAGCAAAATAGTATTATCCCCGTTGCAACCAAGTTTTTCTCCTTTCCCATAGCTGCTACCGTACTGTACAATGTACACGATCAAAACAATCCTGAATTAATTAGTTATTAATACGCTTTTCAGTTTTTATCAAATTAACAACACACAGTGTTCATATGGCCCTTTGCTCATATCTACCTTCCAACTTATCATTTATTTTTCTGTATTTTAACATCCCATTTTCATCATGCACTATACTGATGGATGCTCCAAATACAAGACAAAGAGTGACCCTCTTTCTCTCCTGCCCAACCATTTCTTTTACTTGCTCAAACATGGCAAACATATTATTATCAAAATTTAGACCCATAGGGGTCAAAGGTGTAGTGCTATACGGAGAAAAATTAATTAATTGTGGGGAAAGTTCCACTATCACACACACTCACGCACCATCCAGATAATAAGTGCATGCAAAAGAAAAGCCCTAATTACACACACTTGTGGAATTAAACACCTTTTTTTTCCTGTTGTACCAACCCAATACCGGCGCCAGATTCATCTCGAAGATACCTTCTATTTGCAGAAAGAGAAAAGGAAAGAGAAAACAAATGTATATATGCTCCAAAGGATGTTAACAACTACTGCGCCTCCCCATTATCTGGAGATTTGGCTCGCATGTTAAAGATACTTCCAACGCCTTGATGGACTTTTTGCATGATCATCACCTGTTCATTTTAAACACAAATTATAATTTGAAATTAATGCACTTAGATTTGTGTGAGTGATTCCCTATTGCCCTGATCTAGAATTTTTCTCAAATTTGTCGTGGTATATCTACTGTCTACATAAGAGTTTGAGGATGCAATAAAAAAGTTCCCAAAATAATTCGAATCATACTTTTGTTGGTTAGGAGATATGGTTTTTGCCGACAACTTTCTGCTGTTGGGTAATGAAGAAATTTCTAGTATTGAAGTGCATGGTTGGGATGTGAAGAAAATGCTAGGATATTATGTGTTTGCACCAACTTTTCCACGATTAGGTTAGATGGCGACTTGCACTGACTAACTTTGTCATGCAATATTTTCTTTCTTAATGTTATAAGTGTTCTAAATTCGAATCTCTTCTATTAATAATAATAAAAAAGGTGACGGTTTACATTTAATTCTTATATGTTCTCGATTGAACTTCTACACTCTACGAGAATAACACTTTATAAAACTCAAGTATATAGAAGAAGCTAAGGGAACTTGAAATTGATATTAAGAGATTAGTACTCTCTTTATCACATGTACTTCCCCTCTTTCCAATTCTCAATTCGTTCTAGATACCTTGTTCTTGGCAAGCCCCTCCTTTTCTCCATGGATAGAATAATATCATGACAAGCTTATTGTCTCAGGCGGTGATGATTGAGCATATCAAGATGTTGACCTGGTTGTCCTATCAAGACATAAATCAAACTGTGGGGATAACCCATGAGATCACAAACTTACATGCCTTTATATCTCATCCCAAAAAAGCCTTTTAAATAAGATGATCATGAATTGCGTGCGTGTCTGGACAGCATTGCACCTGTGAGCATATACATACACAAACACAAGTTAATATGATTAAGGATGATGCTTATCAGCTTATCTCCATTTCTTAAAGGTGTCTCCATTTTATGGGATAGACTTTGTATTTCTACCCTAACTTATTCTAGAGGTGGTAGACATAATACATATCATGAAATGAAGGGCTTAATTCTTTCTAAGAGACAAGAAAGATAGCCTTCTTTGTACTATAGCCTGAAATGATTACATCATGAAATGGTTTCATTTTGTCTTTTCATAATAATAAAAAAATCACCTCCTATATAAAGAAATTGGTTATACAATATGCGACATTTTTCAATAATTACTTAAGTCTATGATTGGTTATATACTTCTCATCTCGGCAGTTGGATTGCATTTAAAAAACTACCAACACATGTAATAAATACAATCAAACGGCCAAAATTATAGGTATATAGCCAATTTTTAACATAAAATACTTATTAAAAAATCTCCGTATAATATTATATGGATCTATTGGGACAATTGCTGATTATCCCACATTCCCACTACTACTAGAATCTAATGCTTGATTGAATGGACCCAAATTCTGCAATTATTTAATTATTTAATTAAGCTCAGGTATATACGATTCCTTAAAATCTACTTGGCATGCTATATATATATATGACTAAAGGACAACAACAGTCACACACACCCTCAACCAAAAGAAAGGAAGGCCAAGCAAAGTGGAAGTGATAAATTGATATAATTCCAGCATTTTCTTTATCATTCTAATCTTTGATTTGCAATCACTCCTCTCCCTTTGACTGATCATCTCCAGTAGAAGAAGAAAGGTAGAAAAAAAGATTTCCCCCTTTAGATTCCCAAAACCAATAAAACCCACTGAAATGTTCATCTGTACCATATGTATTTTTGGGTAATAAAGAGGCTAATTGTCATTAAGAAATGACAATTTGCTTCCTTAAAGTAGTAACGATAAGCCACTTAGGGTAAGCTTGTCAATGATGGTAAAGTTGGCACCATCCCCAGCTATGGGACCCTTATTCCATTCAGATCCATGCAATTCTCTCTCCCTCCCTTCCCCCACCACTACTGCAAACAGCAATAGAAAGAACAAGAATTTGTACTATAATATATTTTACCTTGCTGGAACAAAAACGAAGAAATTTTGCAGCCCTCATCATCATTAGGTTAATCCGTACCGTTTGATTACAAAAAGCAATACCATAGACAACATTATCATATTACATTCTTTAATTATCATGCTAGTTATTATAATCTGAGAGAGAGAGAGAGAGAGAGAGAGTACTAGATATCAATGATGCATTATTTGGCTATTTGACTTGGGTGAACTCATTTACACCCCTAAACTAATAGATTTCATGTTCTTACTGCTGAGAGTTTAATGCACTGCACTTACATATGATCCCTATGTTAATCTAATCTATTTGGTCTTAATGGTCCTCTAACATTTTAGTAATAATTTTCTTTTGCCACAACATATATTAATCAACTTCTTTCTTTTTTTCCATAATTCAATGGGAGAATCAAGCCATCAACAGTTTTCACCATCCTTCATTCTAGTTACAATCACATACGACAAAGTTTCGTTGTCCATATTACTCTTAGTTGATGTGGTTAACCCCATCGTATTGACTAGGTATGGGGAGAGAGAGGGAGAGTAGAATTAAGTGGGATGGCCACACAGCTGTGGTGTACACGTCACACTGGTTCATCTTGCTGGCTACTTCTTCCTATTCCAGCCCACTACAAGGCACTTTATGCCACTACAGTTCTTCTTTGCTAACATCACCAATTCACCACCACAAATATAATGTTTCTTAATTATGCTAATCGAGGCACATGATGCTATAATCCACTAGTAACATATATGTCTTTAATATATACCTTGGTCTTTGTATGGCCATAATTTTATAATTAAGCCTTTTGTTTAAGTTGTCTATCCAGCACCTGTCAAATCTATATAATATTTAATCAATCAGAGTTCAGAGGAAGGCCAACATGTAGTATTGATATCTCGTCGAGAAGAAGGAGATCTGTGGTCCTGTGCGTGTATAGCATAATGGTCTTACCTGGTATATGAAGTTTCCTCATCTACCAAAATGGACGAGAATAATAGCAGATATTCAACACAAACACTCATGAGATCTAGTTCAAGTTGCACTAAGGAAGGGTGAGAAAGTGGAAAAATATTTGGGTGTGACGGTCATAAAGTCACATACTGTTACTTATTTAAGTTTATGGATGGACGACAATATTGATATATGATGAATTAAAGTAAAATATTGTAAAAGAATACATGTGTTATAATATGAGTGAATTTATAATATCACACAACGTTGAGAAATTTTTGGCTCGTAAAATTAATTTTCGTTTATACTGATGAATAAATCCCACACTTTAAATTACAATATCTAACCTAAAATTAAATGACAATTAATTGGATTGTAGCCACGGATATAGATGCATAGTACGCCTGTTAAAACTAACATCATGTTTTGAATCATGTCGAAGTGATACCATAATTGAGATTGAATTGAGACAGGATGAGAGATCTCAACCCACAACTCAGCTCACATATCAACTTGTATCTTAATTTGTAGTCCAAAGTACATGAAGTTTCTAAGTTTTTTAGGAATGTTGTTAATTTCCTTATGAGCCTATACGTATTACTTTATGAAGGTTAACTTATACAACCTTAACTTTCGTTCATAGTATACAGCCTATACGTATTATTTATTTTTTTATCAAAGAAAAACTTCATTAATTACTAGTCCACATCACCATAATTAACTATAAATCCAAACAAATCCCACAAACTCAACATAACGGAAACCCTAAAGCAACCAATGAGCCTAAATGTACCCTACCACCACTACCTGAAGAAGCGTCGTCGCGGTCACACCCACCACTGCATCCGTAATAGATATGGGGAAAATATGATTTCCGACAATCTACTCACGCATAAGAGCGAACAAATAATGAAAACAACCTGCCAAAAAACAATTTGGTGATTTATAGCCTCTTCCGTCAAATATGATGTAGAACCAAATTTAGAGAAAATAAGCAAGTTAGAGAGCAGGTTTTGGGAGAATGATTTAATTGAGAACATAGCCCAAAAGGGGTGATGGGGACTTCAATTTGAGCATGGCTCAGAAGAACTCACCACAAGGAGTTTCTTATTCAAAACACCCCAAAAGGAAAATATGAGAAGATAAGAGAGGGAGGAGGGGCAGTGACAACACTTCTTCATCCCCCCCTGCATGGAATTTTCCATTAGGACTCATATAAGGAGAGAACTGCTAGAGTTTTCTCTTTCTTAGTAGAAGTTAACCAAAAGCATATGCTCATAAAGGCCAAAAGAAGAAGAAAATATTCATTGAGTTGACCATAATTTCCAAATCTTAGAGTGTTTAAGAAAATTTGAAATAATCAGCTCTCACCAGAGATACTCCACTTGTTAAAGTGAGGAGACGAAGCTAACGAAACCCCTACGCATGATGAGCTAGCCCTAATCTAAGATCGGTGGTGGGGCAATTGGGTTCTAGTCCTCTTAAACATAAAGGAAATGAATCTAGCAAAGCATTTAAAAACATATTTCTGAGAATAATATCTCATACCATTTTCATATTTAATCGAAAAGGGAAAGGGTCGCTTAAAGGGCACCACCTTAAAGTACAGTTGCTTCCTATTCCCTTGCTTTTCCAGATTTGTCCTCATATGCTTTAACTTTCCTTTGGCTTCTACACCTTGCTAACATCAACATTTCGTCAAATTGGATGAAAGGAGAGGCTCTCTAGCGACCTCCATCAATTTATTCTCTTTTATCCAACCACACAAAGCTAAAGCCAATCTTGTTTTGTGGTCGACGCATGTCAAGTTTCACAATATATGTTTTGTATCTAGACTGTTGTTGAACTTGATCAATGGTTTATATTCACGACTTGATCAATGGTTTATATTTACAACTTGCTTTTAATGATGACGTTCACATGTAAATATATATATGCGAACGTTCATTTTTGGACTACTTTACAATGCAATTCAGTTATCATAATTATTTATTTTTTACGTTGATTCTAAAAATTTATTATTGTGAAAAATTTGCCAAATCGATAGCAGCTGGTGATTTAAATTGTGCAAGCAAATACAATATATTAGACAGAAATCTAATCACTTTGAGAGTATTCAAATGGCTATATAATTTTCAATTTTTCTGATATTTTGTAGGGATGGTACCTCACTTCAAACATTTCCCTCATAAGATTACTGCTAAAACTAGGTGTGCGTGTGTGTGCGAGAGAGAGAGAGAGAGAGAGGGACTTAGCAAACCTCTATTAGCAGGCCACATCAACTAATTAGATGACTTATTAATCTTCTTAAAAATGGATCAAATTAGTAACAGTTTTTATTGATGATGATCAAGCTCTTGTGCTAGACTTTATATGATTTGGTAGTTATGCTGTTCCTTGGAGGTCTCTGATATGATCCCATGAGAGTCACACCAACAGATCAATCTCTTACTTCGATTATTGCGTTCATAGTGGCTGACATCAGATCCATAAAGTGCCTTATCACAAAAAAGCATGCGTGCACCACATGGACGGTGAAGATGCAAAATCAGCAAATATTATAGTCAAGCAGCTTCTCAGCATGGAAACTGGGGCTGTATATATATCTGTACTGGACATCAAAGTTTCCATATAAAACGAGGAGGAGGAGAAAGTAGCAGCAGAACAGGAGCATTGCAATCAAAATAGCCAAGGCCACAAGCTTGGGAATCGTAAAAAGAAAAGGAAAAGAGAAAATTTATCAATCATGAAAATGGTTCAAGAGGAAAACATCAGAAAGGGCCCGTGGACAGAGCAAGAGGACTTCAACCTGGTGTGCTTTGTGGGCTTGTTTGGAGACAGACGTTGGGACTTCATAGCTAAGGTATCAGGTTTGAAGGTGGAGGGTGGCAAATAATAGGTACGGTTATTTGGAGATGATAGGCTTCTCCAAGGAGCTCCCATTTAACCCACCTGGATTAATATTTTGTTGTAGGTTTGAACAGAACAGGTAAGAGTTGCAGGTTAAGATGGGTTAATTACTTGCACCCTGGCCTCAAAAGAGGCAAGATGACCCCTCAAGAAGAGCGCCTGGTGCTTGAGCTCCACTCCAAATGGGGAAATAGGTTTGACCAAAAAAACATAGCATCTAAATTCATCACTTTGTTTATCATTATCTAACATTTCTTTGAGTATAATATCCTTTGATGAGTAATGTTCAATACTCGGATAATTTGACATGTTGTGTTGTTCAACTGTAAATCGAGATTCACAGCCTGACAACATAACATACCCTTAATTTCAATTCTTTCAATTTGATTTTACTTGATATAGGATATAATTATATTTCATGCAGATGGTCAAGAATTGCTAGAAAATTACCTGGGAGGACAGATAATGAGATTAAGAATTACTGGAGGACTCATATGAGGAAGAAGGCACAAGAGAAAAAGAGGGCTGCATCCCCATCATCATCTTCTTCCAACTGTTCTTCATCCTCAAACATCACCTCAACTGACGGAGGAGCAAGCTTTTATGACACAGGTGGGCTTGAAATCAAGGCATCATCAGGAGCAAAGAAAACTGGTGGAGATCATCAGGAGCAAGAAGATGATAAAAAAAGGGACCAAAAGGAGTACTCACTTGATGATATATGGAAGGATATCAATCTGCCAGAAGTGAACAGTATTGAACCAGTTTACAATGGCTATAGTGCAGAAGCCTGCAACATTATTTCTTGCCCATTAATGGCTTCTCCAGCACCATGGGAGTATTGCTCTGACTCTCTATGGGAAATGGATGAAGAGGAAAGTAAGATGCTTCTCCCAACTACAAGTGACCAATTTCTGTCCTGTTTTGAATATGGAAAAGCATCTCTAACTGGCTGATTAGGATTTTATTTATTAAGATTTGTTCATATGTGAAATAGGGTCTTAAGGAAAAGCTCCTCTAACCTGTATAATAACATGGGTATGATCTCAGATGATCTCTGAGCTCTTTTTTTCTTTCTGAAATCTGGGTCTGGTCTGCACCAGCCATCAGCTGCAGATCACTTGTTTTTATGCATTACTTTACTCTAGTTCCTGTCCTCTGTATCCTTGTGTGTGTTTTTCAATTTTTAGTGAGGAAGAGAGAACTTCAAATTTACCATATGGTGTTGTTGCTGTGGTATGTCCATGGAAGTATGTTGTATATATGTCTTTTGAGATTTACTTTTCAATATCAAGCTGGTTACCATCAGAATTTTTCTTCTTTTAGCTTATTTATGCTACATAAAATGTTCTTGAGCAGCTTCATGAAGAACCTTAAGCACTTAATTAATGTCCAATTACTAATAGGGGATTTTCATCCAAATTAAACCCACTAAAGCATCATTAAAGGAAAAAAAAAGGAATCTTGAATTATGAGAATATAAGAACCTTGAGGAAACTAAAAGGTTGTTCTATCTCTAGCTTTCCCAGATTCCATTTTGCTTCTACTTTTCCATGAAAAAATAGCTGCAGCCAGCCCTTCAAGTTTGTCTGCAACAAGAATCTGTAGTAAACAAATTCTGGGTATGTATGAATGAACTGAATGTTAACTGAATTAATTACTAATTAACTGGTTGAAAACCAAGGATTAGCATGTGAACAAGTGGGGGATGAAAATGGATTAATTTTGGGACAGCAAAGTCTGTTAAAAGTAAGATAAAAAGGAGAGTACACATGCCATCATCCTACCAGGTCCAGCAGGGAGAAAAACTCCTTTTGAGGAGTGTGGTCCAGGTAACATGCCTTATTAATTCTTTGCTAATTAAATTACTAGTTTAGTGGCTAGATGTCCAAATCATTGTCCCATAAGATTTGTTTATTTATTCATAGTTGTGGTCCATTAAAACTGCATAAGCATATCCCCCCAATAACATCACCTTGCCATGCACAAGAACATTTAATATTTTTCCTCTCCTGATGAAAATAAACTCAGAAAGCACTTAAGTTCCAAAGGAAATCTTCTAATGACTTTGCAGATTTAGCCTCAAATCTGTCCAAGAAGAGTTAGGATTTTTTTCATTTTTACTTTTTCCTTTTGAATATGTATCTACTTCCTAAAATTACAAACAGAAAATCATACACAAAAAGGAAAAGCTATATTTATTATTAATGTAGGAAGAAAGTTCAAGAAGTGGCTGTCAAACATGATCCTCACATTGCAATTAAAAGGGAGATTATATATTTCTCATTTCTATACTTCTTCATTTATTTATCTATCAAAAAAAAATTATAAAATGTAATTTATCATATACATTGTGCGCATAAAAATTAATAATTTTTTAAATTAAAACAAAAAAAAAACACACAAAAAAAAAAAAAAAAAAAAAAAAAAAAAAAAAAAAAAAAAAAACTTCTTTTCTTCAAACACACACCACCCACCATGTCCGTGAAGAAAGCAAGGGTAGTGTTTTCCTACATAAAGATTAAAAAGAACTCAGAATCACCTCTTCTACAGTTAAAAATTGAGGCCACCAAAAGGTAATACAACACACAATAACTACAGGAAGTGACAGAAAATGCTTATGCTCTAAATTCTCTTAATTTATTAAAAAAACAACCATGTTCTTTGTCAAATCTTTGTTCTGTTTTTATTTCTGTCTTTCCAACTTTAGCATTTCATTAGATTGCACATCAGATTTGACAAAATATGCAGAGAGATATTAACATTATCTTTTGAGTGCCTAGACGTGGATCCTATTCTGCTGTTCTCATAAGTCAATGCCAAAATAGTTTATTGAAAGTAAAATAATTGGTCATTTCAAGTGATCATCCTTTGTCGTGCCTGTTTAAAGTGATCTTTCCTTTTTCCTTTTTTTTTTTTTTTTTTTTTTTTTTTTTTTCAATGAATAAGCTATGTATTTTCCACAAACCATAAGCTACACAAGTCATGGAGCAAAGAGTTGCTCAAAACCAAACACGAAAGGAAGAAAGCAGGAATATTTTAAAAAAAAACCAATATTCCATCCGCTACAAACTGCAGAACACCTATCAGACAGAGGAAACAGATTACAAAGAGAAAACCTTTATTTATGCATCGTTTTCAATTTTCTCAAAGATATGATCTTCTGTGATACACTTCAGGGTTGAAAGACCTGTTGTTCCTTTCCAACCGTGTATGATAGTGATAGATGATATCATGATAGTACTCTCCAAGCTGATTTAACAAGAAAGAATAATGAGGCCATTTCCTTGTCCAAATTCTCTGATGAGGCTACGTTCAGTTCAGAGAATCTATGATTTATGGTTTTAATGAAGCCTTTGTGCGCTTGAACACACACACACACACACAACAAAATGAAGAAAAAGAAATGGAGTTTCTAAAAAAAAACAACATAGTTTAAAGTAGAATATACTTATATAAAATAAAATAAAACAACATGATTTAAGACATATACAAAATCAATAGAGGCTAGGAACACTTCAAAATCCGCTTAATCTAATATTGCTTCTATCAAAAGAAAAAACGAAACGAAATAGCCCACTCTTATGCTACAAGTCATGGAGGTTCGAACTACTAGTCTGCTCAGTGTGTCATAGAGGTTCAAATTACTAGTCTTTTTTAGTCAATGCCCTTTTTCACGGAGCTAAACCATGTTAGCTGAAATAACTCACATACTCTTAAATGTGAGGAAAATGACACGAAATGAAACTCAGGCCCATCCTGCAGTTTCTGTTTCTGATGCCCATAAATATCCCTGGCCCAGTTGGGCCCAATCCAAAGGGTCAACGACAACTACCACCATTAATTAACCCGCCAAGTCGCCTACATTCTTAGTCCAACGGTTGGAATTTGGGAAGAGTTGAAGACACAATGCCAAAGCTATCCAACCTCTATCTCTTGGCCTACAACTCTCTTCAGGCCGTAGCCTGGTAAAGCGCTCAACAGTAAAACCCACCTCCCAAAATTTCAAATCTTTGTTGCTGATATGAAATTTCCATTGCAGGGCAGTTTGTCTCGCTTTAAGCTTGAGCAGCTTTGTCTCCACCAAGGCCGTCAATGGAGCTTATGCTTCTGCTGGAGACCTCATCTGTAATTTTTTTTTTTTTTTTTTTTTTTTTTTTTGGATTTGGATTTGTGAATTGAACAAAGAATTGGTTTTTCTTTTTAATCAAGTTGTGTGTCCTTGATCACTGCAGATTTTCTCCAAATGGTTCAGTTCTTGGAAGTTATACACGGAGCCGTTGGTAGGTTTTCTGAGACCTAATGTTTATATGTTTCTAAGTTTATTAAGAGTGTGAGTTTCATGCTTATTTATGCAATGAAATTGGAGGTCTCGTGCCGAGTGGAGTGGTGTTTCCTCTGATGCAATGGGCAGGAAGGGCTCATTTTCTGTTTGTTTTGCGCCAAACCCATGAGGTTATTTCTTTCCCTCTTTTTTTTTAAAAAAAAATTTAAAAATTTGATTTTATTTTAAGTATTAAAGTACCTTTCTTGTGCGATTTATGGGTTTTATTATTGAGACTTGAGCTTCCCTGGAAAGTTGAGATTGGTAAAAGGGGAAGGAGCAAGTGCAGAATCTGTTGATTTCTTAGGGCTGCTTGTTTGTGCAATGTCATAATATATAAGCATGGGCTTGAATGCATATATGCTTATTTTATTGTTAGGGATTTGAAGACCTTGATCCCCAATTCTTAAGATCAAACAAATTAAGAACACTAGATAAGCATAACAATAACCCAAAATTTTTACTTGGTTCACCCCAAACTGGTTTAAACCCACATGGGTGATTTGGGTTTGAATCAGATAAACGAAGAAGCAAAAGGTTATTAAAATCAAGAGCATATGGGTTCTTCCTCACACAAGAATAATCTCTTCCCTTGTTCTCAATAAACCCCAACCTCACTCAAGCAAAATTGCACCAAGAGAAATCCTAAGTTCTGAAATTTTGCAGAAATGCTTAATTCTTGTCAAAATCTCAACATTAATGAGGTCTGCTTATTGTGCACAAATTAATCGTAGTCCATTGTTTTGAGCATTTTGTAGGTCCAAGAGTCGCCATCAGTCTTCATAACTTTTGTTGCTTGGAGCTTAAGTGAGGTAAGTTGGTTCAAAAAGTTTTCTACAATAAAATTTCAGTGAACTAAATAATAAGATCACGAACCTGTATGCAGGTTATTAGGTATCCACATTATGCTTTTAACTGCATGGGAAGTTGCCCTTCATGGATTACCTATCTCAGGTTCTACTCTTTCTAATTATGATGATAAATTCAAAATTCATAAACAAGCAACCAACACAATACTACGCAACAAAAAAATAGAATGCAAGTAGAAAGGATTTTATTGCAATAACAATACTTTTGCGTTTCACTAGGTACACTGCATTCATTGTCTTGTATCCTCCAGGGATGGCTGGTGAAAGTAAGTTCATAGTTTCCATTAGTCTTTGGTTTCAATTTTTGATTGTATGAGAAAATCCTGTCCCCCCGCTGCCCCTCCTTTCCCTCCCTCTCCTTCTCCCTTGATTTTGGTGATTACAATGCAGCCTGGCTTATGTACCAAGCACTTCCTTTTGTAAAGAAGAGGAGCCTCTTCCCAGATTTATTTGCTGGCCTCAGCTATTATAACTTTCTGAGGGTATGTTCTGATTTTTTTCACCATGAGCTTTAATATACATGCTTCTTCTTTCCACCTTGCCAACTAGGCACTCATGGTATAGGGTAGGTCCAGAACCTTTGTATAATTTGACTAGACTAAATATTTACTTGACATGGATTTTTGGTTACTGTAAGTAAATTTCTAATAGGCTAGGAGGATAATTTGGAAATTTGTATGCTCTGCTGGGATGTGGTTGGGATTCCTGTCATTATGTTTTGGTTGGGAACTTGGGAATCTAAAACTGAAGTGAGCTTCACATTCTTGCAGGATCTATCAATTCTTAACAATTTCATCTGTGTATTTACACTTAGTGGATGTATTTCTTTTGTTTCCCTGTTAGCTAAGAAATGATAGATTCAGAAAAGATCTACCACCTCCTTGGCTGGTTTTAAGTGTGAAACCCCAATTTGAAGGGCTGGATTTGGGTTGGAGTTCCACTATCCCAATCGTGCTCCATAGCCAGCCATTCCTAATTCCAGGATGGACATGCATTACTAGGATTGCATTTATTAACCGAAGTTCCCCATGAAAGAAAAAAGAAAATGTCATAATTGGTTCTACCATTTTAAAGTTTCCAAGACCTTTCAATATTTGACCTCCAGGAAAATATGCCATGTTTTTCTTGGTCCTCCAGTAAGGTAGACTTGCAACGGCCACTTTTAAGTTATATTCCTCTTTAAATCTTACCTACGGTTCCTTCAATAAATGGTTTTAGTCTTCAGTGCACACGCATCAGACACAAGGGAAACTGTCTCCCTTCTATTTTCTAACAATGACCCAACTAATATTTCATTTGTTCGCTGTTTTAAATATATAAAATAATCAGTGTTTTTAATATCGTTGGAATTTTCTGATTTAGGTTTTGCTTGTCTGCTACCCATTCCTCTGCTTGAAACTTTACCTGCATATGTTCAAGCAACGCCGATCAAAGCTGGGTAAACACCCCAAGAAGAAGAAAAGGTGAAGGACCACAATTTTGTAGATACCAATTGTGTGCCAGTTTCTGGTGATTCAGAAATACACACTTCATAAAGAGAGGCATGTATTGGCTTTTATTTGAATTATTTCTGTGCACTTCTTGATTTATTCTCCTCTTCACACTATGAAATTATTGAAGTCCAAAATTGTCTGTCCAATGTATTTTAGATTCTTGATCAACGTTGTCAAGTCTGTCCAGATGGTGTCATATTAGTACATTGGTAATGAAGTTGATGTATTAGGCAGTTGTGCAATTCGTGATATTAGAATCTGGAAATAAATGGTGTTTGGCACTTGATATATTGGATTTCGGATGCATGTAGTAGTGGAGTTGTAGCTTGAAATACTAATCATTCATGGCAGAAGTCTAATCTAGTAACTAAAACTTATTTGTTTTGAGAAACAGGTATATTTTTTTCCCTTTGCACCTCTTGTGCATGGAGTCTGGAAAACAAAAATTAATAAAATGAGGAAGTAGTTTTTTCATTTGTTTTCTAGGTAAAGCTCTGTATTTGGTCCCATCCTCCTCAGTATAGTTTTAGATTTACTAATTAAAGCAAAACTAACTACTCATGCTACATGTTACATGGTAAATATGCAACTTTAGTTTCAATTCCTCTACCTGCTTCTTCCCCTTCTCTTTCACTATTCCCATCAAGGTCCCCAGCTTGGTTGACTGAACCGGATAGAACTAGTGCCTAGCGAGCAGGGTGACAGCCCCTTGTATAGTTCGGAGCCTTGAAGCTTATGAAGAGGAAAAAAGGACAGGATGCCAACTAACAGGTATGCTTTTAGTATAATTGCACATTTCTATTATGAGCCTCTAAAGCTGTGTCAATAGTTCACCCTATCTTCTACTTAGACAGTTTGAAGTCCCCCTCTAAAATTAACATGTCGAAATTCACAGCTTTCACCACTATCACTCCCAGCTTCTTGTCCATGCCATGGCAGATAATATGATTGCTCCTTTTTCCACAAGTTATTTCCTCCATTACCTTTTTCCCACACAATAGCTTGAGCACTTGTTGTTTCCCTCTTTTCTCTGTAGCAAATCCTTGGTCTCTTCAAGCTCTGTTGTCCTCTTATCGTCAACACTGTCACGAAGCTTTTATTATTCTCATTTTTGTAGTAGGTATATATAGGACAACTAGCTCTGTATCCAAGCTTCCTCTTGAGTGGCTTGCAGGTTAGGGTGGGTTGAAGAGTGATCCATGTGCTGGAGTTTTAATAATCTAATTCAACTTGTTTTATGGGGCATAACAGCATCACTAGACTTTGCTGCTAGCATGACACATCCACATTAGTGTGGTCCAAAGGCAAGTCTGTATTCTAGGGCATAAGTTGTGCTTAGCCTTTTGGTGGTTGTTTTGGGATGACTTAGCCACCCTATTATCTGTTAATTTACTCAGTAGCTGACTAATTCATTGCTCTTATTTTAGTCAAGCACATGCGCCTCTTTGCACCTAAAACATTTTTTAAACGAACACAAATTGCACAGAAACAAAACAATACAAAGTCCATTGGAATTCAACAATTAACAACATCCAAATACAAACATCACCAAACCACCCACAGCATTGAGACAAAACCCCATTTCATCACTTGAACTGAAAGGAAAAAAAAAACTTGAAATTGCTTAGTAGTCTGTGGTGGGGAGCTGCTCATGTGTGTCTGGGGTGATGTAGATGAGATCGTAAACGAGGGCAGCAATGGCAGCGCCTATGAATGGGCCGAGCCAGTAGACCCAGTGGTTGTCCCATGTCCAGCTGACGACAGCGGGTCCGAAGGAGACTGCTGGGTTCATGGATGCACCATCAAAGGCACCAGCAACCAAGATGTTGGCACCAACAATGAAACCAATTGCAATGGGGGCAATGATGCCTATGTTGCCCTTCTTTGGGTCAAGGGCTGTGGCATAAACTGTGTAAACCAGACCAAAGGTGATCACAATCTCCAGCACCACGGCATTCCATACACTCACACCGCTTGATAGGGAGAAGAGCAGATGTTTCCTGCATCAGATCAATAATCAACATCCCATAATAATAACTTTAAGATAAGTTTTTTTTTTTTTTTTTTTTTTTTTTTTTTTTTTGGGTTGGTGGTTGAGAGTTTTTAGTGAGGATGAGTTAGTGGCTTACCAATCCACCGGTTGCAAACCTGAGAAGCAAGCAAGCAACCACGGCTCCAAGCAACTGGGCAATCCAGTACAAAATAGACCTGATGAGAGTGATGTTGCCGCCAATAAAGGCACCAAATGTGACAGCAGGGTTAACATGACCTCCGGAGATGTTTGCTGCAATGGAAACCGCCACGAAAAGTGCAAAGGCATGTGCCAAGGCAGCGGCTATAAGGCCAGCCGGTGTTGTTGAAGCACCATTAGTGAGCTTGTCTGTCAAAGCACGAAATATAAGATTAGTAAGCATACGCACTAATGAACAATAAACAAAATGTTCTTTTGTCAAACAGTCTCTCATATGTTATGTTGTCGAACCATCACTTTAACATCGAGTATATAGATGTGTGTTTAAAGAATATGGTTAAGATTCACAGTCTGACTTTTATGGTGTTGAAAAAAGAAAAAATAAATAAATTGGGAAATGAAAAACAAGGTGACAAGGTAAGGGACATACCGAAAGCCATGCCAGAGCCTTCACCAGCAAAAACAAAGATGAGAACTGAGATGAACTCAGCAAGAGCTGCTTTGAGAGCATCTGGCTGCCCAAACTCAGCTGGGTTTCCAATTGCAATTCTAGAGACAGGCATTCTTGGAAATTTGGATTTTGACTTAATCAAAAAGCCTTATAGCAAATCCAAATTCACAAGAGAGAAGAAGCTGCTTTTGCTTTGATTGCTTTTGGTTAGTGTCATAGTGACAGTTATATATAGGGGTCCTTAAACACGGGGTTAACGGCCGATTAACCGGACCAGCCGGTTTCCATCCGGTAACAGCTGAAATTCAACGACAAGTACAATTGGCGGCCACCTGTCATGGTCTGGCTGGGCTAGTAGGCGGGCCTCCCATTTGTTCCCATCATGCCACGTGGACGGCTGATCGGCTGATGTGACTTGGAGGCTTGAGCGATCAGCATGATGGAGAAATTTGATCACACTCACCGGCCAATGTTTTGGGTTTGCGCCTTTGCGGTTGTGGGCCCTCCAATGATTGTTGTAATTTTTGACCGACCATTATTATTTTATTTGTAATTTTTTGGCTACTGCGATTAGTTGCAATGGCTTCACTTCGTTCTCACCCTAATCATTAACTAAGACATAATTATGAACATAGTTATGGTGATTAAAATCTAGGTATTTTGTTTTTGAAAAATTGTAATTACACAAGTCAATTACAATTTACTTGAGTATTGCAAGTTGAAATAAACAATTTTTATCACATGCATTACAAAACTCTACTCGACTATTTTTAAGATAAGTAAAGACCTACTTTTCTTGTAGTGGCATTATTTTTTTTATTATTTCAATTATGAACAAAACAAATGCTTTACACCGAAGCATCTTTTTGTAATTATGAAGAATTAATTCAAAACGGGAACGAGGGCCGGGGGGGATTAGCAATGGTATATTCTTTAGGATTAGGTTGTTTGTATATGTAAATAGATAATATTTTGCCTACGTAACGTGAAAATCATCACCTCCTGTCCCCATTTTCTTTTTGGGTTTTGGTTATCACCTATCCATTAGGTTTCTCTAATCCCTTTTTAAAATGAAAACGACGAACTGTCTTCGTCATCTAATAATGAGTAGCAAATAAGCAAAAGACATCAAATTCTCATGGGAATTGATATTGAATAGCAAAGCATGCCATATGTCACATTATACGTATTTTGGTTGACCAAAAAGTTTTTAAAATTTCAATAGTACCAGGTAAGTTTAATTTTGGACACTATCAATTGAACCGTAATTAATTTGATTCGGTTCGATTTGGCCTTATTTGAAAATTGCCTAAACCGAACCAATATGTTTTTGTAAATTTTATTGTTTATTGACACTTTGCATTTTTATATTGGTTATCACTATTTATGATTATATTTCATCTCATACGTTGATATCGACTATTTAATACCATAAACAAAAATATCTAAACTATTTGAGGTTGACGTCATCTTCCTCTCAAAATTTATCCATCTTTGCTAGTAAGAAGTTTTCTCAACTACTACTAGTTTGATTCATGTAAGAGAATATATTAGTTTGACAATGCTACTAGTTCAAGGCTTAAACGGAACCAATTTGAATTGTGATGCTACATTGGCGTGATGTGTGATTTAAGGCATAAACCAAATCAAACTGAACCGTCGCGCTCATCTCTAAAATAGAATTCAAAGTAATGAATGGAGATATAAATAAATAAAATGATGTTAGATCTTAGGAGTAGACTTTTTTTTTCTTTGACATGTCTAGCGTTACTCCTTTGTGGTAGGGACCATATAGTATGTGGCCACCATCTTCTCCCGTTCCCGTGAGTGAAGGTAGAATATGATTTCATCACACTCTTCAAACGTCATTCTTTGCTGTCATATGGCATTATACAATTCCACAACTACTCCTATGGTTTGTAGTATGACATTTCCACTGATTATTTTGTGAACGTGAGGAGGGAAGGAATATTAAAATTAAATATTAATTAAGTGGGTAATGCATGAGATGAACTTCATATTTGTCTCCACTTCAACCACATTAATTATTATTAATCATGAGATTATAATTTATCCAAAGCCGACCACAATGATATGTATCACCTTTTTTTAATTCTTAATGTTCAATTTCATTCGTATTGATATTGTCTGCGAATATAGTTGGATCAAGTTCCATCGGTTTGATTAAATTAATGCCTCTCTCTCTCTCTCTCTCTCTCTCTCTCTCTCTCTCTCTCTCTCTCTCTCTCTCTCTCTCAGTTTTAATATCTTATCTGTTCATTAGTTTAACTAAAATGGACGGCTCACGATCACTAATCATAATTAAGGTGCTCTCTCTTTTGTAGTTTATAGTTTCTTGGATCAGATCTGAGTTGAATTGAGAGAGCTTGCTAGCACACTTGGGTTGAGCTGAGTTGTGAAATTCAACCAAATTCGTTTTGAGGCAGCTATAGTAAATGCCAGATTATCAATCTGGTTTTGGAGCATATATGAATAAATAATGACTTGGATCACATGCCATGAGGAGAGACATTGTGCAGAATGTGCAGCTGCTAGAAGGTTTTGTTTTACCCCAACTTGGAGATACTTCCTTGGCAGTATTTTAGCAACTGATTCGTATTTGATAACAAGTATATTTGTTTTTACTCCGTTATGTTACATTGTCGATTTAGATCATACATTCAAATAAAATTTTATTTTGTTAGTGTTATAAACTATATTGCACAGTTTAGTAATTCCTTTTGAGGATGAAAATTTCAGTAACGTCAAGGGCACTCATTTTTATCTCAATATTTTGTTTTCAAGCCATGTAACACATAACATGACAGTCATTTCATTTTCGTAATCTTTAATCTTAATGGTGAGCTCATGCATATGGACATCGGAATTTTTTTGTTTGTTTTTGTTTTATAATATGCCCATTGGCCATTGAAATACTACTAGCACTCCCCCCACCCCCAAAAAAAATGAAGTGGTTGACACTTCAAGTTTATACTTTTGGTATTCTTAAATGGATATTGCTTGTCTCCTTTCCTGTAAAAAGATGATACTCCCTCCTGCACATCACAGTTTGACACATGCAAAAATAATTCATAAAAAACACAAAAAGAAAAACTTTTGCATACATGTCTCATTACTATTGACACGAATATAAGAACCTCCTACTTACATAATAAAGAGGGAAGTATTTTCCTTCATAAATTTTGGCGTTTAGTTTTAAACTTTTATGAATGGAAGCAACACATGGCATAAGGAACCAAACAACTTACAAGTAGCTGAAAGGCCCAGAGAACAAATTACAGAAAATACCCAAAAGGCCTATAGCCCAGAAAGAACGATGAAACAAACCAACAAACCCAACAGCAGGAGCAACAAAAAGCAAAGGGCCAAACCCGCACCCAACTCTGTCACATGAATGATGGAATTCATGTCTAAAAATCTTGTTTGTTTCTCCGTCCATCAGATGAAGCTGCTTAACCCATTCTAACAAGGGCAAAGGTAAAAGAAACCAAAGGACACCAGACTTACCTAATAAACGAGAAAAACTTACGTAGAATCGTTATACCACGTTATCATATTTATATGGCGACTCCCATCACTACTCGTGAAAGCGTAATTTGTTTACGTTTTGATAGTCAAACACTAAAATTTGTGTATGGTGACACCAAATGAAAAACTTTCTTTTTATGTTCATAACAGCCCTACCAAAAAGAAAAAAAATGATCATCTATAACAGCTTGCTTCAAAGGTTGTGGCAAGTGTTTGTATTTTTACTTTTTTTCTTGATAATTCTAGTTAGTTGTGGTAAATCTTTGAGCTTGATTTTTGACCTTTAATCACTTACGTAGTACAAGCACTCTTTTCCATCTTTTTCTGCTCGAAAAACCATGTTTGTGTAACAGTAAGGATGCCTTATGGGCCCTAATGGGCCATTAAAACTGATAAAGTGATAGGCTCAGTCCCAATGGCCCCATACAACCATAACTAAGCATATGAAGAAATCTCAAAATCATGCAAAATGATTAATGAATTTGTTAATTAGAAAAACAATCGTACACCTGTTGAATTATTATGATAATTGTATATTTTAGCGGGTGCTTTTCCCATTCTCCTTTTTGTTTTTTTAAATACTTTTTACTATAACACATAAGGAAGTGTAAGTGGACAAAAGAGAAGTGGGAAAATCAGAATTTTACTTTATACGCATTTCACTCGCATTACACCAATATGTCGCGTCTAACATAATAAGTAGTAACTATCACAATACATAACAAGCCTACTACATCACGAGATGAAGTAATTATGTATTTATTTGGCGTAGCACATTACTCTTGTTGAGTGGGACATGATCATCTAGAATCAAAATCTCTTTTTCTAAAAGCTGAATTCGTTTTTCACAATGCCAACCCCAGCCACCAACTAATTAATCCAATTACCTTGAAGGTATGTATAATTGATCACACTTGATGAGTCATGCATCCTTGAAAATGAGAGACAAAGACAAAGCTATAGTTTCCATTTCCGTTGCCGTCACACACCTACTCATGCACCAAACCGAGCCCTTATCTTTATGATCAAGTGCCTTTCCCACAACAGACATCAAAAGGAGCATTTGCGAGCTCTCTCTTCTGTTCAAACATTGGACCAATCTTTTTACCCTTTAAAGCTAGACCAAGAGCATAAACACTTCCTTTTCCTTCATGCACTCCATGCAGTCAAACCAAACACCAACCGATTTGTTTGTACAATTGGGTCAAACCCTAGTTGAAATCGGAAAAGCACTTTTTGTGCAAAAGTCGGTTGGTTTTGTATACTTGTAAATTTTATTAGTAGAGTATCCAATGAAAGTCCAAGATCTGATTATACTTAATCATTGTTTAATTTAATCACCCACTTAAAATAAAATAAAAGGGTGAATTGCCAAAATGATCACCCACCATAATCGTCATAATGGCAGACAATGGCCCAAGCCATGATAACTCTTATTTGGTACCGTAAAGGTAACATACTCAAGTCATATTGGTGCAATGTAGGTTGTTTGATATAATTGCAAGGCATTTTTACTAGTTACTTTTCCATTTGACAGCCCAAACTCGTAATAACTTTGGCTTG